ATAAGATGCTAGAAAGCCTAAATAGCTAACTTTCGCAACCAGAACAAGGTATATTATTTAAACAAGGTTAGCTTTCACAGAAATAATTTCGCAATTTTCTTCGAAACGGAATAACGGTACTTCTTTGATAACGGTTTTTTGATATTCTCTTGTTTTTCTTATAGTTTTATGCAATAAATGACTAACCAATAAGCCAATTCTCTACAATTTAAAATAAATTCTAACAATGTTATTCGAAAAAAAAAAGAAAGAGAGAAACTTAAGTAGAAAAAGAATTCTCGTTGAACTATAATGTCATTGTAAATGAGTTCTATGTCCAGCTACCTGGAATAATTTTTAATCATCTTATTTTCAGCATTACAAATGCGATATGAAAATAAAATTGGGCCACTACTCCTTAATTACTTTAATTTATTCGGTGCAGAAGATCATAAGAGATGATTAGATCAAATAAAACTATTTATACGTTCGTAATGCAATACTTTTTTTTTTTTTCATTTTGTTATTTTTACTTTTTATCAAACCTATGATTCTATCTTTTTTTCTCATTGGACCTCATTTTGATGCAACACAAAATGACATAAATAACAAGTATACACAAAAAAATAAATAATGAATAAAATAAAAATTAAATAATTTAAGAAAATCGTTTGGTTTTTTTTTTTTGCCGAAGTAAGTAAATTTAGCTATTTTATTTGTCAGTATATTTATTTATTTTTTTTTTAAATATGCGGGGCCTAAAAAACAGTTGAATTTACTTGCGCTTGGTGACTTCATTATTGACAATTTCATCACCTGGTTCGGCGAAATCGTAAAGTACCCAATATTATGATGAATGTTAATGTCAAAGATAAAAACAAAAATCATACGTTTACAAATATTAAACAATCTTTGTTACACATTGAACAGACTAAAAATAATAAAAACCTAATAAATAAGAATAATAAGTCCAGAAATAAGAAAACCCTAAGACACACAAGTGCAAAGGCGACTTCTGCATAGGGACTAAAGATTAGATCGGGCCCATTTTTGGAGATCCGAGATATACGTCAAATAAAGACCAAATTATGCGGTCTCCTCACTTGGCTTTTGATGTGTATTCAAGAAAATTAGTAAATTAAAACCTTTTTTATCGCTAAACTGTGAAAGAAAAAAAGCGGAGACAAAAACTGAACCATCTGAAATGCAAGATGACTAAAAAATTAAAAAAGAAAACAATTAGCTCCAGCATCACAAAGCAAAACCACCGAAGAGAAGAAGCAGATTGCTGTGAATTTTTATATCTTTTACATGTTTTATTCTCAGTAACGGAACTGATTGTTCTTGTTTTCCAGTTGCGCCATCTATGGCCAACAATTCGACTTCTACCACACCCGTTTATAGGGCGGACTCATTCATACATCCATCCACAGACCGTAATTTTGACCTGAATTAGAGAACGATCGATCTCCAATTCAGTACCCCCAGAGGTAAAATTTCTTCTGGGAACATGGAGAACTTTGTGACCAGACAGATTTAGCGTGCACCAATCACAATTTACTGCACGGGAAATCCTCGGCTGACTGGATTCGAACATCCATTCTCACGAACGGGAGTCCAGTTTAAAGTAGTAAAAGAGTTTATGAAAATTTTATCAGGAATCTGAGCTCGGCCGAAACCTTTTTTCAGTAAACGAGCCCGCGTCGGGCCGAACCCGTAGAGGACCCAGAAATAGTTAATAATCGAAACACATCTTTATTTCTAGTAAAAATTTTGAAACAGACATTTTTTAATGTGATAAATATGCTCATTTTTTATAAATACCTGTTTTTGGTTAAAATACCTACATTGTTAATACAAATCGGTAAAACATTTTACGGGCCTTTCTTTTAAGCAGAATGTAAACTAACGATTTACTTCAATCACTTATCACGTAAGTACATTGAATGATCTATCATTTAGTTCATCATGCCAAAACTATTTTAAAATTGTTCATTAAGTCTTAATTTTAAATCGAATACAAAAGGGCTGACGATCAAGTGCGATGATTTATTGTCCCTTAATACTTTTAAAGATTTAAGAGTGTTAATACTTTTAAATGAAAACTAAGAGTTGTTTAAATCTTACAACTGAGCAAAATTATGCCTTTAACAAAAACAACAACGAGTTGATAAAGAAAAATTTAGCCAATGATCAACAAATGTCAAATTACGCATAATGAAAATCCTGATCAGAATAAAAAGTAGTACCGCTCTTCCATCTCGTAAACAGAAAAATGGTATCTTTCGCTTTATTCAAACACACTTTAATCCCTTACCTGTTTTAATGTATTTACTTTCCTACCTATCTTTGCTAGCAAAGCTTCAAAAATAACGAATATGAGGAAGGATTAAACCAGAAAGTAATATTACGTCAAAAACAGGGTGCACAAAATATCATATAGCGTAATTGTGATGCCACAATTGGCATTACATATTTCATAGCTTTTGAAATTTCTTGATTACTTAAATTTTTTTTAAATCATCCTTGATCGAATTATATTTAAATTAAATGAATTAGTTAATTTTTATTTAAAGCAAACAAAATATTTTATTCGTTTCTTATTGATCAATGTAACGGCTAGTCTCATTAATTCCCAGTTATTCCTAAGCGAAAACAAAAATCTATTTATAACTCTTTATTCTTAAATTTCTTACCACAAATATGTTTCAGTTACATGGTTATAATAATTGTCACAGTTTTGTTGGCGATCGCCAAGGTATTTTTCAAACCTAATATTGATTATGGGGGGTTGGCTTTAATTTGGCTATGTTATTTTTTGATAAATCACCAACCATGGATCTCTTCTCATGATTCTAAATGTCTGTTGAGAACAATTCAATTTCTTTTTAATGTGACTTTTGAATAGGCAAATCAATTGGGGGATTTGTCTCCCATGGCCCGTCCATATTAATATTATTTATGCAAAATTTATTTAACTTCAAGTCTATGGATAAAATATAATTTTTGTATCTTGAGCTCTACAAATACTAAATAAAGGTTTTATATTAATTGTGATCCAGTTTTCATCTTCAACTGACAAATTTTATTATCCTGTTTTCCTCACTATCTTCAATTGGACAATTACAACTTCCAACAACACCTGAATTTTTCCGTCTTAACAGTAATATTATGTCAAAAAGATAACGGGTTAACTGGAATGTGTAGAAAGTTCAGTAATCTCTGTCTATCTATTTAATCGTCATCTATATATTTAAATTTCTTTCAAAAATGAACTAAAAAAAAATTGTAGATAGAAATGTGTGTAAAGACATTATCAAAAACAACAGCAAACTGAACTAATCGAACAAAAACGTTATCAAAACTCACCAAACTAAAGAATAGCAGATTAGAAGAAACTAAGAGAAGACGAAAAGTGATTATTAGGAATGCCTTAAAGTCTCATTCGACAACCAAACTGTTCTTAATTTTCATAATCACTGACTTCATTTCATAATCAAAAACTGGCACTGACTTGCCAATTATTGCTTCTTTTACCTCTAAATATTATTTTTCAATTTCCAATGAACATTGTTATTTTTTTTTTTATATCAAAGGCGGTGATTCCAGAACACCCTAAGGGATGTGTTTTGTACATGAATATTCATTAAAATATTCTTATTTGAAGATGAACATTTTAAGTAAAAGTGTTACTATAAGTCTAAATAAATAATTCTGAGAGACTCATATTTTCTATCTATCACCTTTATTGATATTTGTTTTTATATAAAACAGTACAAGGCAAGAGAGAGCACCTTTACCACAAAACATTAAATATGTAGTCAAAATGTCATTAGGAAAGTGGGGAAAAAAATTAGCAGAGATATGCACTTTTAGAATTCCTTAGACATTTAAATTCACATATAAATGCACTTTCAGAATTCTGGACACATTTAAAACAAAAAATTAACATCTTAAGCACCTTCAGAATTTCTGACATTAAAATAAATGCTTATAAAATAAACTATTAGTAAGCTGCTCTTAATACTTTTAATAAGAATGTAAAAAATCAATGTTTCATGTCTATCACCATGATTTTTTTATTCAAAAAAGCAGCACAAAGTAAAAGAAAAACACAGATAACTGCAAGCAAACTGTCTTTACTAAAAAAATTCAAAGGGGAAAAAAATCTTTTCCCTCTTCTTATCTTCCCGAAAAATTGTAATTTCTCAACAATCAATTGCAACATCTCAACAAAAAAAAATCAATAATAATAATTTTATACGTTAATTATAAACTATTTTTACGAAATTTCACATTTTCAATTAAAATTCAACTAAGTTATTAGTATAAAATACAGTTTTCTTTTTCTATATACCTTATAATTAAATTTTTGTTCAACATTTTGCATAATTTTTGATTTTAAATAAACAATAGGTACCTAGATGAAATTATACAAATTTCATCAAAATTTATATTTCACTTAAGCTATTCATAAAAATAGAAATCTTGCAGTGATCAATGATTAAGTACAAATAGTTAAAATTTACAATAACCATATCGAATAATTCAGAAATTTAGAATAACTAAATAATAAAAAGAATCTTCTCAGAAAATTTTTAGTATATAATTCAATAACATCGAAAGAACATTTCACCAAACCTCTCTAGATAATTAGATATTAGCCAAAAATAGCATAAAACTAAAACACACATAAATATAATATAAAAGCTCTTTACAAAGCAGTTGTTTATAAATTAGAGAACATCAACTAGCCATAAAATTTTGATTTTATTTAAAAATATGCTACAGTTCATTAAGAAAAAGCATAATTCAATTGTATACTTTTAAAAAAATAAATTACGATGAATATTTCTTCTTAATATGAATGTATAAGCTATATACAAATATGGTAGTGAAGAAATCTCAATATTTTTTACTTAATATAGGAAATTCTAAACGAATAGCAGCTTTTGATTTGTTTGGACGGAAACTTTATCACTTGATTTTTTTGATCAAATGAAAGATTGATCGACTTTCAATTTAACAAAAATAAATAAAAATACTTTTAATAACAATATATTGCATTTACAATAAAAAAAAAATCAATAAAATAGCTTGGAATGTTTAGTTTATAAAGAGATTCACATATTCACAGTTAATTATAAAAACATGCAATCTTAAAACAATGTATTGAATATTATTAGCAACAATATAATGCATGAATGAAAAAATAATAAAATAGCTTGGAATGTTCAGTTCACAAAGAGATTCACAGTTAATAATAAAAACATGCAATCTTTAAACAATGTATTGAATATTCTTAGTAACAATATAATGCAATAATGAAAAAATAATAAAATAGCTTGGAATGTTCAGTTCATAAAGAGATTCACAAATTCACATTAAATAATAATATGTATCCTTAAAACAATATATTGCATAGTTTTTGTAACAACATAATGCATAAATGTAAAAATTAATAACATAACTTGGAATTTTAAATTTATAAAGAGATTCTTAAATTCACATGTAATAATAATCATATAAAAGTTATCAATTTCAAGAGTACAATAAATACAAGATCATCAATAAGGTGTAAAAAAAAATATCCCAATCACCGGTATATAATATCGAAAACAAATAAAAATAAATTATTTACAAGCTGTAAATTGGACGGAATGATAAGGAATGCAAGTAATATCACATAATCAAACATTTTAAAGTAAAAATTATAACACATAAGTACAAAAATAACAAATATTAGTTTACAGTACACTAATGTGATTATTAAATGAAAACATTACAAAAAAACATATGAAGCAACAAAAATACAACAATGTATGAACTACAAAGACCTATGAAACCAATACATATTTTCTGACTTGTTTTTTCCCAACTAATAAAATAATGTAGACAACTATCCACAAATAATACTAAATACAAAAGTATTCAAATAAATGTAAACAATTTAAATAAAATAATTAAAATTATTAGCCATTTTAACATTTTGCTAATATTCATAACATTATAACAAGGTATAGATATGTTTTATCATCATTCTTTTACTCATCATACAAAATTTTTTTTAAATAATTAAAAAAAAAAAAAAAACAATTAGGAAAATAATATAACTTTATAATTATTTATAATCAAGAAATTGATTAATTTATAACAAATGGATTAAAAGCTATTTTTAGACATTAATACAAATATAGATTAGAATTGATAGAAAACCAATAGGCAATTAAATAATTTCTCACAGTAATTATTAAAACTAATCAGCTTGGATAAATAACATGCAAAACACGAGTGTATTAAGAATTTTTCAAGAGAATTAAATATTGTATAAGTTCAACTGAAGCCAAGATCATAGAAGTTTTAAGAATATTATAATACAAAAGTAATTACAAAATACTTTTGTTTGCATAGCAAAAATATTTAATCTCAATTAAATTTTTAATGATACTAATTAGCATAACTTCTGCCATTAAATAAGTATAACTTTTAGACAATAATAAAATTAGCACAACTTCTGCCAATAAATAATTATATTTTTTAACTGATAATATAATAATCACATTTCAATATATATATATATATATTATTTATTAAGACCTACTGATATAACATTCTTGGATCATGGATAAATTCTCATTGAATGATGAACACGTTAAAAAAAATTTTAATAAAGAAAAACAAAAAGTTATAGCTTCATCAAAAGTAAATGCATATATTATTCACTTTTTTTATAATTAAAAGTAAAAAATCAAATTGGACTTTAAACGAATAAATTTCATTTTAAACTAAAATGATTATCTGCTCAAAATCTTTCTTTAAAATGCATTCACACTAATTTCAAAAAATAATTTTGCATCTTAGTTATTTTATATAAAATTTTAATTACAATAGTATTGAATCAATTTACAATAAAATTTTAAGAGTGAAATTTTTTAATGAAATATTTAGAGAATGTTGTATTAGTTATAAATTTTTCAGATCTTATGTTTTGATTACTAGCAAAAGTAATTCATCAGTTATATAAATAGAAGTTAAATAACAAATACTTATTTTAAACATCACACAAAGTTAAATGACTTTTTTTTTCCTCCATAATCACTAGTTTATTCCATTAATCATATGGTTTATACATTTATATAGACCATATTGCTACCTAGATTAGATAATAACTTCTGCGAATATTCTTAGATAATATATTTTTCATTAAAATATGAAATAAATTAAGCAACCATTTGTATCAAATAATGATTAAATTCATATAGGCAATGCTTCAAACATGATTTTGATTATAGAGAAAATAATGGTGTATAAATAATTTAAACACTATTAACAATAAAATATGGTAGTATTACATTTGTACCAACTGTTTATTAAAACTCAGATTTTAACTCTGTAACAGTTTTTTGATTCAGCAATCAATAGTGGAAAATTGCTTCAAATATGACTATGACAGCAAATCTTTATAAAAATTCAAAAAACTATTCACCACCACAAAAAAATTATTATACATTTCACCACTGGCAAGTGACTTTTCTTATAAAATATTCATTATAGTTAAAACTATATGAGAAGGACTATGCTTCTGTTCATTTGTCATACAAAACTCCACCACAGATGAAATATGAATGAAACGAGAATGATAAAGATAGAGGACATCACATTCCCAGCCGCAGCAGTACAATCAACAATAGTCATTTCCAATAAAAATTCTCGACCTAAATAAAGTTTATAGTCACGCTTTTCATCAGGAACCCTTTTCAATTGTTGAGTAGCATCTTGGAATATTAAATCACTATAATCATCTTCTGAGACAAACATTTTCAAAGTAAACTCTTCACTATATTTTGATCCATAATATTGCTGAGCATAAAGAAATAAATCTATATATGCATTTATGTACTGAGCTGGCTTCATCCTATCAGTTACTATTGCATTTGATGCAACTTTCCCAAGATTGCACGATTCATGCATGTCAAAAGCAGCTCTGGTACCATCACGGCAGAGAAGTTCGAAATCATCCGGCATCATGGGACGGGACCACCAGTCAGGATTTTTTCCAGCCGTATTTTCCAAAATGGTTGTATGTTTAACAAAAGCAATATCTCCTCCACCTTCAACGAGACATCTCAGAGCTCCCGTATGGCCATAAAATGGCTCCTGAGAGCTTTTTGAGCAATAATAAGAACTAACTCCATGACATAAATCACAAAGTGTTGTATAATCTACATCTCCAACTGTATATTCTCTAGATAAAGCCCCTGGGACACAACTTTTTTGAAAAAATTCTGCAGCAGCATGAGCTGAATCACAGCCATACGATCGCATTCTTTCACTGGAAAGAAGGAAGCTCATGGGTACGACCCAACCGGCAGCCATTCCAATACCTGTGTGACAAGATTTTTTACCTTTTAAATACAATAAATCAGTATCTTTATCTGGAGTTTTGGCCACTGCAATCACATAATAAGCAGGTTCTTCCAAGTCATACTGTTCAGCAATAATTGGCATTAAATTGTACTTTTGCCCAGCTTTGTAAATTTCACCAGCATCAAGTACTACTAGATCAGCAGCATTTTCATTTATCATTTGCATGCATTTCATTTGACTAAATCCTTTTACGCATACTAAATCTGGCCTTAACATCTTAGCTTTAAATGCTGTCTTCATTTTTTGACATTTCTTCATTTCTTGATCAGAAACAACACACAACCTTGCTGGTGGGATAGGACATTTTTGTAATTTTTGATGAAAATTTTTCTCCATGTTACCCAAGTACCCAGTGAAGGTCTGTTGCCTTTCTTCTAGAGGAACAAGATCGACAGTGAGATCTTGAAAGAGAAGATTTCTTTCATTGTACTTATCATAAGTTCCAAATAGCTGAAAACCTTCAGGATCATTGCTTACATCATCATATGGATCTCTTCTAAAACTTCCAGATGAATATCTAGGATTTCTAAACTTGGAAGCAGCCATGGATAAAAACTTTTGGTAAAAACGCTTTTGCTCTGGAGAAGCTGCAGAAGATGTAACAACTGCATGTGCAGGTACAAAGCCCCAATTACAAGTTTTGTATGAATCAATGTTAGCAGTAGCGCCATTTGGACAAACTAGTTTAAAGAGATTCTTTCGAGGTCCACGATAGTCTTCAGAAGATGTCATTTCATCCATAGTAGTATGCTTAAGAAAGGCAATATCGCTACCACTGATAAGACAGTTGAAAGCGCCATCAAAATCAGCGTATGGATCGCTACCTGAACATTTTGTAGTTTTATCCCCAACACACAGATCGCACATGTCCATGGGATTATCACCAGTTGGATTGTATTTGTCAATAAGGGAATTTGGAGCACAACTTGGCCCGAAGAAAGCAGCTGCAGTCTTAATCAAATTGTTGCAGTCAACAACATGAGCAAAATCGAGATCTATTAGAACTGATATCGGAATGACCCATCCAGCCATTTGTCCAACTCCAGGAAAACATGCCTTTGTACCACGAAGATCTTCCAAACTTCGGACGGTTAGAGATTCGCGAGCAACGGCTACTGCATAATATCCATCTTCATCATTTGTATAACGCTCTGATACAACTGGAACAAGACTGTTGAAGCGTCCTGCAACATAGATCTCACCCGGGTCTAAAGTCATTAAATTAGCTCTACCAGATTCTATAACATTCATACATTGGTCTCTGTCAGCTGCTTGATAACACGAAAGTGTAGCATTTACGCTACGAGTTCGATTAACTGCTTTGGAAAAGTCAATACATTTTCTTTGCTCAGCATCACTAATAGTACACCATGTAATTGCATTAGTATAAAAAGCCTCTCCAACAGAAATAGTACAATAAAATACAAATACAGTGAACCACGCCCAACTCGACATTTCCATTTTTATTTTAAATTGAATAATTACCACCTTTTCTTGAACATTAGGGAAGTCATATTTTAAAAGAGATTGCGTATACACTGTCTAATAAATATATTTTCAAATTTTGCATAATTAATTCACATATTTAAAATCTAATAACATAAACACCAATAACAGTTTAAAAGTAAACAACAGCAAACTAAAGTGAAAGCAGAAGTATTTGTTTCTAGGAGACTTGCTTTGTCTCTATAATAACTAAATTTGTTTAATTTAAAATAGCTTAATGCTGGAAAATTACGAATTTTATTGAATATTTTACACGTAAGGAGACAATAATTGAAATTTTTCGCAACATTTTTGAAGAAATATGAAAAAAAAATGCGACAAACATCAGAGAAGATTATTCAACTCAACTCTAAATTTAGTTTCGTTTTTGTTGTCTTCTAGCGATGCGGACAAATTAAGAAGTTGTCGGATTATGAGCATCAAAATATATTTCTAACTTAAGTTAACTGCTCAAAAATCAATAATAGATGAATATTAACGGACAATTAAGACAAAAATATCATGCCTTATGATCGTATCAGAAGAGAATATCCTCTTCATTTGTGTGTGTGGTTTAATAATTACAAAGAACTGGACAAGTATTTACAAACATCTGAGGTATTTATAAAATTTAATTTCTCAGAAATATGTGATTAGTCTCCTTTTGTGTATAAGAATAACATGTATTTTAAATTTTTTTTTCATTGATGTAACCTTTTGATACATTACAATAGAGAAATTAAGAACTACTTAAAGCACGAGAAACCGTAGTCTTATCTATTTAACCAAGAGAAATGCTACAGTAAGTTTTATTATGTATGAAGCTTCTATACGTTTGGTTGTATTTCTGAAAAATGACTTTTTAAAATATTAATAAAATTGACTATGAAAGAGCGTGCCTACAGTTTGGGACAAAAACTGATCCCCCCAGTCCTAATTTATTCTTCTTACGCCTTAAGAGTTTGGAGCAGCTTGAGCGAATCAAATATTTTTGCACACAATTATAAAATACTTTTATCCAGAAATGGGACTATGCAGAAAAATCTTTATAGTTATTTATATATTATTTAATTTAATGTACAAATTTTTTTCAACTAAGTCATTTTAAATGAAAAAATTATTCAATTGGTCTAAGAATTTTTAAGAAGAAAAATTAAATTATTTAAAATCTTTTCCTATAATTACTTATTAATTATTGATTCATAGAAAAAAAATAAAAAGTTTTCTTCAAATGTGTTTTAAAATTGTTTAAGTGAAGGGACAGTAATTACATTTTTCCATGCTATTATAATTTAAAACTATCACAAAATTTTTATTTTTGAAGTTTTTTCATTGCTGGTCATCGATTTGTATACTTAAATGCATGGTCTTAATGTAAAAATTAACAATATTAAGTTAATTATGAGATGGAGTTTGGCCTAATTGTCTGAGGGAAAAGTTAATATTTCTTGAAAATCACCCTTGTATATTTTATAATTCAAAACTGCATAAAATTATAATTAAATTATGTAATAAATTAATAAAATAAAGTTATTTATTCATGAAAATCTCTAGGGTTTTTTCATGGTTGGAGGACGAAAGCTGTAATGAGTAATTTAACTTTGGATCAATCTCCTAATTTAACAGTGAGAAGGACATTTTCCAAATTATGGCTCTCTCTTTTTTTTTTTTTTTTTTTTTTTTTTTTTTTTTTTTTTTTTTTTTTTTTTTTTTTTTTTTTTTTTTTTTTTGTACTGTGCTTACATGTTTATTTTGCCATGTCTAATTTTAATGAAATTTTCATAGTAATTTTAAGTAAAAAATAGTCTAGCTCATTTATTACAAGCTGAAATTTAAATATGACTAAAAATTTAATGTAAAAATTTGTAGTCTTATTTAAATTTTTATTTGGATTAAATGTTTGGTTTAATCTTGAAAGAACCTATATAAAACCCTATTATTTTCTCGAATTTAATGAGATTTTTTATATATTATTTTATTTAAATTTCGAAAAAAAATTGTTTTAAAATGTTCATGGAAATTTCATTTCCTTAGAAGGGGTTTAAAAACGCCCCTTTAATTCGATTTGTTTTAAAATTATATGCTTATAAACAATAAAAGATAAACAATGTAAAGTTTCTCATATGTCCTGTCGTAAATCAGAGAACCAGTTTGAATATTAGCACAGAAAAAGTTTGTATGAAATTATGGAGAGTAATTGCAATAACTAACAGAAAATGTTTTTTGTATACAAACAATTGAATCTATACCTGTTGGTGTTTATTTGTCTGTGTGCATCCTTCTCATCAAATGTTTGTAAATTAAAAATCTAATAGTATTTGTAAAGAAATATTTAACCTAAAAAACGCAACTTTTTGAGAAATTACAAATTTTTCTAAAATTAAAATGTATTTCATGCCATGTATGTTGTACGTTCAACAAATTTGTTCATTAATATATTCAATTGTGGAGATTTAACTAAATTAAATTTTAAAAAAACAAACGATTTTTCTATCAGCATTCATTAAAAATGCATTTTTTTTATAAATATTTTATATTTGTTCATTATAACTTTCATATTTCAATAATTTCAGTGGATTCAAGTTCTTTTTAATGAGTCTTGACCTTGACAGTCTTGTTATAAAAGAGTTTACTTCTAATTTATTTCATGGGTTAACCATTTTTTTAACTTTCAGAATGACATCGAAAAGAAAGATCCTCGTGGAAGAACACCTTTGATGCTGGCAGTCACATTAAACCATCTAGAATCGGCTAGAGTTTTACTTAAACATGGTGCAGATGTTATTGTAGAAAATAAACAGGGATATACTGGTAAATATATTTTTTTACTACAGTTAATATGTTACGCAATATTATTGTTTTTGAATTCAAAATTTCTAATAGAAAATACATCCCCTTAAGTGCTTACCTTTCAATGTGATTTTATCAATACCTGCAGGTTATGTTTCAAATCAATGGTTGAGTTCACTAACCGAATATCTATTTCATGGAAAATTTTAAATTCATGTAAATTAATTTCAAGAATATCTAATTCACAGAGCATTCTCAGTTTTCAATGCATTACTAGTATAATTATTTACTGTATATTTTGGTGTTTTCAGGTTTAGAAGTTGATGTGAAAAAAACAAATATTAAAATTTTTAAAATTAAGCCACCAAATAAATTATTAGTAAATCTTCTCAAGTTAAAAATATTTCACATCAAAAGCACCTATAAAGACAAAAAATTTTGCTCTTATTGACACTGTGTATCAAATGATAGACATGTAGCAAAATGTGAATTCAAATGTTATTTAAAATCTTTTAAGGCATTTAGTATTTCAAATTTTTTGAATGGCGGGAAGACGATTTTTTGTGGGACATCAGATAAGCGTGATGTTGAATTCATTGGTGAGTGGGATCTGTTTGACGGCCCCGTTAATGTTATTGAATCCAATATGATGTTCTGGAATTTTTAACTTTCCTATATTTTAAAACTTTCATTGTGTTATATTTTTTTAATCTCTCGTATAAATAATCTTTATTTTACTTATTCTTAATTTATTTTGAGTGTAATTTAAATTATTGTATCTAAAAAAAATTGATTAAAAAAAAGTGCAAAATAAATTCTAAATAACATTTTAAAAACGTTTTTGAATGAGGTAAATTGATGCAGATTGTATATAAGTCTTCCCCCCTGATTCTCTTAGAATTTCAGGGGTTCAAAAAGTCAACTTATACACTGATATATATGGTAATGGGATTCATTAAAACAAATTTATTGGCCTGATAAAATTTAAATTTAATTAAAAATTATAATAAAACAGGGATATTACTTTCCCTGAAATTTGATATTATAAAAGGTAAGAGTTAAACAAATTAAACTTGCTACTCTTCACATATTTCCCAAAACTAGTAAAAACATTTGCTGCTTATTAGAGGATTAAATAAATTAAGTTTTTATTTTTGTTGGAAAAACTCTTTTCGGCATACACACCTGCACCAGACTCTTTGCATTCTAAGAAACCAGTCTTCTATCTCTTTAGAACAAAGTCTTCTATCTCTTTTCAAGAATTCTATCTCTTTAGAAACATGATGAAAAATAATTGCTCACTTAAGTGAACATGGAAAAAAATGATGTTTTACAACACCTGAGAATGGCCAATTTCCTAGAAGAAGATGCAAAACATATCCGACTCTCCAAATCAAAAACTCTTTTTCATTTTTAGCAAACCTCAGTGAGTGTTTAGATTCTTTTAATGTTTTGATTAAGATATCCGGTAGTTTGACCGGAAAAAAAAATGGAAATAGTTCAGTTAAAAAACACTGTGGAGGAAATTTGAATGTTTTATTCTTGGTTGATAGGGTTATTGTAATGTATCTTGAGAATTAGATAGCAGTAAGTAGCTGATTCCTCTAACCAGTAAGATTACAAAATGGTGGACACTGTAGAACTTTTAATAATAAATTTTATTCTATGTCTCATTTCTTTAGGAGATCAGCTATTAATTATGTAAAGCTACAGCATTCTAAAATATAATTTATAGTTCAAAATGGCATATATTTTTTAAATGATTAAAAGAATAACCAATCTTAATAAAAGAAAATTTATTTCTTCAAAGTTAAGAAAAAAAACTTTTTCAATCTTTTATTTCCTGTATGAAGTAACATAATTATTTCATCTTCTGTATTTTAATATTTACTCCGTAGAGGAGATTTTAGCAGTTTGTATGTGAACTTTGCATGTATTTTTAAATAGTTTTAAATGTCAATATTATTAATTATATTTTAACAACATTTTTAAATGTCATAGTTGTCCATGAAGCTGTCAGCACTGAGAATTCTCAGCTGTTGCAAGAAATTTTGGAGAAACGGGACTTCCAACGGTACAGCACCAGAGCTATTGGAATTCCAGATTTGCTATCTAAAATTCAGAGTGTTAGTATTTTTGTATTTCTTATTTCGATTACATATTCAAGTTTCACATTTCTAATTACTGAGTGTACGTGATTGAAATAAAAGTTTTGTTCGGATCTGTAACTGTTTTTTTGTACATAACAAGCTTTTTTTTTNCTACAACAAATTTAAGTACAATATGCAGATTCTTTTACATCCATTGAATGCTTTTGATCACTTTTACCTCAAGGAAAAAATTCTCAGAAAGTTTTTTTTTTTTTTTTTTTTACCTAAACGTGTAATTTATTTATTTTTTCTTAAAAAATAATATATTGTAACTGGAATAGTTAACAGAGAATTTCTAACATCCCTAACAATATAGGGGGGGGGGTGTTTGCTTAGGGCTTGGTCCTTTTACTGCAAGCAACTTTTTTTTTGATGAAAGAAATGAATCAAAAAAATACTAAGGAAGGATTTTTTTTTTCTTTCAAATTTTCTACAATAGCTTATCAACTGTTAGGTTAAGTCAAAAGTGTCTTCAAATGCTTTCTGTAGTTCACTAATCAGTTTGAAGATAACTGCTATACAAACCTAAATCTACAGCTTAGATAATCACAATATATATATATTAATTTCATAAAAAAATTTAAATTTTTTTAAATTTGTTTTGTTTTAAAGTACAAGTTTACTAGTTTTTTTTATATATAATATGATACTTTTACATAATATAATACATTTTTACATAATATATAATTTTTTTTCCCTGGATAATATAAATATATTATTAAATCTTTATTTTCACTGTACAGCTTATTTATAATTTGCAGAAGTTTCAATTATGTAATTTTTTTGTATTAAGATTCTTTATCCAATAAATTAGATTTTGTCAATTTGAATTAAATCAGATTTGTTTTTCTGAAGGATATATGTATGTTCCTCATATTTTGAGATAAAAATTGGGTTTTTAAAACGTAATTTATATTCTCTGGTGAATTTCTTTTAGCATATTTGTAATGCAGAAGAAATGTCAATTTCACTTGGTAGAACGAATGTCAATTTAGAAAGAGCAATATATGATATAGATAAAATTATGACTTATGAATTATTATTGATGTACCAAAAAAAAAAAGTGTTTGCAGTGCATGTCTTAAATCTTAGTGTCCATTATTATTCATCCTGAATATTATTTTAAACTTAATATTAAACAGGGTTCTCCATGTTCAGGAAATCCTAGAATTGACAGGGAATTTAAATTTGTTTAAATAAAAATCAGGGAACATTGTTTTAATCTAAACTAATTGTGCAAAAAACTTGAAAAATAACCAATCTTGAAATTCTTGGTAAAGTAAGTAAATAAATCGAACATACTTACAATTCTTGTAATGATTCTGCTGCAACATGATTAAAATTTCTTAGAATTATTAAAATTTTGCTACAAATTTGCTAAAATAAAAACTCTTTCTTTAATAGGTTCTTGCTTCAAATATATTCTTAATTTTAACCATATTTGCAGTTTAACAATACTATTCAATTGGTTGCTTTTGATTTAATTAAGAAAGTAAGACTTAAATTTTGGTTCATAATACTAATATAATCACAATCCTATAAAAAATTTATTGGGTATATGACTGATAGGACTCCAAGCTGGCAAACTGTTGTATAATTTGAATTTTAAAATTTTCCAATTTGCATACATTTTATAATTTATTGGCTTATGTGTTATAAAATCTACTTGTTAAACCTTTATCTGATAAAGTTTTTTCTTAAATTTAATTAGTTTTTTTTAAATAAAAGGTAAGTTTGAAATAAAAGGTGTTACTTCTGAAATAAAAATTATAGATTATTGATGAAATAAGGCTATGTTTAGCAAAATGTGCTGTCTGTAATTTTGTTGATATTTTCCTTAGAAGCGTGGGAAATTCAAAGGAATTTATTAATGAAATTGAAAAGAGAATCCCATTCAATTGCTATTCTCTTCTAAAAGTGGAACTTAAGGTCTTGAATATAAAGTTTGAAAAACATTTTAAGCAGTTCATGTCTATCTCTTCAAAATATTGTTTAAAAAATTAAATCAATCTTTGAATTTAAGTGTATACTAAAAATTTGAAATGACTTCATTAATATTTGATTGGTTGAAAAAAATTATAAACTATGCAGGATTCTAAATTAAAAAGCTATCATAAATTGCATTGTGGAGTAAAAAACTATTTTTGTTTTAAATTTTTTCTTGCAATTTTTTCCAAATGTTTCATTTATAAGGGTGCTTTTTCCCTTGATTAAAAGAGAATTAGTTGCTAGAATTTGAAGAAGAAATGTATTTCAATTTGTTATTTAATTTGTATTATCTTAATTAATAAATCTAATTTAAAGAAATGTTATGTGTATTGATTATAACAATTTATATTGAATTCTCTTTTACCTTTTTCTGCCTTCATTAGAAATTTTTTTTAAATATTTCTTGGATTACTACAATTTTGTTAAAAAATTATTTTTTGATTATTTCAGACTCCAGATTTCTATGTTGAAATTCGATGGGAATTCATCAGCTGGGGTATAAGTCTTACCAATTTTTACTCATTATAAGTCGATTATTAAATACATAAATCACTTGCTATTTGTGAACTTAAAGCATAGAATTTTTAATTGCTTTTAAGAAAAATTTAATAATTTCTTTAAGTTTTTTTTAAAAAAATATTACGTTTACTGTTAAAACACAAATATTTTTACACCAGTCAATATTTAAATGATGCATCGAATTATTCATAATTTAATATTTTTTTACTACGTATTTAGTTAAATTACATTTCGTTTTTAATTTTGTTACATATTTTTTAGAGTAAGAAATTGTTTATAAAGTCACAATACTTTATAATTCATTGCAGCAAGTGAATCATTTTTTACCCTGTTAAATCAACGTTCTTTGAAATCAGCTAATTTGTTTTTTCTTCATAATTCTGATGCATATTACCCTCTTATATATTTTATCTGTTGGCTTATTTATCTTTGCCTATTTTTTAACATTTTGTGCATTGTTTTTATATGTGAATTATTTTTGTAAATATATAAGTAGTTCTAAGAATAGTTGGAACTTTAAAGTTAAATAGAAACTCATTATGAATATCTGTGACACAAGAAGCCTGTATCAGATACTATACAAGATATACACAAAAAGTGTAAACACCATTCGCAGAAAATTTGTCATTTTCACAAAATTTTTTTATAGTGTTACTCATTATGTATTAAAAAAACAGTCAAAATTGTATTTGTATCAAAAATTGAATGGACAGCGGAGATTTAAAAAAAAAAATTACTACATGTTTCTGAGTGACTTAAATTTTAGAAATAGAAAGAAAAATTACTAAAGAAATTACTAAACAAAGATTACTAAAAGAAAAATTACTAATATTTGAATAAATTTAGTCAAAATAAGGTTGACAAAAAGGTTTAAATTAATTATTCAAGTCAATAAATTGTTTACAGAAAGTTTTTTAAATAAGATTTTTGGTCCTCAGTAGGTTCTTTATCTTATTTAAGTCTGCTCAAAGGATTAAATGGTCTCTTTAATTTCTTCTCATTTTTATTTTTTTCACTTCAGAAAATTTCATAATTACAATCATATTTACAATAAAAACTGACAATGTTTTTAATCCTTCTAGTTCCACTCTTATCCAGAATGTGCCCTAGTGATACTTACAAAGTTTATAAATGTGGTATGTATTTTATTTAATGCCTTTAGAAAAGTTTTATTGACTAACAAATAATATTTATTATATTATCATTTAATATGTTTCTATTTTGTATGTTATTACAGTCAAACCTCGGTATAGTGAACCTTCAAGGGACTCACAAGTCACGGTTCGAAATCTCAGTTCACTATAACCGGGAGTTCATCCGCACTGCAAACAATTTTAATTAATTTCCCAAACTGTTCCCTTTTATTACACATTATTTAAATAAATGACCCATAAAAAGAAATACAAAAATGGTTAAAAAACAATATGTAGTTTCAAAAAATGTGTTAACTTTTATTTTTTATTACTCTTTGTCTTACACTGAAAAAATTTAGGGATAGGAAACTGAGATAAAGGAAGCAAAAAAAAAAAATGCTTATGGCTACATTCCATTCAATAGATATTTTTAAAAATCGGTATATGTATTTTATGCAAAAATTTCAAAATTACCAAAACATTAAGAAAAAAAGTCAGTCGAAGACAGAAAAAAGTTAATAATATCCAATTTCCTCTCTTTTTTTGGTTCACTATGTCCGCAGAAAATATTATATGTGTATAGCAAGGCACGATAGCCAACATTTCGTTCACCATAAACCATGTTCACTTTAGCGGGGTTTGACTATTATGTTACCCTTAAATTTGTTAAAGGTAATATTAATTTCTTTATGTTAAGTCATATGTTCTTTAAGCTCACTGAATATTATTTGTTTCTTATTTTTGTGCTTGGATTAAGTTTATGTAAATTAGAGTATTAGGTTCAATTTCTCTTTCTTAATGACCTTACAGGCTCCAGTGTTCGAATTGATACAACACTTCTAGGATTTTATCACTCAAAATGGCAGAGGGGTAATCGGAGCTATATTTTTAAGGGTCATGGTAAGTTTACTATTTTATCAAATGTTGAAGTTAAGATATAAGTGATATTAATATAATTAAGTAAAATTAAATTTTCCAAAATTTTATCTTGAAAAGTTTGGTTTTTATGTTTTAGGATATTTGATTATGCACTTATTTTAGTATACACCCTGAAATTATAATAATAAAATCTTTCAGATTGGTAATAAGTGTTCAGTTTTTGTGAAAAACCTTTTGTTTTCATAGAATTAGAATCTGTTTCTTTCTTTTAGCAAATGTGAGATTTTAATTTAATCACTTTATATTATCGGCAATAGTTTCTAATTTATTTTTCTTTATTTGCATTACTGTGTTCTTGCAAGCACAAAAAATTTATATTTTTTCATTCGAAATATCAAATGATTTAGAAATGGTATTACTGTTCTGAAAATGTAAACTTTATACAATGTTAAAATATATTGATAAAAATACAGATTTTAAAGTTCAGGGAGTTATATTGAGGAATTTTTTAAGTGATTTTAAAATTATTTTTTTAATAAATTATTTTTAATATTTTTCTTTAAATGCATCTTTGAATATTTATTTTCTCACAATTTTCAGTTTAAATTATGGAAAAAAAAGCTCTCAAGTTGTTTATCAGTTGTCATTTAAGTTGACCTTTTTTGAAGAAAAAAAATGTGCACCCTGATTTTCTTTTAGCATGCCTTTAATTATTTTTTATGAACTACAAATTTTTCTCTTAGTTTAATACTGAGTGAGAATTACTTTAATTACTTTTTGAAATATACACATAAAACAGTATAAGAGGTTAAATTAAAAATTGTTGAGGATCAAATTCAGTGATTACATTATATTACGCATTCTGACAAATTTTTACAGTGATAAGTGAGTGTTTTTTCGAAAGTCAAAGTATCCTTTTCTGTGAAGAAACGCTTTGCCCTTTTTTATTTTTAGGGAGAACTCTGTCTCTTTTAATATTAGGACTTCTTCTTGAATTTTAGAATGCCAATTTTATGTTTTTCAAACAGTTTATGCACAGTTTTTATACTTAACTGAGCAAAGAAAAATTTCTTGCCCTTATAAAAATTCTTAAAAAATTACCAAAATTTTGTGTTTTTGTTATAATTTCTAATAATCTTCTTGTAAGTGAGTCTAGTAGGGCTAAAAGTTGACTGATGTCAACTTATAAAAACATTGTAGCATCTTAACTTGGTGTCAATCTAAAGTAGACAAGATGTAATTTTTTACATGAATTAAATAAAAATATTTATTTCAATTGAGCTTCAAAATATCTATTTTTGTGCATTTTCTTTTATGTTATGAAAATTAATGTAATTTCTTTTCTTTATGCAAAAGTTCTTAAGTTTTAGATTTCTGAAATAAATTTTATTCCTTCCAAGATGATGGTGCTGTTATCATGGAAGTGAACCACGATTCTAAGAAGGTTTTTATGGAACAGATGAAAATACTTCCTCAGCACATGATGACAGTCATGGTTGCCCTCTCACCGTCACCAGAACAAGTAGCTGCTCGTTTCCAAGCACCCATAGTAGCCACATATGTCGACACAGAAAAGATCCATTTTGATAGGTTTGTCACAATTCTACTTTCTCTGCTCTACTGTACTGTACAAATTTATTGGGCTAAGTGAAATTTTTTAAACCTAAATGTGTTGAAAAAACTGTAAAATACCCCTTGAATAAAATGTTTTCAGTTTTTGTCTCTGCAAACAGCGCTCTATTATAGTTTGTCTAAGCTAAGAACTTCTCCAGACATTTGTCTGGATCTGTGGCGATGACTGTGGAGTTGTTTCGGGTCAGATCAGCGAGAGAAGGGGAATCTCTTCAGTCTATTGTGTTAGTCCTAGAGTGAAGCTACGCTCCTTAAAATGCGCCATTTTTGTTTCCATAGCACCAGAGGGCTTTAGACTTTGTGGTGGGAGGAGTTCTTAGCTTAGACAAACTATGCATGCATTCAACCAAGAACATATAATTATTGCGCATTAAATTATTCGAAACATGCAGTCATTTTATAGGACATTTCATCTTGTTTGGAACCCTGTCATAACTCAAAAATGATCAAGAGATTCGGGGTAACTAACAGTAATTCTGCTAGACTTCGGAAGCTATGTGTCCTTAAAATCCAGGACTTATGAATTTTCCGGTCCTTTTACACTAAAAGTTGGTCTCTATTTTATTTAAAATTATACGTATAATATATCAACGCATTTATATAATCAACGTATTAATATAATCAACGTATATATATATAATCTTATAATTATTCAAAAAAAATTTAATTTGCTGTATCCTAATTAATTAGCTTATACCAATTAGTTTGCTCATATACAAACAATGGGGTCTGCAAATCTCAGTCACCTAGTCATTGTGGTGCCTATAAGTTGGTAACTTGCCCCAAAATTTAAAACTTAAAATCTGTATATTTCTGTGTGGTATGCTCTAAAAATTTGGCTCTGACTCCTTATATTTTAAAATACATATTTTTAAAATCTCTGTTTTTTATTCTGTCAGTTTCTAAGAACAAGCATTGTTCATTTATCTGTTATTTTAAACCAAGCTAATATTAATTTATGCTTTGACTTGTGTTTTTTCAATTATTATAGACTGAAGTCAGGGTTGCTTCATAGGAAAAGCAGTAAACCGGTGATAATAAATGGCTATGAATGTAGGGTACAGTATCTACCAATACTATATAAACATTTATTTCTGCTTTTTTATTTATATTTATTTATTTCTGTTTCATATTATTTACTTTTATTTCAAATTGTTGTTTCACATGAAACTGGTACTCAAATTTTTTATTTCTTCTAATGATTGGGTTTCTGAGCAGGTGGTTTTCTAATTTTTTACGACTTTTATTCAAAATATTAGAATAAAAGAAAAATTCGGCATCAGAAAATTTCTTGCTTTATTTATTTGTTTTTTACTTACTTAAATTACAAATTTAATGAGTCAAGTCTACATATTTCACAATATGTTTATACTTCTAAAAAATCAAAAAAATAACATGAGTTAATCATAGAATTTATTTTTTGAAAAAAATAAAATGTAAGAATAAAATTTCTTGTGGTCCAAAATATTAGAATATTTCACTATAAATTCTGAAATTCATTTTTTTAACAGAGAAAGAAAATAAAATAAACATTCCATTCTTCCAATACTGTTGTAAAATTTTGCTAACGCTTGATTGAGAGTAATTCAATAAGTTTACTATATATTGTTTATTTTTACCATATCAGTATAAGTCATTAACTTCCAGTTTTACTCATTCTGAAATATCACGTATATGTCCCATTTTAAAACAAATTCGAAACATAAAGTACTTGAGGAAAGTCTTAAAAAAGTCTAAATGGACAAAATTAAATATTTTGAGATTGAATAATAATTTTTTTAAAGAAAAAGACCAAAATTTAAGCTTGCGTCTCAATTTGATTGAAAATAAATTACTTAAAAATATTGTTCGCATATCATCGTCATCATCATAGTTAGCCCGACAGCCCAATGGGGGCATGCCTTTCTCTGAAGATTTCTCCATAATGATTTCCGATTTATCTTTGATCTCCAATTCTTTTCATTAATTGCAAGAAAATCAGCCTCTATCGAATCAACCCGTCTCAGCGACGGCCTTCCTCGCTTTCTTGTCCTGTGGATCTTCGCTTATAAGTATTATAGAAATAAAATGTTTTCTTTTAATCGGATGAAAAAGTTGATTATTCTAATGTTTCAAATCAGAGTCGTATCAATCATTATTATTTTTGTCTTTTTATATCTCACTATAATTTTTAAATAGTTTTTCTATTACCTTGCTTTAGAGAAATTAAATATGGTAGAAAAAGTTGAGGAGATTGTTGTATCAAACAGTTTTTTTATTTATTTATTTTCAGAAAATTTAAAGCAACGTGAATACAAAACTTAGTCAAAATTTTATATTTCATTTTGCGTATAAAAGTCTTTTGGTTGAAAAACCTTTATTTTTTCATGGTGACATAAATTTTGACAAAAAAAGCATTAGAAAATTTATCATTTTATTTTTTAAGACTGATGTTCAATGTTTAAGGGTTCATTATACCAATGAGACTCTCATTTATTTATTCATTACTACCATAAAATATGTTTTAAAAAAGTTTAAATTCATATAAACTTTTCAAATTAATAATTCTATTGATAATTAAATATACAGATGTGAAATTTTTGTGGTTAGTAACAGTAACTATTTTATAAAATTTTGACAAAGGAAAAAAAAGAAAGTTTACCGTTATCTTTCATATTTCCTATGAGATTCTCATTTATTTATTCATTGCTACCATATAATAATGAATGTTTTACAAAAATTTTAAATGCATATAAATGTTTCAAATTATTTAAACCTATTAACATTTAAATGTGACGCCCGGTGGCTGAGCGGTAGCGCTTCACGCTGTCGTGCCACAGGTCCCTGGTTCGATCCTTGGGCCGGGCGAGGTTCACTCAGCCTTTCATCCCTTCAGTGGGTCGATAAATGAGTACCAAGCATGCTTGGGAACTAAACACTGGGGGTTCCGCATTCGGCTGACCACCTGACCGGAACATCTGCTCCTGCACCCCAGAGCCCAAGGTCAAGAAAACTGAGATGGGCACAGTAGGCCTTGGCCCTCTATGGGCTCTCGCGCCACTGAGTTTAGTTAACATGTAAATGTAAAGGTTAGAAATTTTTGTGGTTAATAACTGCAGCTATTTTGTAAGTTTTGACGAAAAAAGATTTTAGAAAGTTTGTCATTTTATTTAAGAGTGTTGCATACCTGCCAAGTCTCTTGTTATCTAATGAAGACTCCTGTATTTTACTGCTATCTCCTGTTTACCTGTATTTTCTGAAATTTCTCTGTATTTGTTGAAAAATTAAGAAAAAAACTTTTTTTTTTGGCGATAGAATATCCGCTAATGGCAAAAATTCATCTTGTATTCCTCAACAGATGGCACTATTGCCAGTACTCCAGTATGTTGTGTGTTTATAGTTTAAATAATTATAAATAATGGTTAAAAAAAATATTCTTTAGATTAAGATTTATATACGTATTTTTTACTTCGCTACTTACATGATTATGCATGATGTATCAAAATCTTACTTGTAGCCCAGAAAATGCGCCTAGAAAAATATCTGTTATTTTATTTCTCCAATGTTGGCTGGTATTCTGTTTGCTTTTAATCACGAAAATATGTGTGTTAAAATTTGTATAATATGGCCATTGATAACAAAAATGATACATTTTTCGTAAAATTTTTCTCTTATTGGAATATTGTGAAGAAGAAATATTAAAACTCAATATGTGTGGGTTTTTTAAGGCACAGAGTTTTTATTCTGTTGCACCAATCTTAGGTTGTGTGATTTATTATTAGTTACTTATCTGCATATATTGTTTATTGTATTAAGCGATAGAGTAAGCTTTTGAGTGACAAGAACTAAAAGGTTGAAATTATGTGCTTAAAACTTGTTTCAATTTAGGTTTATGTTGCCACAAATGTTGAATTAGTGACCAAAACACGAACTGAACATCTATCAGAAAGTGACAAGAGGAAATACAAAGCTACAAGATCAGCTTTTCAATCTTTCTTAGGTATTATGGAAGTGGATGAACGCACAAACATGTTATCAGTAAGTTTTATTTTACTTTTTTTATGAAACAACAACTATATCAAATTCTGCATTGTTTTACTTTTTATTCCTGCAATAATGCATTCATGATAAAATTTCAATACATTTTCATGATGATTCAAATGATGAGTTACTTTTTTTTTAACTAAACATATTTACCAAAATGAGTTTTTGTCAATAAATAAGCAAATATTTAGTGGAACCTTTTGACAAAAAAATTGTGTGTTTTATGGTATGCAACTTTATCAGCAACAACAGAACAATACTAGGAGCATAACATGTTTGGCTACTTATATATGTTTCATTTTTTAAATGAGTATTGTTACTATTTTTAAGCTTAATATAGTAGTGTAATGAAGGTTTTGAAAAATATGTTACTTAAAAACTAATGCCATGCATGACGAATTGTTTTTCAGTTTGAATGAAAAGAATATAGTATTATAATAAAAATACAATATTTATAATAGTGAAACTCAGTTGAATACAAGGTTGAAAGTTATTGTATTCGAAGTAAAAATAAAAACATTTATATTAAAAAACATATTTATAAACTAAAATCTTCATTTTTTTTGCAATTTTCCATAAATAATGAAATGTACTTGTAGTACTCTTATACCATGCATAATAAATTTGGATGGATGGGTCCTTTTTAAATATTTTAATTTCTTAGTAGCAATTTAAATATATGTTATTGGTTACGTAGTTGTGATGGTATTATGAAAATTTCTCAATCAATTATGTACTTTTTTGATTTCAAATTGCACAAATATTTGAGCTCTAAGTTTTATTCTATTTATTTTATTGTTGGGAGATTTAACTATACATTTTTATATGTTTAGCTTCTCATAATAATTTTTTAAAAAAAAGAATTAAATTATGTTATTCTATCAATTTAAATTGCTTACATTTTAAAATGTTTAATTTTCTTCATGAAAACTATATCAATAATGAATGTTAGTGATGTAAAATTTTGTTTAGTATTTTAAATGTTAAATTTTTTCTAGGAAATACGCTCGCCAAATCCAAGTTCAATAACTCCAGAAGAATACTTTGATCCTCTCGTTGACCTGAAAGGACGTGACATTGGCCGTCCTAGAGAAGTTACTACTAAAATGCAAAAATTTAAAGGAACTTTATGGCTGTGTGAAAATTATCCATTATCTCTTCAAGAGCAGGTATTGTGACAATTTTCCAACTATATTACATATTTACTACTAGTATTAGTAAATCTTATTTGTACTATACATATCGTAGAATGTTGAAATGGATTATTATTTTTAATTTGAAAACAAATTTTTCTACAGTTCCTAAGAGTGTTCTATTGTGTTAATGCAAATTTAATGCTTATTATTTAAGGAAATATCTCTTTTTGAAAATCACTCTAATTTATTGAGTGTATAGTCCTAAATGCACTTATTTTGATTTTTTCATTTTATCATTAGCCGTTTTTTGAGATCGAGTAGTTCCTCTTTAAGAGGTTTCCCTTGTAATCTTATCACTTTGCTGTTATGTATTGATCTTTGCATGATATTTTCCCTCATGTCTGCAATTTCTATTTTTTTATCACTTTCATCTTTTTTTATGTTTTAAGATTTTCAGATTTTTTTTATGCTTTAAAAATTGCTTAACAAAAAAAACAAAAAACATTATACTTTTTCCAAAATGTATAAAAAGCAATGAAATAAATCTTTAAAATTCTTGGATTGGTAAAGATTAATGTTAGATGTTGGCAATTTGGATTTCTTAATGCGGCTATTGAGGTGATCATTCCCTAGTTAATTTTTATAAAGTTATGATCTTTGTTAATTAAAATGAGGTTTTTGTGGCCAGTTTTGCTATTTGGATCTTACCAATTTAAATTAATAGTTTTATTTTAAAGTCATAAAGACGAGATGAGAAGCAGCTTCTGTTGATCTGGGAATCTGAGCACCATATAGGTAGATGTCTGTCTTGACTCGTGTTGGTGTTTTTTTTCGTCTGGCACCTACCCTTCAGCCTGTCTGGCTTGGGAGGTAGCTTGGGTCATTGGTACACGCAAGCCTCACCGCCTCGACAAGGCAGGAACATCATCAGGAGGACTGGTATGCGGGCAAAGAGCCAGGTTCTTCATTCTCCCTCAATTGTGACAGAGCTTCTAAAACGCAAGCGGTCACACAAAAAGTCTCTCGTTTTTCAAAGGCAGGAAAATCTTCGAGGTCTGCTCCACATGTCAAACTGAGCAGGCTTCTCCCGAACACATCCTGGACTGTTTGGGACTTTCCAGAGAGGACATATACTCATCCACCCTGCTGCTCCTCTATTTCCTTAGGCCCTTAGGTGACTTCCTCAGACATTTGGAGGATAAGACACAACAACAATTTTAATGTTGTTGCATAATCTTATTTAATTAAAACTTTATGTGAATGATGTTTATTTAGTATGTAAATTTAGTATGTTTTCTGACTTGTTGAAAGTTGAACCATGATGAACTTATATCAATCCTTTTCTAAAAAGTTTTTTAAAAAAATATACAATTTGATGCTTTTCACACCATGGAGCAGCATTTTAACTGCAAAAATATTATTAGCTAATAAATTTAATAAGCTTGCTGCACACAAATTAGTATTTTTTCTTGTTGGCTTGTGTATTTTATTTTTTTTAAAGAATTTTTCATTGAAATGATTATGATTTCTTTTACAGCTGATACCTATAATTGACTTGATGGCAATAAGTAACAGACATTTTGCAAAACTTCGAGACTTTATACTTCATCAGCTGCCTGCTGGTTTCCCTATAAAAATGGGTGAGGTATACATCATGATTCTTATTATAGTAGATACATTTATCACAGTTAAACACATTTACCATGTATAGGAAATTGGAATCTTTTCACCTAATATATTTTATTTTCATCTACTGTAAATATAAAATTGTATCATGGTGTTTAAAATGGTACAAACCTAAGATCCATATTTTTATTTTAAGTAGTTCAATTAAAGTACATGCATTCATTGATAATTTGAGAATAGCATATTTTGATTATAATATGTGCTATAGTTTCAATGTAAGAAAATTTTTTTCATAAATATATGCACTTTAATCTTTAAATAATAATGACCTTGAATAAAACTTAAAATTGTTTAATTTTTTTCTTTTCTTTTTTTTATATTTTATTTTGTTAGAAGTAAGTAGCTGATTGTTGATTAGTTGTATATTAGGCAAAATTTGTAAATTTCCTTGTAAAAATTTCAGAACAATTTCAGCTCTTAAATTTTCTATACTGAATTCGTAACATGAAATTTGCTTAAAAATATAAAACTTTCTAGTAAAAGTACAGTTTTAATTTAAAGTATACCTACCTATATTGTAGTTTTAAACATGATACTCTTTTCATATAGTATAGTTGGACCATAATGGCTTTCAATTCTGTTTAAAGGCAAATATCACATTACATATACTAAACTCAGTGGCGCGACAGATCATAGAGGGCCAATGCCTACTCTATCCACCTCAGTTTTCCTGACCTTGGGCTGTGGGGTGCAGGAGCAGGTGTTCCAGTTGGGTAGTCAGCCGAATGTGAAGACCCCAGTGTTTAGTCCCCAAACATGCGGCGTGGTATTCATTTTATCGACCCACTGAAGAGATGAAAGGCTGAGTCATACAGGGATCGAACCCTGAACTTGCAGCACGAGAGTGCGAAGCACTACCACTCAGCCTCTGGGCATCATAATGTTGCATATACAGGGTGAAAGAAATAACTTGAATTAACTTAAAAGGCAAAGATTAGAAGAAAGAACCTATCGCAAACTCATTTTGGAGCTATTAAGTCTCAGTCTGAAAATCTAATCATTAGATCAAAAGTTATTCAATATTTGTGCACTGTACTTATACATTTGTTTAGAAGATGTTTAAGCAAATGTTAGAGAAAAAGACAGAGATATTTACAGTTTTTTTACTTTCAGAGGTGCCGCTGTTTCGGGTTCTTCAAGCCAGAGTTACGTTTGGTAATGTATTTGCCTTAGATTCTCCTGTACCTTATGTTTCACCATACAAGATTGATGGGTGTCTTGCATGTGAAATTGACACAGCTTGCTTTGATGTGCCTGATAATTACGTCAAGTTTGGTGAGCTCCTATAAATATATATAATTACAATGTCATTCTCTTACTCTCTGCTAATAGTCATGAGAGCTTGGAAAAGTCTTTTTTTTATTTATTTATTCAGTTTCAAAATACTTGAAGTACTTTCAACTAATTATTCTTACTTTCGATTTAAGTTTAAACTTATTATTGTTACTGATTATTCTTCTATTTATTACCTTTCCCTTCAGGTAACACGCAGGCAAATCGTTCAGCTGAGAAACCACCAATGACTGCAGAAAGCCTAGCTGAGAGGAGAGAGGAAAGAAAGCAGAAACTTTTGATGAAATATGGATATACATCACCACCAGCTCCTTGCACAACAGCCACTGTGAGTCCACCTACTATTTCTATATAAATACAACAGAGAGCTGTGGTGGCTCAGAGAATAGAGTGTTCGTTTTCCAATGAGGTGAATCGGATTAAAATACCAGCAATGGCTGGTTGATTCGAATTCCGCACCTTGCCTGCACTGACCACAGTGCTGATGTTACATATCCTCAGTGATAGACGGATCATGGTACATTGATCAGTGGTACATTGACCAAAATGAATATAGGAATTCAAAAGCTTTCTTCCTTTTTCAATACCACTGTAATTAGAAAAGCATTCTAATATAGATATCGCAATACTATAGAATTGCTGGTGGTAAAGCTAGAAAAAGTTATTAACTTCCCTTCGGTCTATCCGAATTTTATTTTTCATGAACCCCATTCTAATAGCTGATTTTTCAAATTGGGCCAAAAGTTTTGCCATATGATGTCTTTTAAAATGTTTGCTGCGAAAAGAAAGATTGCTTACCTAGCGTTTGTAAAGAAGTGTTTCCAAATTTTTATCCAACCCCTGTATATGGCTGATACTACAAGTTTGGGAACATCTGTGTTCCGAACAAACGCTGAAGCCGCAATGGCACAGGGAATAGAGAGTTCGTCTTTCAATGAGGTGACCCGGGCTCGAATCCCAGCGATGGCTGATAGATACGAATTCCGCATCCGACTTGAACCGACCACGGTGCTGACATGAAATATCTTCTGTGGTAGATGGATCATGGGTTAGAGTCCCTTTGCCGTGCTAACAGTGGGAGGTTGTCGTGGTCTTCCTCCCCATGTAATGCAAATGCAGGTTAGTTCCATCAAAAAGTCCTCCACAACGATAAGTTTCGTCCAATACTTGATCCAGGAGTTCCCTTGATTTCTGGATTGGGTTCAAAATTACAAGGCTACGGGGTTGAACATTAGCAGTCGTATACCAAAAATTGGGTCGGCTGTTCAACGCCGGATGTTAAATAAAACAAATACAACAGAACCTTGATTATTCTATACGCCTTGAAACAGAATATATCTGTTGACTGAAAGAGAAATCAAGAGCCTATTGTACTCTTTTGACTTTCTGGGTTAGCTTTATAAATGTATATAAATTTAAGCATATTGAAGGCTGAATCTTGAAGTGTCAGATTTGCCTTACATGTGTATTGTGGTGAATATTACATAATTATATTTAAGACAAACTAATTTTTCAAACTAAGTAGCAGTAACTAAGAATTAAGTAAAATGGTATATCTTAGGTTTAAAATGAATAAATGATAAAAAGGTATATCTTAGGTTTAGTAGGCAATTATTATGTTTCACATTTGCATGCATTGATCTGTTGTTTTTGTTAAAAATAGTGAAATTACAATGACCATTTCAGTCTCCCATCAGCATGTATTCTGGGGGCAGTTTACCAGCTCAACCATCGACAAGCACAGGTGCCTCTGCTTCTGGGGAAACTTCAAATCAAACAGAAGGAGGTCGCACTTGGAGGACTGTTGCCAGAAAACTGAAGTAATTGTTCACATTCATTTATTTAATTTTACTTGTTCTGTTTGGTTCACTACAATTATTAGAGATTATTTAAAAACTGAAAATAATCTTTCAAAATTATGTGACGTATTAAATCATGATTTTTAATTTATATACACCTCTATTCTCTTCTTTTACCAGATAATTATTGGTTGATTTTAATATTAAAAAATTATTGGTAAAGATTTGAGTTGTAAATAATATGAAGCTAATTTTTTATGTTCATGCCAGTCGAACTGGCATTCAAAATTATCTAATAGATGCTAATTTAAACATTGAAAATTATACCACGTTTTCAAACATATTTTTAAATTTTTGCACATTCAATTATTGTTTTATTATAAATACAAAAAAAACTTACTTATTTGGAAGGAATGTAGTCAGAATTGATGCAAAGCGAATTTATATTCATTTGAATGTGCCAATTAAAATTTTTTATACTTAGTATTTGTTGGTGTTGTTTTGTAATTTATACGCATAACTTTTATTATTTGTTTTATTTGATACTTTTTTTTTAACAAATGCCTATGTGTATGCTCACACACAGATATTTCATATGTTCTATGTCAATTTGTTTCTATTTAAACATCTTAAATAATTTTTATTCCCCTTATTCAACATATTCTCCCCATTATCTTATATTTGAAATAATGCAAATAATTTTTTTTTTGTTTTCTTCAAATGGTAACTGTTTTATTTAATTAGAAAATACTTGCTAAAAATGATTTCATTTATTTTCTTATTGATATTTTCTAATGAATAATTTATTTTCTCATTGATTTATTAAAGATATTTGTTTGCCAAGAACTTACTTTGTATCAAAAGACTTACTGTATTATATGTATATTTTAAAAGTTTTTTTTATAATCAATAATTATTCAATGTTTGTTTAATCAAAAAAATATTTTTTATAATTGTATCCCAAAGTTTTAGTTTGCATAAGAAATTGTCTAGTTAAAAAAACTGAAATATCTATTATTATTTTGCATGCTAATATTTACAAAAATTTTCTTCCCTACATACAAAATCTCTATATACATACAAAAATTGTATGTATCTTTATGTGGAAATGTAGGTAAACTGTGGCACTTGCAAAGCTTATAGTATAAAAATTTTGTTCGTCCCAATTTTTGAGAAATCAATTGAAGTTTTCTTTTAATAAAATTATTTGAAATTTAATCTCAAGAAGAAAAGGTGAATTGGAAAAATCCACAATAGTTCAGTTCAAAATCTGAAACTAATTTATGAGGGTTTGCAAACTAGTATTAATAAGCTAGTAAAATTGGCTATTTAAATTACTAGTTTGCCAATATTTAAATTATTGGCAAACTAGTAAAACTGGCTATTTCTAAAAGTGTCTTTCAAAAATTAATCAAAACAAATTTGATTTTGTAGCAATTAAATGAAATATCAACCAGTCTTTTCTTTGCAACTGTGCATTAATAGGTTAAAACCAATATTTATTTCATGGAACAATAGATTTTATTAAAAAGTTGGAGTTGCATTGCTGTTAAGTTTTCTGAACCCCCCCCCAAAAAAATCATTGAGGGGTTTTAAAAAAATTTTTTATTTTTGTTATTTAACAAAATTTTGCTTTTTTATTCCTTGTTTTCTTATTTTAAGAATTCAAATTTGTGTTTTTAATTGCATCTAAATATGTTACAAATTAAAAATTGTCGTAATTTTTATGCCTTTTTTAATTGTAAAAAGCTGTCTGATTTTTAATATTTATTTTTATTCTTTTTCATAGGCTTGCATTTACGAAACATTGATACAGATTAGACATTAGAATTATTTTTAGGTATGATATTTTTTCCTGAAATTCATAAATATAATAATTGATTTTTTTAATACAAGTGTAATAATCTGAATTGATAAATGGTCATAAATTTTTACCTTCATTTAAATTACTTTAAAAACCTATTAAACATCCATTATAATGCACTTCCAAACAAAAGATTCTTTACTTTTCTATTATCATGTGCAAGCCAATTGGATTTTTTAATTTCTTTTAATATGTGTTGTAGAATTATATATCTTTTAGCCTAAATAAATCCAAAGATATTCCAGGTATAAATACATCTTTTAAAAAGTTTTTTCATTGAAATATTAATAGCTAATCCATCAGTTCTAGCAGTTGAAGTCCTTTTGCTGCATGATTGATCTTAAAGCGACTATTTTCCCTCTTAAAAGGTCTTAAACCACTGAAAAACCTGGGCTTCAGGCGTACCACTGTCTCCTTAGATCTGCTAAAGTTTTGCAAAAGTTTTAGTTACATAAATACGAAACAAAATCTGATAACATACTGTACTCCATATTAATGTCATTCATTTTTAGAATGTACCACTGTCAAACAAAAACATGCGTAACATATTTTCCAACAACTAAAAACAAAATTATAATCCTATTTATTCATTTTCTCAATAATAAAAATCATTTATGTAATCGGTACTTTTTTATACCTCAACCTTGAACTGAGTGTAGAATTAAATCAATTTTTAGAGATTCCCTTTACATCTGTCTAACTTATTTTATTTTATAACCGTCGTTGAACAGCTGACCTAATTTTGGGTTTACGGCTTCTAATGTTCAAATCCGTAGCCTTGTTATTTTAACCCCAATCCAGAAGACAAGGGAACTCCTGGATAAAGTATTAGGAGAAATTCGCCTTTGTGGAGGACTTTTTGATGGAACTAACCCACATTTGCATTAGCCGAGAGGAAAACTTTCGAAAAAGCCATGAAAACTTTCCATGGTTAGCCTCACAGAAAGACTCTAATCCCTGATCCGTGTCTATCACTGAGGATATTTTCTGTCAACACTGTGGCCAGTCCGAGCCGGGTGCTGAATTTGTATCGATCCATCATCTCTGGGATTTAAACCCAGGTCAACATATTGAAAGGCAAACGCTCTATCCCCTGAGCCACCACGACTCAACATTAGCATAGAATTCAAAAACCTTCTATGGTTGGTATATGTTTTGATTTTATTAAAATTCGTTATTATTTCTCACACCAACACATTTGAATGCATAAAGCTAAAAAAAGGAGCATCGCAACAAGCTAAAGCAATAAGCCAATACATGAATTCTTTACCTTTAAAACTATTCTAGTGTATGCATGTCACTTGCATATTTGATTTCTTGTTGGTCGGAGGTGTCTGGTGTGACTTAGTCCTGCAGCCACAATACTTGATCCAGGAATTTCCTTGTCTTCTGGATTGGGTTCAAAATTACAAGGCTACAGAGTTGAATATCAGTGGTCGTAATTCCTAAATTGGGTCGGCTGTTCAACGACGGTTTTAAAATTATAAAAAATTTAAATATATTATCTGTAGCAATTGCTTGTAAAATACTTCTGACTTGTAAATTTTATTTCATTTTACTTTTATTTCAATTTAATATTACTAGTTTGTCTTCTGTCTAATATATTTGTGTTTTGTAGAAACTGGTCGTACCATGATTTTCTTAAGATTTCCTGTATCAGCTAGTCATACGGCAGTTCTTCCTTTCATTCCAGCATTCTCTCTGGCCATCCATATATCATATAGAGGGGTGTGTATCATAATCATGAGCCATCTTTTATATATTTATACATATTATACATACATTTAAGCTATATACAAATTTATTGATGTCTGTTTTTAACTATACATTCTTTAGGAGATATTATGATCTTTGTATAAATTTTTATGCTTATTTATTTTAGTCATGTACTTAAATAAACTATTATATACTCTCTGTCAATAATTAATGTGGTGTGTAAGCTAGTGCTTTCGAGCTATATTGCTGAAAGTGTAATAGTGCTTTTGTAAAAAGGAAAAATGCTAATTAATGCCAATTTTTTTTCCATGACAATTACGGAACAGTTGTTTCGACAAATTTTTTTCCTTTTAATTAGCTCACTGTTATTATTCAGAAGTGAAAAAAAAATGTTTTATCTGTTTTAAATTTTATCTTCATTAAATAAATAATTAATAAAAAACTTAAAATTTCAATCTCTTTTTGAAAAATGATTTTGCTGTTTCTGCTTTCTGTATTTTTTGATATTTTTATGTCTGATTTTATTCCTTACAATTCTTTTCAGTATTACGATGTAATTTTTCTTGCATGTTTCCAAGCTGATCAGCTGATGATAGTATAGTATATATTTCTCACATTATTTCAAAACCATGACAGTTACATAAGTTTTTTTTCTCCAGTTTTTTTTCTTTTTTAAACATGAGCCTATTAAATTCTTTTTTTAGTTTGCTGCCTTAAACTTCAAGAGTTAATTGTCACTATATTTGGAAATCTGTTTTTAAGTATAAAAATAGTGTACATTTTGAATATTTCTCAGCAACTATCCTTAATGTATATCTGAAAAGAAGTTGCTATTGAAAAGTGAATGCATTCTAATCCTACTTGAGAAAAAAAAAAGCTCTGAGCGTTTTTTATCACTCCATTGCTCTTATTTACCTTGATAATAATCAGCCACAATTAGTTAATGTTTTTTTGCTCCGAAATACTAATTTCAAACCCCTGAAATGCGTGATTTTTTTTCACCTTATTTTTGACAATTATTTTAAAATATACTATGGTTATGTAACATTTTTTACACAAAGGAGGAAAAAAAAGAACTTAAGAAATGTGACAATAAACTTCACTTTAAAGTGGATTTGTTTCAGACAATTCAAATACTGAGATAATGAAAATAAAATTTAACTGAGAGCTTTAACTCAGTTTTTATTTATCTCAGAGCAAAAGCTAGGAGCAATATGTTTTTTTTAATTTTTTTTTTAATTTTTTTTTTTTACAAACGTGCAAAGTATTATGTTTTGCTATTCTTCTATTTGACCTATTCATAAGATAAATTGTGATTTGTGAAAAATATTTAAGAGAGTTAAGTTCATTTTATATCTGTTGATGAAAAAAATTCAAAACAAAATTGTAATTGAAAGTATATATATATATATATATATATATATATATATTTCAACACTTTTCATAATAAATTGTAGATTAGTGAAAATTTGATAAAAAAAAATGCAAACTTTAAATTATTTTTCCTCTAAACAGCAATCCTCATTTAAAGAATTTAAAATTTTATAGATCAAAATTTTATATAGCTGCCTCTGCAGATACTTATATTTATTTATAAGCCGTAGTGGCTCAGATGATTGATTGTTCACCTTCCAACAATGTGAACCAGATTTGAATCCCAGTAATGGCTGTTCATTACAAATCACGCACCCGGCTCGCACCGACCACAGAGCTGGCGTAAAATATCCTCAATGGTTGACGGGTCATGGTTTAGAATCTTCTTGCCGCCAGGCTAACCGTGGGAGATTTTTGTGGTTTTCTTCTCCATATAGCACAAATGCAAGTTAGTTCCATCGTGAAGTCCTACATAAAACAAATTTCTCTCATTACTTGATCCAGGAGTTTCCTTGTCTTCTGGATTGGGTTCAAAATTGCAAGTCTGAGTTGGACATTAGTATTCGTAAACCCAAAATTGGGTCCGCTGTTCAACAACAGTTATTAAAAAATAAAATATATTTATTTATTTATTTGTGTTATTATACTATTTTATTTATTAAATATTATTATACTATTTATATATAAGGCATGAACTTTGTCAATCACCTGATGAAATGAATTAAAATAGAAAAGATGTTCAATCTCTTTTTAAATAAATGCTTCCAGAGTTAAGACTAATATTACCAACCAAATATACATTTAGTTTTACATAAATTTATTTTATTAATTTTTTCGAATATAGTTCAAAAAATGTTTAATCATGTTAAAACAAGTTCAAATTATTGTTAAAATAAGTGCATAAAATTATTTTCCACTCTATTTCTGCTGAATCTTCCAAGAAAAGATTAGTTTTTTAAAAAAATTTGTTTTGAAAAAGTTGAATTACTCTTTTTAAAAGAGTTCTTGATGGTTGGGCAGCTATTAAACATATCCCGTAACATATGTGTACAATCTAATGAATACAGTATGTGTATTAATCTAGAGATATAGACCAGTTGTAAAATTGTTAATTATTTAGAGAAATATATATGTGATCCATTTCATTAAAATGCTAGTTTTCATATAATAACATTGTCATTGGAAATTTTTCTTTTGAAAATAAGTTCCCTAATTGGTGCTGTATATTTTTCTTATAATTATTTCAATATGTGATTATTATGTTGTCATATGTTTTGTATACAGGGAGTTCACTGCTCTGGCACATAGGAGTTGCAAATTAAGTTATTGAAAAACAAAATCGTAATCAAATTCTAACAAATTACTCTTGATAGAGGTAGAATGAAAAACATCAAAACCAGTCTGCTTGCTAGATGGAACTTGAAAATGTTAATAATAATTGCCTTTCACATTCTCTCAGTTACCTAACACAAGTCAAACAGGTTTTGAAGTTTTTAAGATTTCTTTATTCTTTAAAGACTACAAGATTTTGATTTTGTTTTTTAATTACTTAGGCAATCTGTATTAAACTCATCAGTGTCATTCTGTGAATATATAATTAGTCATATAAATTTAGAACTGTGGCTAGTGGATTTATAAAGAAAAAATTAATTTAATCTGTCACAACAGCGTGAAAACATACAGTTCTTTTTAAGGAATTTTTCCAGCTCATTTTTGTCGAGAATTCTAAAAGTACGCACTGTATTTTACTCATTTATTTATTTATTAAATTTTTCCCCATCAAACAACTTGTAGTCTGTGTTGAAGTAATTTTTAAACTCTCTACCTAGTTGAAAAATCTGAGCTATATTACTTGTTGTTCTTACCCAAATCTCTTTTTCTAATAATTAGAAGATAAAGTTAGAAATCTGCCTCTCTTTTAGTGAAGTTAGATATGTTTACTTTATCATTCTAGTCCATTCCATTTTAACAACGTGTCATATTATGAAAATCGATATTTGCTATTTTATTGCATAGTTGCAAGCGTTTTATTTTTTTGAATTATTATTTTTACACAGTAAGGAATAATCAGGATAACTGTAACTTTTTCTGTGTAATAATTTCACGTTTTTAAACATTTTGATTATGTAGTCCTTTTAGCAATTTGATTGAAACCCTTTTTTTAATATTTATTTTAAATATTGATTCTATTTTAATTATTGGTTCTATATAACAAAGCAATGCTAGTAGACATATAATATCTTTCTAAATAAAATTTTTTAGATGCATAAAATGGTTTTTTTCCGTTGTGTTTCGAATTTCGTAATTTCATTTCTACTTGTTGCTGTAACATATTTTGTCCAATGTGTGGTAATAGAGCTTTAATTCTATCGCGTAGTTAGTATTTTGATAAAAAATATGTATAGAATATAATAATTTTGTTACTAATGTCTAATTTAGGAATCAATCAAAAAGTGTCAATTTAACTATGCAACATTTCTACTGATAATCTGTGTTAAACTCATCTGTTTCATTCTATATATATATAATAAATCATATAAATTTAGAATTGTGGTTAGTGGATTTATGAAAGAAAATTTTTATTTAATATGTCGCAAACAGCATAAAAACATACAGTTCTTTTTAAGGAATTTATTGCTTTTTAAAATGTATCATTATTTGCGTATTTCTTTGTTTAAATTTTAAGTAAATTATAAATTGATTTTATTATTAGTTATAATATTATTATCATTATTTTAATAATTTTAAATTTCCACAGAACTGTGCTTCTGAGCATGAGTCCGGTCAATGATCAAGTACGTATAGGTGGCTTGTGCATGTTAAATCCTGTCATGGCTAAATGTCTGTTAGTGCATATATTTGGTTAGGAAGTTGTCAGATTGACGTGTTGTTCATATTAGATCAGAATTGTACTGCATACACTTAGTTGTATTTTTAATTGTCAGTTTTTGCAAAGCTCAAAGCCCACTTTTCAAAGTCAATATATAGCATATTCTGCACCTAACTTTGAAAATGCATCAAAGTACAAAAAATGGCAGCCATGCTGGGATTTAACATGCGTTTACTGCATATATGTACCTGATCTTTGACCGGATTCAGATTCAAAATCACAAGCTATTTTGTTTTGTTTTTTAATTAAAAATGTAAATCTTTATATCTTATATTTATTATTGCAACAGATATAAATATTGGCTTTGTTTAGTGAGGCATTGATCTTGATAGAAAACTGATCAAAATTACCTTTAACCCTCTAAGCCTTTGATCTTGATTTGATTAGTCAGCATTGATCTTGACAGAAAACTGATCAAAGTTACCATTAACCCTCTAAGCGTTTGATCTTGATTTGATTAGTCAGCGTGGAGTGGGGCATTGATCTTGACGGAAAACTGATCAAAATTACCATTAACCCTCTAAGCGTTTGATCTTGATTTGATTAGTCAGCGTTTAGTGGGGCATTGATCTTGACAGAAAACTGATTAAAGTTACCATTAACCCTCTAAACGTTTGTTCTTGATTTGATTAGTCAGCATTTAGTAAGGCATTGATCTTGACAGAAAACTGATCAAAATTACCATTAACCCTCTAAGCGTTTGATCTTGATTTGATTAGTCAGCGTTGAGTGGGGCATTGATCTTGACTGAAAACTGATCAAAATTACCATTAACCTTACTAAGGGTTTATCTTGATTTGATTAGTCAGCGTTTGATAAATCCCAAAAATATTTTAATGTAACATTGCTAGAAAAAAAACTTTTTAAAAATATTAAGAAACTAGGTGCATTTGAAAAGTTTGGTGAATTGTCTCATATGTTAAAGAGAGAGAAACGAGACTTAGAAACAAAATACATTTATTGTCACTAAAAGTAATCTCCATTAGTTACACCATACTTTTGTCATCAGTGGCACTGCTGCTAGTAACTGTCGATAAAGATTTCTCTTGATATCGCTCAAATCACAATTGTCACTCAATGTCATAACTTAGACTTTAGATCACGTAGAAACCCTTTATTACCTCACAGCTTCTACACCACTTTCACTAATTTTGCACATCTCTCCACCATCGTTTTCACAAATACGAATTGCACCTTGCTCCATTCCGTAAAAACACCTTTTTTCACCTTAATTGCTTCAAATTGATTGAGGTGGGCACTTGCACTCAGTTGTCACTATTAGCAGAGCCTGACTAAGGCATGGGCTTACAGGGCAGTTGCCACACATCAGAGGGGGCCCCCAAATCGAATAGAAAGTTTATTTTAAGTTTCCTTTTTAAATGAACTTTTTTATTAACAAAATATCAGTGCAATGTAAAATCCGTCAGTTTTATGTTAGCTTCTTCATTAATCTGTCGTATGAACACAATCTATGTTTTGTAAATTCACAGCTTTCTAGGGCAAAATTCAACTAAATTTTCGCAATAACGATAGACAAATATGGCCAATCAAAAGCTTGTATTTTTACATATCGCAAAATGCAATATGTTTTAAAAAATACACCCTTCTGATTGACTTAATTGAGCCATGGTAATTGCGAAAATTTCACTGAATTCAGCCTTAATGTCAGCAAAGATATGACATTTTCGCTACCAGATGACAAAGTTAACAATAAAGGAAACTGTAATCGGCGTGATGGACATAGAATTGTCAGAAAATTAATAAAATGGACAGAACGATATTTCATCTGACCATTGGGGGGAGACTTAATAGTTATTTTATGTTCTAGTCAATTTTCTTGTTATCTACAATGAGGTGAAAAATTTAAATACCTCCATAAAGTTCAGTTCTTCATTACTGAAGTGGTGAAGCAGTCACTGGGCCTCCAAAGAAATTTTTGCCCCAGGCCCCAATTAGGCTAAGTTGGGTGGTTGGGTCCTGATGATTAGGGTACAAGGGGTACTAGTTTGCATGTCTCACACTTAATCTGCTTAAGTGCAACATCCTAACCAGGGGATTATTCAACTATGGAACTATTCACCCAACTTTTTATATGCACCTTATATGTACAATCTTGTTTAGAATCTTAACTCTTAGTGGGTTAAACAAATTCTGAAATAAATGTTTCTCATAATCATAAATTTAATTCGTTTTTGTGTTCATCTGTTACCATCAAATGTGCTATCTTATTAATATTAATTAAATATTTATCATTATCCATTGACGTTATCAATATCACTGTCATTTACATTTATAACATTTTTTGTTTAAAAAGTATTGGATTGTTTTGATAATTATCCACGCATAATGTATTTTTTTAATTAAAAACCTTATCTTCTTTATTCTAATATTTATTGTTCTGCTTATGTTTTTATTTTATGAACATCTCATCTTTTTTTTTGTTTTTGTTTATTATTCAAGAATTTATATTACATATTCCTCATTTATTTGAAATTGAAAAAAAAAATTCTTTTTTTGTACTTTTGGTATATTTTTGTTACTCAATTTTTAACATATGCTCTTTATAAAATTAATTATTTGAAGGCTACTGAATAAAACGCGTTGAAGCATGTGTTTATACTTTGCTGAAATAGTTATTATTTTTTAATACATAATATTAGTCAGCTATAAAACATTCCTTATTAAAAATATTTATATTTTGTTAGTTTTTATGTTTGTATATTTTATTATTAAAATCATTATCATTTATATTTTATTATTAATTTTTAATGAAACTTTTATTGCATTATATTCATTGCATTAAAGAGTTTGTATCAGCTGTTTTTGATTTAATTGAAATTGCAAAACTGTTTGTATAATTAGTATATTTTCTTAACTAAATTTTTGATGTATGTTCTTTACAAAATTGACTAATTGAAGACAACTGAATTGAATCCTATTTTCAAATGTGTTTTTTACTTAATTTAATAATGCAGTTATTAATTTTCCTTTATAAAGAAATTAATTTTCTATTTGCTTGAATTCTAAAACGCTGTTTTTATAATGGTTTAGAATTTTTCCAAAACTCTACTTTTAATGTACAAAATTTAGTGTACTTTAAATCATTTTGATTAAATCATAATTTGTTATGTATTTACTTAATTTATTTTATATAATTATCTCATTTATAACAGTTATATTCCTGAAATATTATGTGTTTAAATACATTCCAAGTAGAGGATTAAAGAACATTTGTATAGACTTAATATTTGTTATTATAAATAAGTCTCCTTTCATAGTAAATTTTATCCTCAATTATTGTATTTTTTATGCAATTTGTAAACGTGGAATTTGTTGATAGTTGCTCTAAGAGCAAACCCAACGAATTTTATCTTCATTTAGTCTAGTCATGTTTTTTATGATAAAAAAATATTTTTATGAAATCAGTTGGTTTATAATTATTTCTTTTTTGAAGTTTGTTATATATGTTGTTATGATGTTTGTCTAAATAAAAGTTTTATTTTACTGTTGTAATTTTGTTTTATTCCATTATTACTTATACTTTGAACTCAATCTCTGCTGGGCTTCACTTAATGTTATCAGTACTCATTACGTCACGCCTACTTTACTTCAAATAATAATAACAGTCACTTAATGTAATTATTATTTGACATAAAGCAGGCATCAATCCAGGATTTCTTGTTGGGTTCTGGTTTTTGTAACATTGTGAAAAATAGTTTGGAAAATTTAAAGAAACAAATAGAATGTTATAAAAAAATGTTTTGTCTGAAATTGATGTCCTATTTCTACAAAAAGCTGTATTTATATTTACACAAGAAAATAGACTTTTAAATACAGTTACAGTTTTAAACTAGAAAATGGAATTGTAAAACTAGTAATTTAAATTCGAATACAGTTTTATTTAATTTTTTCCCGGTTTTATAATCACACTGTGGCATAAGAAACATCCCCGGGCAACAAAGTTTTGTTTGATATATATGGTTTGATATAAATATAAAAGTAAAATATTTTTAATTCACTTTATAAATAATAATAATAATAACCCTTAACTAAACTTCGAATATATAAGACGGTGAGTTGTTTTTTCATATAAAAAAAAAATTTCATTTCAATATGTTAAGTGGATACATATATATATAGGACACACTTGCTGAGGGGCGTACTTATGTCTATGTACGCTACTGGAATAGCATTTGAGAAGCATTCCTAAACAAACTCTAGCTAATTTCTAAAATTCCATAATTAATGTATTAATTTCATTTAACTTAACACTTGAATCGGTATTAAAAGAATCACAAATAAAAATATAACTTTTATAACAACATGTTACAATTAAACAAAGGAAGAACAAGTATAATTACAAAACTTCGATCAATTGGGGTAAAGTCAAACATCACAATCAACGTGTTTTTTGTCCGATCAATTAATTAGGTGTTCAAAAATTACCTAAATTTTAAAAGGTGTTTGCCTCTTTCGGTTTTGGAAATCCGGTGAGGTACATTAAACATCTTACATAAAAATCTTTCTTCATGTGAGGCTCCAATTCATAAAAGTGCTCCAAATGTTCAACAATTGAGTTTCGACAAGGCCTGTAGACTATATCTGGATATTCCATGCTTATAGCATCTTCTAAAGCAGAAATAACGTGGTAGACTTTGTCACTTGCTAAACCAGTGTGATATTGTGCAAAGATCTTAAAATGTTTGAAATATTTCGTTCCATAATCGCTCTTTATGTCCTCATCGAGGGACTGGAAAGTTGCGTCAACATTTCTGGCTACATTCTCATCGCTTGTCATAGCCGTTCTGCAAAAGATAAATTTCATATACTGAGTGTAAAAAAGAATATGAAAGTACGATACGCTTGCTCCTGTGTGGGACGGTGGAGTTTAAACGATGACACGCAGAGCCTGACTAAGGCTCTGCTTGTCATCGTATATGGGGTAGTTGCTCAAGGCCCCCACGTCAGAGTGGGCCCCCAAATCGAATAGAAAGTTTATTTTACGTTTCCTACTTTAATGAACCTTTTTTAAGCAAAATATCAATACAGAGTAAAATCCGCCAGTTTTATGTTAGCTTTTTTATTAATCTATCGTATGAACGCAATCTATATTTCGTAAATCCATGGCTTTCTAAGGCGAAATTCAGCTAATTTTTTGCAATTATGATGGGCAAATTTGGCCAATCAAAACCTGTATTTCTACATATTGCAAACTGCGATATGTTTACAAAAATACAGGCTTCTGATTAGCTTAATTGAACTATCGTAATTGCGTAAATTTAGCGGAATTCCATCCAAATGTCAGCAAGGATATGAATTTTTGCGCCTAGATAACTAAGTTAACAATAAAAGAAACTGTGATTGACATAGAATTGTGAGAAAATCAATAAAATGGACTAAACGATATTTCGTCTGACCATTGGCGGGGGACTTTATAGCCATTTTATGTTCTAGTCAATTTTCTTTTAATCTATAATGAGGTGACAAATTTAAATACAATAAATACAAATTTAAATACCCCAAAGAAATATTTGTCCCGGGCCCAGATGACACGTAAAGACTTATTGAAAAACTTTGTTCTGTCCTTCAATAACTTTTTCAAAATTCAAAAATATTCTACTAAAATTTTATTTAATTTTGTATGTGCAGGAAACCTTCACGATTTGACTTTTAGATAATGTAGATTACTTGGATCAATATAGAATTGCGAAAAAAGTATTTTTTTAAAATTAGTATTATGAGCATTATAAAATAAAATACTTCAATATTAACTGATATGCAACTAAATTACTTAACTTTATCAATATCTTCAAGAACTAATCGTGCGACTTAGTAAAAATTCAACAAATTCAGAAGCCGTATAAATTAATTAATGCTTAGAATAAAATTTTTCATGTTTTTTTATTTAATACATAACTGACTCTTGTTAAATATTTAAAAACGTTTATTAACATTAAAATATAATTTGCTTTGCTCGCTAACTTTATTTTTTCCGCACTGATGATGTCCAAAAGGTAACTTTTGGAAAAAGAAAAAAAAAACGCACTTTCACAGAAAAGTTAAGAAACAGTGAATTAAATGAAGTGGAATGTCATATGGATTCAATCTACCTCTAGAACAATTCGTTTTTGAAAACCAGGCGCATCGAGATCATTGTTTAAAAAAGCCATGAAACAAATCCGATACAGCAGTGGTCTCCAACTGCCCAAAGAACAATAAATTGTTTCCATTTTATTTACTGTGGTTTATTTCTCTTGGGGTTTGTACGACTTGTTCTATCGTGTATTTCTCTGGTTTGTACGACTTGTTCCATCGTGTATTTCTCTGGTGTGTACGACTTGTTCTATCGTGTATTTCTTTGGTTTGTTCGACTTGTTCTGTAGTGTATTTCTCTTGGGTCAACAGTGCATAATTTAACTTACTCAAAGAGTTCAGGTTCCACCGAAATAACACGGATTCCCCAAGGTTCGAGTTCTTGTCTTAAACAGTCGTTGAATCCGACTGCAGCATATTTACTTGTGACGTAGCTGGACAGGTGAGCCCATGGTACTCTTCCTAAAGAAAAAAATGTTTTTGAATTATATTAATGCATTTTTCATGCATTACCAAGATTTCATTAATAAAACATGCCTAGAATGCTGGTCAAGTTGACCACTCTCCCTCGAGATTGTCTCAGTAGTGGTAAAAAGGCTTTGGTTACTCGAATTGGACCCAAGGCATTCACTTCCATACAATCACGGAAATCATCGATGCTTGTCAATTCGACGCTGCATCCTTTGTAGACACCAGCATTGTTGACAAGAGCCCACAATTCTGGAAAGAAAAAAAAGCATTGAATGATGATGAATGATTATTTTTTCATACACCCATTCATTCATCCACAGATCATAACTTTGACCTGAATCAGCAAACTATCAATCTCCAATTCAGTACCCCCAGAGGTATTGATTTCTTATGGGAACATGGAGGACTTTACGACTCGACAGATTTAACGTGGATCAGTCACAATTGCTTCGGCCGGCGGTGTTCGAATTTACGAACTCTGGGACATGGGCCCAGCGCCCTACCGACCATGCTATCCCGGCCCGGAAATTCAATTAATTTGCTAAATTAAAAATTTATTAATTTTCTTGCTTTAGAAGCTACTAATTTTCTATTTTAAATAGTAATAATTTTAATGATTCTATTGAATCTACTCCGATTTATGAATTGAGAGTAAAAATTAACTTTTTAAATTTAAACTGTAATTAATTAACATATTTTAGCTAATTAAAAGATAAAGCAGCAAAGTGTTTTGATAAAAAACTAAAAATTATCGAACTCAATAATTAAGTTTTTTATTTAGTACTCTTACCATATTTAATTTAAAGAATTTAAATAAAGCTTGATTTTTCATAATTTTCTTATGTTTTAAGATTTAATGTTATTGGAAATTGTTAGTTCAGTAGCTTCTATTAAATTATTGAGTATATTTGTAAAAAAAAAAAAAAAAACCTTTNAAAAAAAAAAAAAAAAAAAAAAAAAAAAAAACACTTGTAAATATACTCCAGAAATACAAAAGTAATATATTTTCATTATTTCATTATATGATTTTTGAAATATTTAAAACAATATTTTTCCTGGTTGCACCCCCTTTGGAACGTTTCTGCTGTGCCCTTGACTTTATCCATAGCTTTAAAAAAATAATGCATTAAGAAAATCTCCCTTATTTTTGAAGTGAGGCACGATTCTTACGTGATTCTTTACAAACTTACCCGATGTTCCTAAATTTTCCTTGACAAATTCAAATGCCTTCTTGGTACTTTCGTCACTTGTTACATCGAGCTTTAAAGTCTGCAGTCTTTCAGAACAACTCTTAGTCAATTCTGCAGCACCAGGTCCATCAGGATTCAAGCAGCTGGCAAATACGTGAAAACCTTGCGAGTCGAGATGTTTGGCGAGTAAAAAACCAAATCCACTATCACATCCTGAAAAAAAAAATTTTTTTAAGGGAAATAATTTCATTATTTAAAAAATTTATATGTAACCGTCGACGATTTAATGAAACCCAGAATCCTGTAGCAGTAAAGTATGAAATGATTCATATTTCAATCACTCTCTATATAAGCCAGCGGTTTCCAAATTTTTGCGGCTATGGAACCCTAAATGATTGACATTCTTTTAACGGTATGGTACTCCGCCTTTTTCACTAAAACATGAGTTTTTGTTGTTGTTTGTTACTTATGCCACTTGCCATACTAGCATATGTGCTTGAAATCAGGTGAATTTTTAAAGCGTTTCCTGTTTTTTCAGTGGTGCCATCTATGGAGAAGAATATGATTTCTGCCACACACACCCGGTTTTACTGGGAGCACCCAATCATACTCCATTCATTCATCCACAGATTGTAATTTTGACCTGAACCAGAGAACGACTAGAGTACATAAGGACAATTGCTAACATATTGACCTATAAAATACTGCTTTATTTTGCATTTTTTCATCGTTTTATTATTAATAATATTAAATTAGGTTTTATATTCAACAGTAGAATTCAGAGTCCTAGAACTAAATCTAGTCTTGTTATAATTTTTTATTATAATTTATTTATTTATTTTTGGTGCATAAACATAAGCTGCAAATGAATGAAAAAAACCGAACTAAGGTTTTCGTTGAAACGAAAACTATAAAGAACTGTTATAAACGTTGAAAATGGCTATAAGAGAAACATTTGCTTTATTTAAAATCTAATTATTTAATTTTAGTTTGAAAAGCGTGATGGGATATTGCATTCGCAATATTTTATAAATGTAGTTCTTTTCATACTTTATTTAATGTGCTATTTTATGAGCTTAACAATATGCTATTTCCTTTTTACTTTAAATAATACCTTAAGGACAACTAAAATATTAAGTAAATAACTTATTATTGATTGGGTCTGAATATAATTTCAGGTTTCAAAAATATGAAATAAAACGTGTTTAAAAAAGGTCCTAATTCTCGGAACCCAATAAATTCTTCCACGGAACCCTAGGACTATTAGCATTCATTAGAATAACTAATAAAAAACTTGTAGGCATGTTGTGATGCTACTTTCCATTTCATCTTAAGTGTTAGTCCTGAATTTAAATACATATGTAAAAAACTATAAAATATTTTTTTAAAAAAAATTTGTGTTTTATTAGATAATTTTATCTTTACCAGTTTTAATATGATAAACCTTAAATTTTTGAGAAAACAATAAGAGTTTATTTAATAATAAAAAAATAAATGTGAGTGAAACCATTAAAATTGATCCCAATCTCCCCCTTATTATTATTCACAAGGTTCAATTTATTTTCTTGCTTTACTTTCTGTCCGAAAATAAATATTTATCATTTCTTTAGCATTAATAAAAAGTTTTACGCTGAGAAAATATTAAAAGTGTAAAGTTTTATTCATTTATTTAAACACGAAGAAAATATTTTGTTGCGGGGAGAGCCGTCATAATCAATTAACATAGTTTTGCCCATAACAGTTATTAAATTTAAAATGCAGTGAATAATAAAAAATAAATAATTAATTAACTAATAATTAATTAATATATCTTTAAACCGTATGCCTTTACTCGTAATTAGCGATTAATTTCATTTATCAAAATAAGTTTTTTTAATTAAAAAAAAAAATTTATACCCCACTTGTAAAATGTGGGGCAATATTTTTTATGAAATATCACAGTTGTTGTATTTTTTTCTTCTTCATACTATCACTATTAATTGTGTTCCTTCTATAATCTAGAAATTAATACAGGGAGTTCAGTAATCAAAAATGCTTCATAACGTATTCAGGGTGTTTCGTAAAGGCAGTTATTAAAATATCGATGCTTAGAATCCTTGTCAAATGTGAACCAGATCGAAAATAAATATTTTAGAATTGTAAAAACAAAAACTCCGTTGAAATTTGACTAATTACGGTTGATGAAGTCGGGTAGACCCAACACCTCCTAGAAAGAACAGGCCTCAGCACGGGTAACCATAAATATCCCTTAGTAGTCCAAACGCAATGACATATTTTGTATTTTCAACCACTGCGCAGCTTAGTACCCCTTACGTAATGACATCTATCTTATTTTTCGTCTACTGCACAGTTAACTTCGTCACATCGGACTACTAAATTGATCCGTGTTGAGGCCTTTCTACTTCTAGGAGGTGTTGGTAGACCCCAAGCTTTTTTGATTGCCAAGGAGTTAAAAGATGATTATTAAAAACACTTTCAATTTTCTACCGGCAATCAGAGTGGTTTTCGATAGTCTGCTCACTCGCCTTCCTTAATTGTGATTTTTTAGATTTCGATAGCTTTTTTGTTGATTGCTCCCTTAAATATGTGATCCCCAATGTGTATACTTATTAATCCTTAATTTTGACAAGGATTCTAAAAATAGACGGATGGTTTAAACGTAACAGTATGCATATTTTAAGAATCTTTTCAAAGATTAATGTAAAAACACTATGTACATTTGAAGTTACAAGTTAATAATTAAAAGAGGAAAGAAATGCCATCGAAAACCAACGAATCACTATAGAGAAAGGCGGAACGGATAATATCAAAATCTGTTCGATTCCCGAAATAAACTTAAAGGTGTTTCTAATGTTTGCTTTTCATTAATATTTGTTCATACCGACAACCAACAGATTTTGATGTTTTAGTCCTGCCTTCGTCTATAATGTTTCTTCAGATTTCAATTATGATTTGTTTTCTGGCTTAAAGATTAGTTTGAAACTCCTTGTGCGTGCTTTTTTGACGTCATTGTAGACACGGATTCAAAATTTATAAATTAAGGGCAATGAATATAGAACACCTGTTTTAGAGATACATTGTAATAACTCAGAGAATGTAAAAAGCAAAAATTATGATAAAATTTGGGCGAATTGATAAAAAACATTCGCAACTTCCCCATTATCTATGAATATCTATCTGCGTTATCGTGTATTGTTATTTAGTTATAAATTTCTCGCTAACTTTTCATCTCGATTCAATTTTACCATGCAACATTTCTCAATGTCAACTGCCAACTTCTCCATTTTATAGCTGAAGAATTCATTAAAATATTTAAAGTGGTAAAATGTGTTCTTTAATAATTGATTACTAAATTTAAAAATTTGATTTAAAATTGTTTCGATTATTTACAGTAAATAAATAATTCAGATATAGATATAAAATACCTGACAATCATACGATGTTTTTAAGTGCTAGGGTTCCTGCAGGGTGCGTAGTCAGATTTTTTCAACTAAAAATAAGCACTTTTATAGCACTCAATAAATATTTTTAATCACTTTCCAAAAAGAATCACAATTAAGATCTGTGCAGTAATAAAAATTACTTTTTTTTGCAATAGTTTATGAAGTTCTTAATTTATGAACATAAAATCAATAAAATTCAAAAACGTTTTCACAAACTTCACATAATCATGATAAAATAATTAGTTTCTGATAAATATTTCAGAGAAAATCGTGAAAATCATGCATTTTTTGTAATTTAGAAGGACAATCGGAGAAAAAATTTCGTTTCAAAAGATCGAAAATTAAGGACTTTTTACAAATCCCGAATAAAAAAAGTACCTTTAAAAATGTTAATCAAAAATAAGCACCTTTAAGCACTTTTTAAAAACGCTATGCACCCTTCCCTGACAGCTCTCTGTCAACTGTTATTAAATGTCAAAGAGAAATATTTGAATGATTTTGCAAAAAGCTTAAAAGTTGGCAGCTACATCAATAAATTAACCCACTTGCAAAGAAAAAAAAATGTGAATAAAGCGTAAAAATTCGCAGCTTTATTCACCTTACCTGTGATCAGAACAGCTCTATTTTCCGGTTGCAATTTTTCATTCAGATGTCTCCTCTTAGTGAACCGAAACGTATACCCAGCCACCAACAGATAAAACAAAAAGTTAAAAGTGGACGAATAAAAACAAGTGACACAACACGGTAAAATAACACCAAGTGTCTTTAATACCAGTGCGACGCAAATAAAGTGCGTCACGGCAACAAGATGATACCTCCCTAACATTATTTTAATAATTAATAAAAATGTCCTCTTTTTTAAAATTTTTTATTCGAAAAAATTCAATTACGATTCTTCCTCTAGAATTCCAACGGAAGTGGGAGTTCGAGTGTTGGTGGCATGATACTTTTCTGAAAATCCAGAGGGTTATCGCAAACTTTGAACAAAAGTGATAAGAACTGAATAGATTAACTATAATCTCGGCGTTGATCATCATTTGAAGGGATGCTTTATCGCGAAATTAAAAGATCCAAATATAGACGATGATAGAGTCATTTAATCTAGACGTAAGAGTTATTCTTTCATTTTGCGTGACATATTAAAACTAAATGATAAGAAAGGATTCAGAAGCAATTGTTTTGCTCGTGATTATCTCCGGCGGCTAAAATGCTAGCAAGAAAATGGTCTCTATCAACGCTTATAGGATTCCATGAAAACTTTACAGACATTAGTGAATTATTCAAAATTTCTAGTATAAAAGAACTACTGAAGTACAACACGCGAAAGTTGTAAAAATTAGAAAATTTAAACGATTGAAACAATTAGCGACCCTGCTTGAGAAAATATAATTTAAATTCTTAAGGGATAAGACTGATAAACCGAAAGAAAAAAAACAGTTTACAGTATCACTTGCAATATAAAAAATTCATTGAACAGAAATGAAATCAAAATTTATTTGAAATTTAGGCTGAAATCAAACAAAATGTAATATTTTTAACTATAAATGCACCTTCATTTTGAAAAAAAAAATTCGATATATATACTTTTTATTTATTTTCATAGCAACTATTGTTGTTGTAGTTCATTTACGTCACACTAGAGCAGCACAATGGGCTATTGGCGACGGTCTGGGAAACATCCCTGAGGATGATCCGAAGACATGCAATCAAAATTTTCATCCTCTGCAGAGGGGATGGCACCCCACTTCGGCAGCCTGACGACCTGCACGCGAAGTCGAGCACTTTACGGTAGAACAGTTTAACGAGGATCAATACCGCGCACCCTCGGTCACTACGCAGACTAATCTAAGTGGTCTACCACCCGCACACTGACTAAAGCCAGTGATGCTTGACTTCGGTGATCTGCTGGGAAGCTAGTCTTAAGGATCAGTCCACTGCGGGACTTACAGCAATTAATTACAGAACATTCATATTTGGAAAATATTAATTTCACATATATTTGTAGAGCTAGTCATAGTGTCGAAATGTAACCCTTTCTGTATTTTCACATAGAAAAAAAAAACGACAGTTATACTTTAAAATTCTAGAACTTGGAATTTTAAAAATTTCAAGATGAGATTATTTCTTCAAATATTTTTCTCTAAAAGTGTTGGGACAAATTTTAAAAAAATCCTTAGAATTATTTTAACTTCTTTTTCTCAAAACATTGAAGTCTTAATGACGAAAGAGCATATCTAAAATATTCTAATTAATTAATATTACATATTGATTAAGTTGTAAAATTGCACACAAAATATACATACATATTTTTTTCTGAATACCTTAATTTCGAAAATATGATCCCAAACTGTTAACTGAGAGTTGGGTCCTACTTTATGTCGTTTTCACTATCTCTTAAGAACTAAATACGTGGATCTAAAATTTCTTTATCTCTCATAATTATTTATTGTTGATTTAACAATAATCTGCAAGTTTATGAAAATGTAAAACAAGACCGTTTTTACAACATGCTAAACTATGCTTATAAAAGAAAAAGAAAAAAATCGGCTTAATCGCTTTTTTTTTAATGAAGAATTTTTTTTTATTATTATTTAAATTTTAATTTACAAAGGTTTATACACATTCTTTTAAATTACATAATTTTGTAAAACAAAATTTTTAAATCAGTTGAATAGTTACTGAGAATATGAGATTTTAAACTCTTTTTAAAATGGTAAGTTATTCTGAAATTGAGAAAAAGTGCAATAGTTGAAAAAAAAATTAAAATTGACTACTGTTAACAGATATATTCCGATAAAAAGAGGTTAGGATAATCGAAATATTGGATTTGTATGACATACAATTAAAATACTTCGATTCACACGTATAATGCTCAGAATAAAAAAGGCAATACCGGAGAACCACGCAGTGGCGTAGATAGACTTGGGTGCGCCCCTTGCAAGATTTATAAATAAACGGAAAAATTTTTTAATTACAAAATGACAAAACCACTATATTAAGAAACTTTGAGTATTTATTTCATTCATTTCATATTAATTTATGTATTTTAATTGAAATTACTTTAATTAACAATGAATTAATAAATGCAATTGTAAGGTGTATCACATTGAAATAAAATTTATCGTAATAATATGAGAAAATAACTCACTATTTTACAATACTTCTATTCAAAGTTTAATTAAGGGTTACTATTTTTAAAGTGAATTAAAAAAAATCTTATAATAAGAAAAATTATTTTTATTATAATTTATATGGTGCTTTTTCAGGAGCATGCGCTCTCATACCTCGTAAGCCCCCATGCACCGATGGTGTGCTATTTACGAGATTGAAACTCCTTAAGATAATTTTAATCTTTAGATTGCAAAGGTACTTCCTTTTAATAATGTACTATATTAAAAATCTCAAAAAATCAAGATTGCTAAATTGTAATGCTATTTATGCGTATATTTAATTTTATTATTATAAATCAATACATTCTTTGCTGCCAAATTGGCAATAAAAATTAATTATAAAATTTATTTTACATCGCCTTAACCAAGTGTTGGGATTTCTTAAAGGTGTTATTGAACTTTTTTTTCTTTTTTTGGTAACACAAGTTTTTTAATGAAAAAGTTGTGTACTGAGGAGAAACTACTACACAAACTTGCTCAAATTAAAATTGTTCAGGCCTGTTAAACAGTTCAAGAATTTATGAATCGAAAATGTGTTAGTTCAATAAAAGTCGTTTGGCACAAATAGTGTTTTCTATATGAAAGCACTGTGTACAGAAGTGTCAAAAACCCTTTCCTTCAACATACCAAATAAATACAATATAAAGTTCATAATCTTCAAATGACATTATGATCCTTTATTCTTTTAAAATTTTGGTTTTTAATATTCAAACTAATTTTGTAGGGAGAAAACTAACTACAATAATACATATTACAAAGCTTAATAATGATATTTGAATCGTAATGTTCAGATACTTAAGGACCACTTAAACTGAACTGGCATATCTAAAATGTCATATGGATATCCATTAGATTCTCACATTCCCAAAAAATATTTCAATTGGATTTTCATCTCAATGTTAAAGGTAGTTTGTTGTAGTTCATTTACGTCACACTAGAGCTGCACAATGGGCTATTGGTGTCGGTCTGGGAAACGGTGATCTGCTGGGAACCGTGGCCTAACGATCAGTCCACTGAGGGAATATAAAAGGTACATTATCATATAACATTTTCCAGGGTAAATAAAAGTCTACATTAAATTATGAAGCACTAACTTTATTATGTTAAAATGCAAAAAAAAATGTTGCCAGGTGTTGAAGCCAATTTAATTTTTTCAACTTAAGTATGACAATGTTATTTAAAAGTTAAGGAACTCTCATTAAAACAATTTAGAGTGTGCTCCATTGGCTTGGAAGAAGCACAGAACCTGTCTAATAAAATGATTTCCCATTAATCATCTGGTAGATTGAATTTTATCGTTGGCTCTACGTTTCATATAGAAACAATCTGATTTTCTATTCGGTCTCATCTTTCTGCAATATACCTAGCGGCCAGAAAAATTAAATTTTCTTTTGTAGTTAACTAGTACTACTTTTTTTAAAACGTAGTGACAATAAACTACTTTTGAAATGTAGTCACAATATTTAGGAGACAAACTTTGTTGGAGAACTTGTTCTACAACCTTGTTCATATGGTTTTTAATAGAGAAGTGACTTATTTAAACATGAGCCCAACTCAAAAATTCTGAAAATTTCTTGAGTAAAATCATTAATGGTGCATTTCAAAAAATTAATGTCGTTATAAAATTAAATCATTGATATTTTCACAACATGAAATTCTAACTAAATTGTATACAGCATAATTTAAATTAATAATTATGTATAAGTTTACTTTTATCTCTAATCACCATATATTATTCTACCAGAAAAAACATTTACAGATACTAAGTATAAATTGTAGCTCCAATATTTTTAAATAAAATATACAAGAATTTTTATACATAAATTTCATCAATGATTTCTTGAAACTTTCGGACCTTGGATTTCTGGATCTTGGTTAACGAAAAATCTGGAAATCCAGATTTTTCCGGAGCACAATCATCTCCGAATATGAGGATTTATTAAGAAATATTTGTTAATCTAAATAATTTTTTATGAATTTGTTCTTTTAACCTTCAACTTTTTCGGCGTTTTCTTTTCACCTTTAGCTTTAAATGTTATAAATCAATAAAAAACTGCGATTTTGTTAAATGTTCTCTATGTTTCCTTACCTCTATGAAATTAAGTACAGAGAAAATATGTTTCCTTCTATTAAAATAACCTCAAATATTCTTTAAGTATTTCACGAGTGTGAATTTGCATTTAAAGGAATGGCCTAAGTTTTATACGTAAAGACTAGTTAAACTATTGATCATTATAAACTTAACTACTTTAAAGAAAAAACTTGCAGCTTGGAGCATCCGTCATAGTTTTTATTAATTGTGGCTCATTGGCTCAATTTTTTTTTGGCTCATTGTGTTTATTGACAGACATGTGAAGATTTGTAATAATCATGTTCAGAAAATTATTTTTGTTGGAACCTTGTTTCTAAATGAAACTAACATTGAAAGTAGTTTCAAAAATTGCTACAAGCTATTTATTTGCACCTCACTACACCACTTCATTTAAAAAATAATGCACTAGACTACTAACTACGAAAAAAGTAGCAACTACAGTAATTTTACTACTTGTAGTGCGCTACTTCCAACCATAAAATATACATTTTTAAATGAGACCAATATAGAAAAAGCAAGATATAGATTGCCAGTATGTTATACCATTGTTATTTTGAATATGTTTTTTTCAAATTTTTTATCACTAGATTTGTTCTTCGAACCCCATAGTTTTCAAAGGTCTGTCTAGTTTTTTGTGAAAATTTAGACATAATTTGTGAAAATTAAAAATTATATTAAAAAATCAACACAAAAATGTGGATTTATCATTTTTTACGGGATACAAAAATAAAATTTTAAGATCAAGTATTCTGTGAAACTACCATTTTTCCTAAAGTTGAATTTGTGAAGATACTGCTAAACGGTAGTAAATTTGGCCTGGACAGACCCCTGGTTTTGTATATATTTAATTTTTCTCCCTCTACTTTTGACAGTTTCAGTGTTCCTTGATACAAAAAAAAATCTTTGAATATCCTTAGAATAATAAAAACAAGATTTAATACATACAATTTATTGCATAATATATCAACATAACATAGAGTGAGTGATAGATTAATTAACAATTCATTTTAATATGTACAAATCAAATCTTTTGTAAGATCTTTGAAAAATCACTATAACAGAAACATTTATGATTTCCAAATATTCTCTGAGCAGATTTCATCTTCTATAAAATTTTGTCATAGCATTTCTTCAGAGTTATTATAACCAAATAAAGAGTTGTGTATTTTTTGAAAATAAAATGCTTTAAAAACAATTATGCAGAGAATATATAATTGAGGTTTACAGAAAAGGGTTTTAAAAGACAAAATGCTTATTAATAATACATCATGTTTGAGAAGGAAATTATCAGAATGATATCTAATTAATTTCATATATTTAAAAATACTGAAAATTTAAAATTTTTTTTTTTTTAATTAGAGAGTAGAATTGGATGCTCTTTGGATCTGCAATAAATTTCCTTCAATTCTTCTAAAACCAGCCTTGTGTTCATTAATTTGAAAAATTTAAAATTTTGCTTGATAAATCAACATGAATTATAAATGATTTAATGTGTTTTTATTAATTTAAAAAAATTTGGAGGGCGCAAAACAAAAATTCTATAACTTTTTGGCAACGAACTTGGCCTCTGGAAACATCACAGAAAAAAATGATCAGCACAGAGAATTTTTACCAAAAATTCGGGAATACTTTCATATTTGTACCTGTTTGCACTTGGTATTTTAACTTCAAAACCCATTTTAACATTTGATAAAATGGTCATGTTTATAAATCAAACTATTAACTTCAAATAGAATAGTGCAACAATATGACACACAAAATAATGTATTTTTCCTGAACAACTATTTTAATTCACTCTGCACTAATACTTTGGCTTCTTTAAAATATTGGATTTCAGACTCGATAACACTTAATCCAGTTAAATCAACTTCCTTAAGAATGCTTTCTAACTCAGTTATGCAATTAGATGCTTTGGAAAATTCTTTGGGTTCTTTACTCAAATGGCTTTTAAGGCGTTTAGACACCCGAACAATGCGTATAATACGTCTCAAAAGATCACAAACTACGTGAAGACGCTGTAATTTTCTGGTTAAGGAAGCTATCTCTTCATAAGGTTCCACAACTTTGCTACGAAGTTTATCAGCAGACGAAAGTAATGAAGCAATTTTGTGATGCACAACCAATAAAATACTTTCTAACGTTTCGATTTCAGTTGCTTGGTATAAAAGATCTTCATAATGACTAGAAACTTGGTGATGAAGTGCTTTGTCAAGTAACGATATGCCAGCACTTAATTTAGCTAGTTGCTCTGCTACGGCTGCACTTTGTACAACAGAAAAAGTAACAGCTTTCAAATCAAAATCTTCAGCTAAAAACTGTTTGTAGAGCTCATTACTCTCAAATTCTTCCAACCCAGTAATATTTGTTAGCTGCATAATAAAGTTTGTACAGGAATTTCAAATTAATAATCCCTGTTAGAAAAGGAAATAAATACGCAGCATTGAAATTCTCTAAGGTTTGTTTACTTTTAATTTTATGTTAGGTAAATGTATCGATTACGAAGGAATCAACTGAAACATTCAGTTTTCGCACTTAAATTATAGGCAGCATCTACTATATTGTAAGACTACTATTCAATCAGTTTATTCCATTTTTCAAATCCTTAAAACTCAATCATTACTTCTTTTCACTTCATTTAAGCATTTTAATATTTAACTAGAGTTATTTTAATTTAGTTTCGATGTTTAAAAAAGTGCTTATCAGCTTTACAAATATCATTTTGTTTACTGTGAGAATACTTTTTCTAATTTTTAACCAATATCGTTTTTATTTCCTGTTATGAAATAGCTTGAATTAGTGGCAACTGCATTCTTAATTTTCGTTTCTTGTTCTTGTTTCGATATCTAAATTTTTGAGGAACTTGTTTTATTGAAGGTAATTAATATTTCTAGAAACATTTCAATAAACCTTGATAAATTTTTTCTCTTGCTTTTGAAAGTTTTCTTCTTTTTTTTTTAATAAATATTCCTTAAATAGTCTCAAATAGCTTCAGCAAAATTTATAGAACAAATTCAAATTAATAATATTGATTAAAGTTTTCGATTGCAGAGTTATTTTTAATCACATAATTTTAATGATAAAGCATTTAGAATATCAATTGTTAACTATCATTTTTATAACAGAACATAATTTTTCAATAAAATTTTGTTCTAAGAATCTGAAAACTTAATGTATTGAGAAATCCTCAAAACTTTCTAAAAACTAACAATATTTCAGCGTAATATAACGCAATAAATAAAATATACTTGTAGGAATATAAATTTTCAATTATAGTCTCAAGTTTATTTGTGTTATTTAAAACCAAAAAGGTTTTTTTTTTCGAATTTTGTATTCTATTTTTTCTTTCAGTGTTTGACTATTGTAAACTATTTTTCTTATCATGGAGGAACAAGAAAATAACGCTTTTGGAACCATGCGTAACTTGATTGAAAACCTTGAATTGGGTAAAAGAATTTAAATTTTTGGAACTGTCGTGTTTATTTATTTATTTTTTTATGATAGTATCCATTTGAAATGATTTTTCGGCATTTGATTTTTTAAAATTATTTTCTTCCTCTGATTTTCAAACGCTTGCTATAAGCGCAATTGTTGAACAATTGAATTTTATAAAAAAAATTGTTAAATGTATTATTCAGCGACCTTAACTGGGAAGCATTTTGCAAGAAATAGAGTATAATTTTCTAAAATTTATAAATTATTTATTGAATTTTTCTTAAAAATTCTATCGAAATTTTGTATTTATTTATTATAGACATTTTTCTTTTAATATTAAAAAAACAATTTACTTTCCTAAAATGCATATTCTCAAAAAAAATTAGGTTCAAAATAGGGAGTGTTAATTTGATAGCAAAATAAATTTCTTTAAAAAAAAAAGGCCAAGAAAGGCATAAAATAGATTTTGCTTATGAAACTTATTTGAGTTAATTGTTAAAAAAAAGTTGAGCACAAATGAAATGAGTATAGTACTTTACTTGGAGGTTTGCTTTTCATTGTCCGATCGATCTCATGACCTAAAGATATAAGTAACTTTTCTCATGAGTACGATCTTAAGAGATTAGGTTTGGTCAAACTGCACAGAAAATAATCAAATAAAAAAATATTAGCAAGTATCGAAATTATGAAGATAATGAAAAAAGCTTTAAAAACGTCAATTTTCCGAGATTTCCGTTTGTTTTATAAAAAAAATATATATATATGATACTATACATTCATCACAAATTCATACAAAATGTTTTTGGTTGAATGATTAAATTTCGGGTGAGGGAGATATTTCAGGGCAATATTTTATTAGCTTGGGTAAATGATTCTAATAATATTTTATTCAGTTAGAATTTTTGCGTAATTTAGGAAATAAAAGTTTTGAATTTATCTTTAGCAGACTTAAATAGAAAAAAAAAAGAAAAAAAAATGGAGAATTAAGCGCAAATGGAAGTACAGAAATGGACATGTTATTCTCTACTTTCCTTTGTGCTCTCTATTATTTTATCTCTTTATTTCTGTGCTATTTACTTTTATTTGTGTCTATTTTTGTACTTTCATTTTTGCTTCATTCATGTTTTTTTTCTTCTTTAGTTTACATAGCACAAAGTATTCCCTATCCTTTTTTTAGATATCTACTGTTGCCTAACTAATAATACAGGTACAAGAGGGTGTTTAAGTTCAATTTGAAATAGTATATATAGAGTCAATGAACAATCAATTCTGTATTAGTTTATGTTTACATGTTTATTTATTCATTTGTTTATTTATTAAGTTTCATGTTAATAAAAAGATAGACAAAAAGAAAGAAAGAAAAATAAAAATTAAATTACGGCACGGAGAAGAAAAAAACAGACCACCCTTAATAACTTTTGATCTAATCATCGGATCTTTACCATCCAGGACTCTATCTTAATAGCTCAAGGGGTGACCTCAAATATGCTAATTAATGAGATCAGACGATATTCTCAGTTACGAAATCAGACACAAAACATACTTACTCTAAATAAACATAAACATACCTTTTTTTTCCGACTGATTCAGACTTTCGTCCCCCAAAATATGAGGGGTAGCCGCAGTTTGGAAATTATGGTTCAGTTAGTTATATCTCGAGATTAGTTATACCTCGTATTTCGTTATATCTCGAGAACTTTTTAATAGAATTGAAAAATTCTTGCACACAGACACAATTATAAAATTCCAAAGATAATTCAATGCAAAAAAATAATCTTTATTAAACATTCATTAGTTTCTATTATTTTATTTAATGTTGGTCCAAAATATTTTGAATTGTAAGGTATACAATTTTTTGCATTATTTTAAAGAATATAACTTTACATGCCAAAATAGAAAATTTGAGCAAAATCTCTCGAATTGTTCCTGAGAAATAGAACTTGGAACATATGACTTTTCAGAAATTCAATTTCTCAGGAGCTATTTGACCGATTTTGCTCAAATTTTGTATTTTTCCGTGTAAAATTATATTCTTTAGAATGATACAAAAATTTTATACCTTAAAATTAAATTTTTTTTCGACCACTAGTAAATAAAATAATAATAAATATTTAATAAAGGTTATTTTTTGCATGGAATTATTTTTGGATAAATGAACTTTATAATTCTGTGCAAAGATTTTCCAATTTTATAACAAGGCTCTCGAGATATAATGAAATACGCAAAGAGTATTATTAACATTCAAACTTTACAGCTCTTTTCTGACCAACTGTTTTCTGACCAAACTGGGACCATAATTTCTAGATTACGGTTATTTTCGATGGGTTCAGAAATCTGAAACCATCGAAAAAGAGGTACGTTTATTCAGAGAAAGTTTTTGTGTCTGATTTCGTAACTTAAAAAGATCATCTGCCCTTATTAATTTGCATACTTGAGGTCACCTCCTCGAGCCCTTAGGACGTGAAGATTCGATCATTGGATCAAAAGTTATTCAGTTTCCGTTCAGACTCCATTTTTTATTTTATTTATTTATTTTTTTTTGCGCTCTTTACATTTTTTCCCTTTTAATCCCAGAATCTATAGTTAAGTGTTAAGATTATTTCATTACATTAGTTTTGCTTGATCCTATATTTTTCTTTGCAAAATTTTACAAAAAAAGAAAAAAAAAAATTCTTTATGTAGTTTTTATTCTGTATAATTTACATATTTAAGGAAATGATAGAGCGCTCTTATTCCTCAAGTATATTCAGCTGCGGTTATGACAGTGGATAAGCATTAGCATATATAAGTTTTTAGATTTTTCACAACAGAATGTTAGAAAACAATATATTTACTTTCATGAATTCAAAATATTGCTGAAAAATTATAATACATACATTCATCTATAAAAATTATATTTCAGAGCAAAGTAATGTGCAGAACTATCTACAAGATTTAACTAAAATAAGACATTCATTAGAAGAAAAAATTGAAGCAGGTATTTCATTCCATTTAATAAATTTTATAACACTTTTATTTTATATTCAAAAATTGACCCAAACACTTAACTGATACAATTGCTAAGGCAAAAAAACGCATTTATGAGAATAACTCAAGAAATAGTGAACGAAATCAATGAAGTTAACAACAAAATCTTATACAAGGAATTTGTTATTTAACTAATGATTAAATTTGAATATAAAAAGAATTTTAAAAAATAACATAAAATGTGGTTGTGTTGACTGTCAAATTATTGATAATTAAATTGCTGATTAGGCGATTTGTATCATTTCTTTTTTCATTCTTTTCTTGCTTTATTTATTAACTCTATCAAGAATGCCTTGCGAAGCGAGCCTATATAAGAGGCTTTTAAAGTTAAAATAAAACAATATTATAACGCGTGTAAAAAGAAACTAATTAGCAAACATATGAAAAAATAATAATATGTATGGATTTGTAAACTTATAAAAAAAATTTCGGTTGCCAATAATATTATTAAATTTATTTATTTAAACACCGCGAATGTAATGGCACATTGCAAGTTATATTCGAATAATTGTAATCTCACTAATATTTATATTTTTATGTTAGCGTTTTTTTTATATTAACATTATTAAATATTAACATTTGAATTCACATGTTGTGTGATCGAGCTAATAAATTTAATAATCAGTAAATTTTTATTAATTCATTTCCACACTATGCATGAGATTGAGTATCGTTAAAATTTAGGCAGCTCTAAAAAAGGACTAAAAAAAAAATATCTAGCATTGAATTAATCTTCGAAATAGGAATTGAATTATCAATATTTTTTGTCATTATCTTATTAAATTTCATATTTGCTTTAGATAATCATAAACTGCGAGAATTGAATGATGTAGGACACAAACTGGAAAGTAAGTAAATTCTTCTTTCCTTAAAATTTTTTAAAATATGTTTTAAAATATGTTATAAATTCTTGTCGAAAGCGAAGTAAAAAAATGTTTTTCAATAACTAAACGATGAAAGAAAAAACTATTTTCCAATTTTGGCAAATCACTACAAAGGAAGGGGAATTAAAAATGCTGCAACCTGTCTGATCACTTGAAGAAGTTGAAAAGCAATTATTAGTTACACAACACCTTCAAGTTTCAGAAGGTAATCAAACAGGTTTTCATGCTTTTCACACCACTTTCCACCAAAGTGATTCGTCCAATTTCGATAATTTGTTTCCTAGATTAAATTGTTATTTGCGACCCTCAATAAAGTAGACTTTTCGATTTCCTTTTTCATAAGGATTCTAAAAATATGCATNTAATCATAAGCTGCGAGAATTGAATGATGTAGGGCACAAACTAGAAAGTAAGTAAATTCTTCTTTCTTTAAAATTTTTTAAAATATGTTTTCTTTGTTTGACCATAATAAGCATGATTTTTATTTTCAACTGAAGTTTGGCAGTGCTGATAAGTTATTTGTATGCGGGAACAGAAACGCGTAAAATTTATTAATGAAAAGGAATATGCTAGGTGTTCTGTAGTGACCGCCTTTAATGAATAATTTTAAAATTCTTGTCGAAAGCGAAGTAAAAAAATGTTTTTCAATAACTAAGCGATGAAAGAAAAAACTATTTTCCAATTTTGGCAAATCACTACAAAAAAAGAGGAATTAAAAATGCTGCAACCTGTCTGATCACTTGAAGAAGTTGAAAAGCAATTATTAGTAACACAACACCTTCAAGTTTCAGAAGGTAATCAAACAGGTTTTCATGCTTTTCACACCACTTTCCACCAAAGTGATTCGTCCAATTTCGATAATTTGTTTCCTAGATTAAATTGTTATTTGCGACCCTCAATAAAGTAGACTTTTCGATTTCCTTTTTCATAAGGATTCTAAAAATATGCATTAACGGTGTTCATAAACAAATAACCCTGCATAACATCCAAAACTCATTCGCCAAAACCTGGAATCATATACCATAGAATTGTAATTTTAAGGTTTAGATTTTTTATAAACAACTTATCAACGTCGTTGAGCAGTCGATCCTTGTTAAAATTTAAAGGGCCAATTACTTTATAATTTTGAGCTCAGCTAAGATGACAAAGGATAGTCTGTTAGAATAGTATAGAGACTAGAATTTTCTCCAAAATTTTTCTTAATAGTAGCACTTTAAAAAAGGTTGATACGCATTTCAATGGGAAAAACCTTAATGAATCTTTAATATTATAAAAGTGTAAAAAATAGTTAAAATTCAAAGCCAAAAAGTGCCAAGCTGCATTGAGGACGGGAATTAAAACAAGATAAGCAAAAATATAAACAATTAAATTAAATAAAAGGTAATAGAAAGATAATTCCAGTTTACCATCGTTAAGGTCGAGTATGAGGAATTCATATAGAGTTTAATTATAATCAAAGGTAAAAGTAACATTATTTTAATTTCAGCTGCAAATATAGTCAATGAGTTTAAACTGGAAAAAATAGAAAAGGACGCAGAAGAGTAAGTTTTATTTTTTATTCTTCTATAAATAATATACTATTGAGAATCTCTAAATCAATAAACTAAAAATAAAAAATTGTGTGCATTTTTTAACCAATGAATTTTTAATTATTTTTTTGATAAATATCTATTGTACTAGATTAGTATATTCTTTATCAAATTCGTTTTAAATTTTTTCTTTCTTTTTTAAAAATGAATGCAAATTAATAATAATTTTTATTACATAATTTTTACCTTTTTTTCAATTATTTATTTATTGTTATAATTTCTGAGGTTCATAATTTATTGTTATTTAATAACGCAGGTTGGAAAGGAAAAACAAATTTCTACGAGAAATAATAGAAAATGTTCACACTAAAATTAAAACTAATCAAGAAAAGTACGTCACTGAACTGTAAGTATGAATTTTTTTTAGCACGTACTACCATTTTAATTTATAAACAATTGGTATCTTATGCTATAGCGGAGTAATACTATACATAGGAAATAATATAATAAAATCCCCTTTAAATCACAAAAATGCAATGTATTATGTGCAAAAATCTGATTATTGGTTTTAGAGTTGTTCAGAGTATTTCATTTATTTTGATACTTATACACAGTGTATTAAAATTTAATTTTCTTACTCACATTATTTTTATTTTTAGAGAACAGTTACAGACTGAAGTTGTTAATTTATGTGAGTTATTCGGCTCAGCTGCATTTACTTATGTAAGTTCCATTTAAACAATTTTGAGAGATTTTGTAAGTAACAGCATAACAAATAAAGTTTAAAATCGCACAGCTTAAGATTCCAATTATAAAATATAATAAATTGAAGAATAATTGTGACCCAATTTTAATTCTGTGCATATAAAAATGAAAAATTATATTACCATCTCCTTCCTCTTTTTAAAAATATTCACAGTAATTAGAGTATCACTTTAAAAGGGCTGTATAAGGAACTTTTTTTTGAGGCAGGACTTTTCAATATTTTAATTTTTAGAATTTTACAAGCTGACATTTTTTTTAAGTCACTATTATCCTAAATATTTAATTTTTAGAGGAAAAAAATATCTAATCTATTCTTTCCTAGATATTTTTTACAGACAGTCGCTCCAATCTATAAATACATTTACCCTACAATAGTAAAAGATACACTTTCAGTTACAAAGAGACGAAATTATGAAATTTTTTAAATCTTTTACATATTTTTCGCGCATACGCAGTATAAAAGAGCTACTTTAAATACTCCTATCGTGCGCAGTTTTTAATGAATTTTTTTTCTTCAAATTTTAGAACAATAATTTTGTAAATAATTTTATATTTCTCCCTAAATATTGTTAAATTTTTTTGAATATTTTTAATGTTACAGAAAGAAAAAAAAACGTGAGACAAATTTTTTTATAACAATGTTTGTGTTTCCATAAATATTTCAGAATGACGAAAAAAATTTATTTAAAATTTTCCGCGCATGCACAGTATTAAAGAACTACTTTAAATAGTCCTATTTTGCACAGTTTTTATTTAATCTTTTTCAAGTTTCAAAACACTAATTTTGTTAATAATTATAAACTGCTCCAAAAATACTTTTAAATTTTATTGAATATTTTTAAAGTTATAGTAAAAACACGGAAGACAAAAAAAAATTTGTTTTTATAAAAATGTCTATATCTTATAAATATTTAAGCTAGGTTTACGAAATTGTATGCACTTATAGCAAATAACAACGAAAGTAATCGATACAAGTTACAAGCTTATTGCATGATTTTCCAGCACAGGGTGTTCAAAAATACTTGATTTATTTCGTAATTTATTGTCTGTCTCTCACACCTTTGAAAGCTTTAAACCTATTTATATGTTTCCATATTAGTCAACAATTTTAGTTTTTTAATTACCAGAAAGATAAGCTTTTATTTTTACTAGTTCCATAAAAACATATTAAATCTCACGACTTGTAAATAATTTTTAATATTTTAAAAACATATTATTTTAAAAATAGAAACATTTTTGGAAATGTATTGTTGCAAAAATAGTACAATATTCTTTAGAGAAGTTGCTTTTCTCTCTCTCTTTTTTTTTTTTTATAGAATGGTAGTCAGAAAAAGCACCACGATGAAGTTACCCAAAATGATGAACTGTGATACACATATGAAATCATGACTGATAAATTGGGATTAGTTTTAAGGCAACCCTAAACACCAAAGTTGTTTCCTTCATCGTTTTATTATTCTCTCTGTACACTAAAAATAAATTTTTTTATATTACTTATTACATCGTGTGAAGGTTAAATTAGCAGAAAAATATTTTAAAATACATTATAGTTTTGTAAATTATAAAGCCTTTGAAAAAGATAATAAAACTTAATTCAACAAAAACAAGATTTAAATCAGCTGCATAATTAATTAAAACAATTTGTTTCATTAGTTTGTTTTATTTTTAATTTGTGGCAATATTAATCAACTGAATTTTTTTATTTCCACTTTTATCTGTACAACTTTATTCATAAAAATTACAATTATTTGCTTTCAAATTTCATGTATATTGCTAAAATGTGTTAGGTACTTTTATGGAAGAAAAAGATAAAACATGTTTACTAATTGTAATTAATTTTAATTTTTTTTCATATTACCTTTTTAACTTTAAAATGGCACTGTTCTCAAATTTATAAAATAATATACCAAAATAATAAAATACATTTTATTGAAAAAATTAAATAAATGTTCAATTTTTATAAAATATATTAATTGATACCATTTGTCTAGTTATGTTATTAAAAAGTTGGTGTATTAAGTTAAGACATGAAATTAATGATTTTGTTTTGATGGCAGAGTAAAGATTCAGTTAAAGCCGAAATCGAAAAGATATATAAAGCAACAGAGGAAGCTCAGAAAGAATGTAAGTTACATTTCTGATTTTGCAAGTGATAATTTCATTCAACTGCATCAAACATTTTTTTAAAAGCGCAAAATATTAACTTGAATGCACTTCTCATGTTTTAATATGTTTTCTTCATTTTTGCAAGAAAAAAAAAATTGGAACTTATTGCATAGTCTGAAGAATATATTCACAAATATTTTAAGTGAAACTCGAATTTTTTGTACGCATATAAGTCAGGGCCTGCAGCAGAAGATTTTCCAACAAAAAAATATTTTTCAAACGGGTATCAGAAAAAGTCAACAGTTACAACATGTGAAAATTAATCCAATTGCTTTAAAATCGAATAATTTTCACATGTTGTAACTGTTGTAGCTATAATTTAAACTTAAAGAATAAAAACCAAATTCATTTTTTTCTTTACTCGAGCGTGACCTCAAAAGATGAGTGAGAGAAATCTATTTTTTCCCAAATGAGACAAAATAATAAAAAAGAGTTAGCTCCAGTTAAGATTTTAATGGCATCTTTGTGGATTAAGAACATCTTAAGAAAATCTCAAAATAAAACTTAACTAATAACCTTTCTTTCTTTTTAAATCTAGATAATCTGTATTCATAATTGTGATTGAGGAGAAATTCTTCCTAAGAAAGTATTTTGTTTTTCATTTTTTTTTCAGTACATAGGATAACCTTAATTGTACAACGAAAAACAATTAAATGCACCTATTTTTTTTATGGTTAGATAGCCTGATCGGTAGGGCGCTGGGCTCATGTCCGAACCCCGCCGGCCGAACACTCCCCATGTAGTAAAGTGACCGATGCACGTTAAATCTGCCGAGTCGCAAAAGTCCTCCGTGTTCCCATAACAAATCAAAACCTCTGGGGGTACTGGATTGGAGATCGATCGCTCTCTGATTCAGGTCAAAATTACGATCTGTGGATGAATGAATGGGTCCGCCCTATAATGGTGTGGCAGAAGTCGAATTCTTGGCCATAGATGGCGCCACAGAAAAACATGAATAATCGCACCTCTTCTGTCTAAACAGGCATACGTCAACAACAACAACATTTTTATGGTTAAGAATTAATAACCTAAAACAAGTGAAAATAATGAAAAGCGTTAAAAAACTGTGAGTTGTAAAATTAACAAATGTAAATCCTCTAAATTGGTGTGCTCAGAATAAAGGCGTCAGTTGTTGCGGGTTAGTTTCATCAAAAAGTCCTCGACGAAGGCAAATTTCTCCCATAACTTGACCCAGGAGTTCACTTGTCTTCTGGATTGGGTTCAAAATTACAAGGCTACAGAGTTGAACATTAGTAGTCATAAACCGAAAATTGGGTCGGCTGTTCAACGATGATTCTAAAATCTGTTGAAGAAGTTCGCATTATTAAGATTAAAAGAGAAATTTAATTTAGAAGTTATATTATTGTCTATTTAGTTAGTGAAGGTAGGATATGCATGCCATTGCTCACATTGATAGAACTATATAAATACATAAGGAAGAATTTAAACTACAAATTGTATATGATGACTATCAGATTTTAAAAAAAAGTTTAATTTTAACTCTTGAAAATGTAATGAGAAGCTGGAGGATTTTTTTTAAATTTAACATAAATTAATTTTCAGAATACAAATTTATGAAATCAGAAAGAAAACTACAACTGATACAGTAGAGTACCTACACAATAGAGTAAGTTTCAACAGGGTACTTCCTTTCAGAATCAAATTAAAATGTGCAATAGTAGCAAGATGCTACAAAATATTCTGTTAAATATTTTGCAATAAATTATTGCCATAGTTATAATTCTCATTTAATAAATGATTTAGAAATTTAAAATGAGTTGGTGGTGGGAAATAATAACAAATGCCTATCGAAGCAAAAACAAATTACAATAACCTTTTTAGTGAGAAGTAATATTTATGTAAATGTATTAGCAATTAAAGAAAAGCTATCCATTTATGGAATTTGGTGTCCGTTGAAATGCAATTACAGAAAAAAAATATTTATGGTTATATTTTATAATAAGATTCAGGGAAACATTAGAATATTTATGAAATTGTAGGAAATATGTCATACTTGTTTTGGCATATATTATCTTAATTTATTCATCGACTATAGTTTATAGATTATATCCAGGGGAGGACAAAAGAATGGAAATACTTTTATACTAATAAATTTTCGCAAGAAATACAGAAAGAATCATTTTATAACTTTAGAAGAGTTTAGATCATGTGATTTCTCAAACTCATCAATGAAGTTAAAACTTTTAGAGGTTTGAGGGACTGAAAATAAATTACAAACGGAAAATAGNATATTTATGGTTATATTTTATAAGAAGATTCAGGGAAACATTAGAATATTTATGAAATTGTAGGAAATATGTCATACTTGTTTTGGCATATATTATCTTAATTTATTCATCGACTATAGTTTATAGATTATATCCAGGGGAGGACAAAAGAATGGAAATACTTTTATACTAATAAATTTTCGCAAGAAATACAGAAAGAATCATTTTATAACTTTAGAAGAGTTTAGATCATGTGATTTCTCAAACTCATCAATGAAGTTAAAACTTTTAGAGGTTTGAGGGACTGAAAATAAATTACAAACGGAAAATAATATTTTTGAACATCTTAACAAAAATGTAGCAATACATTTTTAACTTGTAGCAATTATTTTAGCTATTATATGCAATAATTGCACAAAATTTTGTAGACCTAGCTTAAATATCTATGAAGATATGGGCATTTTTATAAAAAATTAAATTTTTTTGTCTATCGTTTTTTTGCTATAACTTTACAAATATTACATAGAATTTTAAAATTTGTTTTAAAGTAATTTAAAATTAGTTGCAAAATTATTGTTTTAAAATTTGAGAAAAATTCGTTTATAACTGCACAGGATATGAGTAATTAATAAAGTTCTTTTATACTACACATGTGCAGGAAAAAATGTAATTTTTTTCTTCATAAGTTTGTAGAGAATAGGATTTGGCAACTAATTAAAAAAAAGTCCGATTTGAATATTTTAAAAAGTTTCAAGCGATTTTCTAAACAGATTTTGTAATTTTTAAAAGAAACTGAAAATGATAAGGGGTTCTCTACAAATATTATTTTGTACCGTAAGACAAATTTAAATAACAAATGATTGCCTTACAATAAACATTCATATCAGAAATAAGATTGTGTAACGAAGGAAAACAGGCGAAAGAAAAGATACTTTTATGAGGGATGATCATTTGCCAGTGTCATTTTTAATAAATCTTATTTATTAGTTCAAAATGGAATTTCTGGAAAACCCCTTAAAAAATGTCCATATCTCCATAAATATTTGAGCAAGGCTTACAAAATTTTGTACAATTGTTTCATGTAATAACCAAAATAATTGCTGCAAGTTCAAAAATTTTATTGCTACATTTTTTGGAATAGGGTGTTCAAAAACACTACTTTCAGTTTTAAATTTATTGTCGGCCACTCGAACCTCTAAAAGTTTTAAACTTCATTGATTTGTATGAGAAGTTGCATGATTTAAACACTTCTAAAGTTATAAAATGATTCTTTTAGTATTTCTTGAGAAATATGAAAAAAAAATTATTAGTATAGAAGTATCTCCATTATTTTGTCCACCTCCTGTTGAATGAATTGATGAATTAATAACGTATTTTAATACTCAATTCGAAACTGTCTCTTGGAAGATGAAGCTACACAGGAGAAGTTAAATGTAGCCAAAAACGAGCTGGATGATATAGTATTGTACAGCGTTCCAACAAGTAAACAAGAAATGGAGATACCATTAGGGCAGCGTAAAATCGTTCTGTAAGTAATTGTTTTTATTTTTAATTTAACATACTCCGTATTACAAGTGCAGAATTCATTAATATCATTAAAAAAAAAAGAGGGCCTCAGTGAAAATGTACAGATAGCATTTCTCTTAAAAGTAATAAGATATTTAAGTCAAGAATTTAGCCAATCATAATCTGCACCAAAACTCTTAAATATCTATATCTTTCAATAAAAATATTTACATGGCTATAGTTTTATTCAAGAATTAATGGATTATTTTAGCTCTTGACGATTTATTCATCCATTTTTTATTCATTTAACTTTTTTAGTGAACTAATCTTCAAATTAGTAAATATAAACAGTTCCAACACCAAACTAAAGTTGAGAAAACAATAAAAAAGAAAGGAAACGAAGTATGGATATAAGTTTACATTTCAACATGCTTAGTTGATATATATATATTTTTAGAAATTTATTTGAAGAAGCCCTTTTCGAAGAAGAAAGCAGGTTGGATCATTTGAAAAACAAAAAAGCTTCCAAAGAATCAGAATTAGAAAGTAACATGGCATAGTTTCTTACAAGAAAAATAAGTTATTTTATCTATCTCTCTAGACATATGTAACCTTCAATAACCTCTTTTGTAACTTTTGTGCAATACTAATACAAAACAGTCTAATGAAGACATTTTTGTTAAGATACCACAAATGTGACATACAGAAAGAAATAAAAATGAAAAAACTATTTTTATTGTTATTTTTTAAATATATATACCCACACAAAAGTGTTAGTCACAATTTTTTTTAGAAATTTAAATGTTTGTCATTAAATTTTAACTTTCCTTTTTAAAATAGAAATACATTAGCTTAATCAAAAGAACTTTTTGAATGATTGCATGATAAAATAAAGAAGTTTTTGATCAGTTGCAAATACACTTATGTAGAAAATAAAAACTAAAAAAAAGTTTGCTGGGTAAATTCATTTCAGGTTGTTAACCTGTCTCAAGACTTCTTTCAAGGGGTGCAAGTAGAAATATTCCTCAATGCAAAAAAATGAAGGACAAAAAAATCTTGTAATTTCAATTTTAGTAAATTTCTAATAGAAAACGCAAAGGAAAAAGTCTGATCGAAAGCTTGAAGCCTCCTTACACAGCCAAATTCAAACAGTTTTATATACTTCAGATAACAAAACCAAATAAACACAAAAACAAAAGGGAAGAATGGAAGTTTCAAAGGGAATAATGGTTATGGAACTTTTATTTGCTTTCGAATGGCAAACCCTCAGGCGCTGTGTGGTAGCAACTTTTCTTTATTGCCACTCAACCCAGCATGCAATATCTCCCACATATTTTTGGATCACAAACAAATTGTGATAACTAGCTTTCTAGATTAAAATTGCATTGTGCTGGAGAGTTCTTAGGGTGGGCATCTCCCCCTATCATATGGCGATTAGAATGTAGATAGCTAGCATAGCAACTACAATTTTTCCGTGGTAAAAAACACACACAAGATATCGCATGCTGGGTCGCATGGCAGTAAGCTAAATTTCCTTGCCTGCAATATGAGTTGTAGAAAATTTAATGATTTTCATAACATTAAGGAGCATTTGCATGGGTAAATAAATATGTATAAATGAAAAGTTGATTACAATCCATAAAAAAAACATAAAATTAAAAAAAACTTTTTGCATATAAATAAACAGAGACATTATTAAAGTAAAGTTTATTTATTACAAAACACTTTGTAGAAAGAGATTTTTGGATTGAAAAAAAAAAAAGATTTCTTTGCGGAATTGAAATCAAATTTTGTTTACAATTCTTAGTCGAAAATTAATCGCACAACTTATCAAAGATTATTTTTTGTAGCATAAACTGCCAGCCAAATAATGAATGAAACAATAAATTAAAGATTAATACAACAAGAAAAGGATAATACATTGATTTAAACAATTATAAAATATCACATAAACTTTACATTATGTCATTCTAGTCATTTTTATCACTAATGTTTTAACCAAAGTGCTAAACAAAATAATAACTAACTGTTTATTTATTTAACTGTTACACATGTCTTAGGCTAAGTGCATTGTATATTAAAATATATACTTTATGTTTAACTTGTACTTATTTATTAAACTAATTGTGCCACTAACAGAAGGAGTAAATGCATATTCAGATACAATATTACACTTTTAAAAAAGGAAGCAGTATTATTCTCAATTAAATAGCATTATAATAATTTAAATAATGCACTTAAAATAGAGCAAAATTATAAAATAAGTTTACAGTATGTCCAATCTAAGACTTCATTTTTTAGTGCTATTACAACTGGTAGTACAATTTTATTATTGGCATATATACATATTTATATATATATATTTTAAAAAAAATTAGGCCTATATTTTGGCTATAGAATTTTTTATAACTTAGGTATCCAATACTTGAAGTTGTGGAATATTTTTTAATTTTTTGAAAAAGTTAGTAAGCATTAAAGGATAAATGTATAAACTGAAATTGTCTGCCTTAATTTAGTAAAGAGTGTTCAAGTTATTACTATATTTTTTATCGTTATGGGAAATACATTTTTTTATTTTGTGAAAGAGATTTAAAAACAGCAATTATGTACACGTCGAGAGCTACTCCCTCATAAAATTTTAAAATATTTCAATAAAATTAATTTTCTATTGATTTGCGAAAAATCATTTATAAGAACAATGATGAATTCAGAGAAACTCTCTAAATAAAACTAAAAAATTCAATATTTAAATAAATATTCCAGTAACTTTTCAACTTACTATAAAAACGTAAATACTTCTAAAGAATTATTTTTTTCAGATCAAATATTAATTACAACAATAAGTATTATATTTGTATAAAATTTAAAATATAATATTAAGGATGACTAAAACAATAAGGCAAAATAACTGTAGATTATAATTAAACTCATTGGATTAAATTATAACAATTCAATAATAATATTCATACAATAATATTTGGAACAAGGATTCAGTTTGTTTTAACATGTAAAAATGTTATATGTTAATAATTTCAAAATAAAGGATTAAAAATTATTTAAATAAATTATGATTAACAAGAAGAGTAACAGCAATTGATTAAATTTTCTTTAAAAGTAAAAATTAAATGATTTACAAAATTTCTTTTTCTCACCAATCCATTTTAAAATACATCATAATATATTTATGCAGATTCTTTAACACGAGATAATTAAGTCAAAATAAAATACTTTGACAAGCTCAGTGTAAAAGTCAGTCAAATTTTTTTGATAACTTAACAAAATTCTCAAGACCCAAGTTCTTCTGTCACTTTGTTAAGCAATAAATCACAAGTCTTCTTTGCATCACCCAGCAACATAGCTGTGTTATCCTTATAGAAAATAGGATTATCCACTGCAGCATATCCAACCCCCAAACTTCTTTTCATGACAATAACCTAAAGAAACAAAATTGCTTCATAATACTCTAATAAATAGCTAAAAGTATACATTTCAGCTTTGTTTAAAGAATTAGGACTAAACTTTGCTGTGAGATTCTAAGCTCCTCTAACTCCACTCCCAAATAATAAAGCTCCAACTCTGCTAACGTTACAGCAATTTTAATGCATATATATGCACACTTTACAGTTTAAGATTGAGGTTTTCATAAAAAAGGGACACATTAAAACAATAACATAATTATCAAAAAATAAAAATTTAACATTGAAACAAAAAATTACAACACAGAAAATAAAAATTTAATTTAATCTAGTTATTTGCTCATTCTTAAGAAAAGAATTGAAACTAATAAATCCTCCCTCATATTTGATATTAAATCATTATGTATGGATTTTAATGTTGAGAACAGTTTTTCTACCACAACTTGGCATGTGGGCAAAGTTGTTATAGTTTGGCAGGCCTTTAGATAGTCCATAGGATACAATAAAATTGCTGGAGCAATGGAGAATAGGAAAAATCTTTGGAGTGCATCAGCTCCAGCTCCCCAATAATTAAGATTTTTTACCCTCTACAATAATAGCACTAGCATAAAAAACTATTAAAAGAAATGAAAGATATTTGTAGTAGATGTATATATAAGCTACAAGAGTTAAAAATTTTTTAGAAGTGGATTTTCCATAAATTATTAATTTGATTTTGATCACTATGATATCTGCCCTGAATATTTGATTTTTTACAAAAATTGCATCGACAAAAGCTTAATTTTTTTTAAAAAAAAATGTGTAACTAAGTTTAGTAAAACTTCTAATATTGAAAATTACACTTAATATGTAACAATTACTTATAAAATGGAAAAAATTTCACTAATGAAAAAGATAATTTTACAAATTCAGTTATTACACACTACACTTCACATTAATCATTTATTTTCACTTACTGAGGGTGAATTTAAAAAAAAATATGCAGTCTTTTCAAAAATAGAGTATGCCATGTTGCAGTTATAACTACAAAAAAGCAAAAGAATAAAGATGCTAAATGAATAGGTAGAATAAGGAGTTTAATAGCAAGTTCGAGTAGTTCGTAATGTGCTGAACATAGATGTACTGACAAGAAATTTTTTTAAAAAGTATTACAAAACTATTTTAGTAACAGCGAAAAATGCATCACTAAGTCAAATGAGGGAATCAAATAAGATATGTGTAAGATCACATAAAATTTGTAAATAAACTAGCTATGTATACAGTACATACAACATCTATGTGGAGCTATAAACTTAGTGTGACTAAGATGAGAGTATTTAAGAAAGAAATAATTTTAAAAAAAATTGCAACTAACATTTTATATTTTTAATTAAAAAAAAAAATACCTGTTTAGAAAGCCAAACTTTGAGGACAGGCATTCCAGCAATAATAGAGTTAGGGTCTTCTTCAGCAGCTGAGTTAACTGTATCATTTGCTCCAATAACCATAACCAAATCTGTATCCTTGAAGTCATCATTAATTTCATCCATTTCAAGTACAATATCATAAGGTATTCCTGCTTCAGCCAGTAAGACATTTAACTGACCAGGCATTCGACCTAAATTAAAAAATCAAATTAATAATTTATTACACAGAAACTACAGATTAAATTGTTACATCAGCTATCAAATTAAATTGTTTTCTCAGTAATCAAATTCAGGGATATTAACATTTAGAATTGTTTTCCAAAGTCATGAGGAGCTATGTTTTCATGGCTATGTTTGAAATTCTATATTCAATATATTTATTTATTTTTAGGAATGCTTTGAACAAAGATTAAGATTCTTTTTTAAAAAAATATCTCTATATTGAAATTTTTTTCGAAAATTAGGAGATTGTTCACAAACTGTAAAAATGCACTCGAAAATAAAGGGCCACTAAAAAAAGAAAAATCAGATTTGCCCATATTTTTCAAAATTGTTCCAAATCCTTGGAAATTACAGAAAATTCATAGTTGTTTGCATCGCTGCAAATTCGTGGGCATTTAGTTCACGCATAGATATCTAAAAAAAATTCAAATAAGATAAAGGACACTTAAACCACAATATATGTTTTCAGTCTTTAGTTAGAGATAGGGAAAAAGTCAAGCAGTAAGTCAAGATGACAATTTATGTTATTTTGAAAAGGGAATTTAATTCTGAATGAAGAGTAATTCATAGTAATCTTGCAGCAAAAGCTAATAAAAATATACTACATTTTCATTAAATATCTTCATAAAAGCACAAAATAATCAGAATTTAGGTTTAACAAAACTGTAAATCCATTAAATAAAATAGATATTTGCTAATAGAAAATTAGATGAATTACAAAAAATGGTTACAGTTATCTCATAAATTTAACTTTAAGGAAAAATATATTATATTACAAAAAAAAAAAAAAAAAAATCCTTGCAATATACAGAATATCTTATATACCAATCTTCACAGTTTTTAAAATGATTAAACTGTAAAAAATATAAGGCATTTAATATTTTGAAAAGTCGTTCCTTTTTTAAAATACTGGCAAAAGCAAATAATTTTAATTTTACTTCTTACAAACGTAACGCTTGCTCAAGTTTAATACAAAATCAATGTATAAAATAATATCAACGTACAAAATAATGATTTACCTACCTACATACAAAATACTTTACCTACATATAAAATAATGATTGAAATAGATAAAGAAAAATTCTACATAATTTAGGTAAATACTAAGTATTTTTAAAAAAACTAGATAAATAACAATAAAAAAAAATAAACTTACAAAAAATATGACACAAATAATTAAACTCAGCAAAATTTTATTCATGAATTAGCAAAAAATAATAATAATTTTGAATTGTAAAAAGTTTCAAAGGACAAATAAATACAAAAGAGTGCAAAATTTTACAAAAGAAAAAGACAATTAAAAATTTTAAACCTAATCTAAATTTTTTGCACATTGATTATGCTGTTTTTCCGCATTAAAAATGGGCTTACTCTGAGTAGGAAGTTGGTTTGATGGAAGAAAAATTTCACTCCACTTTGCCTAAATTATTTAAATAATTTGATTGTGTTCTTGATTTGTGAGATGATTTGTATTCTAACAAGTTCAAAGGACAGATAGTCCCCAGATTTAGCTTCCTAAAACTGGTTACTCTAAATAACTTTTCTTAAACTTTGGAAAAATATACTTTGTTTTAAAAAAAGGCAGAGATTATCAACAATCTTACATACCAGCTACTGGATGGATGCCAAATCTCACTTTCTTCCCCTTATTAGTTAAAGTTTTAACCATTTCTGCTAAGGGATACTGAGCCTTAGCCACACATAGCCCATATCCAGGTGTGATGATAATATTTTTAGCATCTCTAATCATCTGTACAGCCTGTGAGACATCCACTTCAGTGTGTGTTCCAGTTACAGCCATAGGTTTGCCAGTGCCAGTACTAGATGTACCATAACCTCCCAATATAACATTTGGTAGAGATCTGTTCATAGCCTGGAAATACAATGAAATATGTACTGAGCCACATTTATGAGTACTTAAAAGAATAAGTTAGATTCCATTTATGGGTCTGGACCCAGATTAGAATCACAAATTTTTCAGAGACAAATCACCAAAGCTTCAGAAAAAAAAAAACTTTTAAACCTTAGACATTTTTTGTGTCACACAACTAGTATAACTAGTGCAGATGTAGTTTATTAATCAAATTTACCATAGATGATTATTATTATTCACATGGTTGGATTTTATAGATAACTCTCTTAACCATTTCTTTACACATTAAATTAAAATTGCCTCATTTTAAAAAATTTAAATGACTAAAGCACAGAAACTCTTTTGTTGTTTTGTGCAATTAATATTTAATTTTTATGTTAAGAATATTGCACTAATTCTCTGAGAGAAAATCTTGTAATATAGCAATTAGCACTAGATACAGAAGTTAAAGAAACTATACAGACTATTAATAATCTTAAAGGTGTTAAGTGGTGTTTTTATGAAATAAATTTTTATTTGATACAGTGAAATTCATAACTTAAATTAATGGCCTTAAAAATGAAAATAAAAATTTCTATACAACAGATTTAAAATTTGATAATATTTATTTCTTATACAAAAGTATTTATATTATTTACCCTTTTTCACCTATTATTTCTCTTCAGTACCACAAGCTTTGTGATTTTTTTAAAATTCAATTTTAATTTGATAGAAATACTTTTTTTAAATCTACATAACACTGCTATTATCTTTTTATTATTTATTTTAGTAGGATTTTATCTTTTTTCATAACTTTGAGACTAGGTAATTTTTTAGTTCATAAAGAAAACTAGACACAAAAAGAAACTATTTTAATTATGAAAAAAAAAGAAGTTTAAAAAAAATTTAATTTTAAAAATAATTCAAGCGAGAAAATGCTGCTTAACAGATAAATTTACACTAATGAAAGAACAGAAAACGTTTTGTAAAATAATTGGTCACAAGATTTTTTCAATTTTGGCTATGGTTACAAGTTATTTGAAAGTATTACAAAATATAATTTTTTTTTTAAAAAAAGGAAAAAAAAAAGCAGACCTATAAATTCTATATTTATTAGAATTCAATTATATTTATAGTATTTTATTCATTCATTTAATAATTAAATAAGTTCTTTCAGTTTTTTGATCTAGGTATGCATATGTACAAAAAATTACTGCTGTTAAAAAGCTGACTTAATTATATTGTAATACATATATAATTGGAATGTACATAATTGTAATTGGTATTTAACTCTATTTTTCATTAAGGACATGAATAAATCACTCATAACCACTTATTTAAAAAGACGTATTGACCAAAATATTAGAGTCAATATCACTATTTGGTCACAATTATATACCAAAAATATTTTCATTTTAATTTATTTTAGAACATTCTACTTTATATTGCAGTGACAAATATATTACTAATTATTCTAACCAGTTTCAAAAATTTAGAAAGTACACCTTAAAATGAATTTCAGAAAGGAAAAAAAAAATCATTTAACAATTTTAAGCCAAGATAGTTAAAAGTCCTGTAAAGTTTATCAAATAGAACATATGAACAGCCTTTTAAACAGTAAGAAAGAAAAAAAATCCTAAAAATTAGTTTTGAATTGTCTGGCCGAAATTCGAATTTACAACATTGGATTCATAAAGTATAACTTACTTTGCACATAATGTACGACAAAATGGCACCAGATGATCCAATTAAAGCTCCAACAATCGTCATTAGATTATTGTTTAACATAAAACCTTCTGCACACAATGCCCAACCAGAATAGCTGTTCAAAACTGTTATCACAACTGGCATGTCTGCACCTGTTTAAGAAAAGGATTATAAAATGTAAGTTATAATTAATGGCTGGTTGAAAAAATTTATAAGAAATAAAAACAGTCATTAGTTATAAAGAAAATTATTTTCATAACAGTCATTAGTTATAAAGACAGATTTTCATTACATGGATTTTACCCCAACCCAGCAAAAGAATTTTACTACTCGGCACCGGGTTCTTAGTATCAAGACCTACAGAGTATCTAGAGATGGGCAACATACACCTATATTTGACATAACAATATTCAGATTTATAGTGATTTTAAACTATTCTTAAAAATAATTGTTTTGGAAATCCATATACTCCATCAGTTTCTTAATAATAAAGCCGAATCAACTGGCTTTAGCACGACATATTTTACTATTGTGCAGAAATTTTATTCAGAAAAACTTCTCCTAAGTAGATACATACATTTTGATGCTAGAAACTATTTTAACTAAATCAATATGATAGATAAATAAAAAATAAATTACAAGTAGAGAATTGTATCAATATGTAAAACTAATTAAATTATAACGGATGAAATTTGAAGAAAACTGTAGAAAAATACAATAAAAGTGTACAATACTCTCATACAAATTTGCTTTTAGCAAATGAGTAAACATAATATGTTTTTAATATTGGGGTTTGAAGACTAATCATTTTATAGAAGTATAATGGAGAACAGTTGCAAACAAAACAAGCATTTTGTTACAAATGACATATTGATTATTCTAATGCTATTACTAATTTAAATATCATTGTAAATTAATTTTCTAGTAAATAAAAGCACTTGTAAAAACAAGACAACTGTTTTGAGAACATTTGACAAATAAATTTTTAGAAAGTAGTTTTGTATTTAAATAAAATAAAATAAAAACATTTCTCAACAAAAACCTCATTTGAAAACAAGTTATTTTCATTATAAGTTGTATGTTTATATTGAAAATAAGATGAATGAATAGAATTTATTCATGGTAATTCATAACAATTTACTATTAAATTTCTAACCAGTCTGATTAAAATTTTCCAGCCATTTGACTAACCATGCGAAGATCTCATGGTTTTTCTCTTTTTTTTTTTGTGCAACCCAAATGTGCGTTAGTTTTGCAGGAAGTATTTCTTCAAAGCAAATTCGTTATTTCATCTAGGAGTTACTTTAATTTTAAGAAAGTCAAAATTACTAGAACATGGAGATAGAATCGTAACCTTATGGACAGTAATACTGCAGTATGAATCTTCTGATCAACACAGACTAAAGATAAACTTTATCACCAATAATAGAAAAGTTAAGAAGTTGTAGATCTCATTGCATTTATAGTTATTGGATAATTAAAAACTAAACCCTGATTGTTAAATCCTTTTTCCTTTCATATATTGTCCTTTTATTAAAATATTTTTAAAATGTCCTACATTTAACAGAAGCTACATAAATAAATTTTATTAAAAATTTAAGTTAATCAAATGAAAAGTTAATTAATTATAAAATCTACTATAAGTGGGAGATTAGGTTAATTATTTTACATCAGAATAATATCCCCAATTTTCCTTGAGAAACCTTTTTTTTTAATTTAGCTTAAAAATAAAATCAGAAAATAAAAGCATGTTTTTACTGAGCAATAATTTTTGCTGCTGCAAAATTACTTTGATGAGTTGGCAATAATTTTTCTTTAGAACAATACTTTGTTCGATAGAAAATTATATATTTATTGTTTTGCATAATGTTTTAATACCTAGCCGGGCAATAATTTGAATTTTACTGGTACAGACTAAGAAATAAATTTAATTTTTACTATATACCCACAAAACCTTGCTAAAAAAATTTATATAGTAAAAAAACTAAAGCTGATATTTCAGAATAAAATAAATGCAAATTATATTTAAATATGCATACTATGTAGATAATTTTTTAAATGATTTCACTTTGCCTAAATTACTGACATATTTTAATATTTAAATTTGTTATTAAGTTCCAAATTACAGCTTATGATTACTAACTTTTAAGAGGATACTGTACCACAGGAAAATTTTTACATGGCAAATTCTGTTTCACCTCCATTAGTAATTTTAATCATGGAAAAAGTGAATTCAGATAAATCCAAAGAAACTTATGAAGTCCCAATTGCAGAATTGTTCTTTTTCTCCCTGCAAAATATTGAAATACAAATAAATAATGACAGATTCGCTTTCCCACTGCCATAACTTGCTTGAATTGGAACATGTTTGAAAAGTTTTCCAAACTTGAAAATTTGTGGTTTACTCTGGTTTACATGAACTCACTTTTTTCTATAATTTAAATTCCAAATTACCGATATAGATAACAGAAAAAGCACCATAAAGGTTTTTTTCATGTGGTTTTGCATCCTCTTAACACTTTATCTAAAAGTCAATGTAATAATTGAATTTGTGATATAATAGAATTTTGTTATTAATTTCTTCAGACATAAAAAAGTATCTCTTTTTCCATTTTACATTTGCAATATTATCCAAAATCAAATAAAGGCAAATAACAGTGGAAAACAATTCATAACTAAAAAAAAAAATAAACCATGAAATAATAAACTATATGTAATTATTTTAAGTAAACAGATTAATTAATACACATAAAAGATTAATTTAAAGCATAATTTATAAACAAAATATAAAAATAATATATGATAAAGAATGTACACTATATTCAATTACTTTGAAAAATAATGATTGAATTTATTACCTCCAATAGCAGCTGTGAGAGTAACACCCATAATCATAGATAAAGCACTTGTGGCACCAAGACAACTTAATCCAGCAATATTGCTGCTAGACATCAAGTAATAAGCCATAGCTGCAACATTGCTTGCCATTAGTCCACCATTAAGAACATGTCTTCCGGGTAGAAGCAAGGGAGATGAATTTAACAGTCCTGGTGATTTAAAAAAAAAGAATTAAATAACATAATTCAGAAATAGCTGCTTGTTAAACGTTTATTGAAGGAAGGATTCAAATTCAGTTTTAATAATTTTTCACAAACTTAGTGTTAAAGTAAACTTTAATAAGATTTCTTACCCAAAAATATTAAAAATAAACTTTTAATATTTCTTATTTGGCAAATGATATTGTTTTCAATGATTTTAATTATGTGCAAAAGCACACCAAATTGTAGAAGGGATACAAAAGATTAAGGTATGATGTGCACATACTCTGGAATGCATAATTTTCCAGCGCCAAAAAAAAAGCACATCTGTAGATTTATGCATGCAAAATTATAACTTAACTCTAAATATGAATATAATAAAAAAAAAATCTCTTTCTTCCTTGCTAATAGCCAAAAGAAAAAAAATAATAATTGTGAATTTCATATTACATTGTTGCTTTTATTTGATGCAATTGTTTGATCAGCCTTAGTAAGAGCCTTGATAGCTGAAATATAACTCTTTATTTAAAATTCTTTGTTTTGTCTATAAAGATATAATTAAATTATAAATTTGAATATAAATAGATGAAAAACAAAAAGCTAGAGAATTCATTTTTTAAATAGGAGCCCACATTTAATAAAAAGGGACTCAGAAATTTGGAAGACCTTGGTCCTAAGGGCCCATAGTTTTTTTAAGTCCAGCAGAATCAGTGGTTTTAATTAACTTTCTAAAACAATGTAATTTTTTTAAAAATTAAGTTTTGCAATTTTATACAACTTCAACAACTTTTTGGTATCAGAAAATCAGAATTGTCAGTAATTTTTAAAGCTTCATTAATTCAACAGACACAATAAATTGATATAATATTAGGAAGCACTCCTTTTTGCAGAGATAATTGTGTGAGCTGATGAAGAGATTATTTCTCTCTTTTTCCAGATTTTTATTAATTTTCTTCCATTATTCTGTTACTTTTTCCATGTTTTCTCTACATTTTGAACTTATTTTACGAGTTCTATATACTTGCACCTCATGCACAATAAATAAAACTTATTGATTTTCTTCGTTTTTCTCTTTGCCCATTTTGTATTTATTTATTGTGATATATATATACAGTAGAGCGACGATCATCTGAACTGCTCGGGACAAAACGTGGTTCTGATAATTAAAAGTTCGGATAATTGAAAAGTCGTTTAAAATCTAGTTTAAATGATTAATATTTATGCACTAACTTCTCTTCACACCTTTTCCAGACTTAGGACTGGTAGTACTATCTAAAATAGCTTTGGCGTGTTTAAATTTTCTTTCCTTTTTTTTCTTTCAATTTTTAAATATTTTTTATTTATTTATTTTTTAAAACTTTTTTTTTCATTTTAAATTTTTTTTAAAAATCATATTTCAGCTTTTTATAATTTTTTTGTCAATTGCTTATTTTACCACATTTTTCTTTATTTTCTTTCGCATTCCAACCATTGTAGACTGGCAAAATGAAGCTCCCATTCTAGGAAAATAATTTTCAGTTGAAGGGGGCTAAAGGGGTAACTGTATAACAACACATGCATGTATGGTTACTATAAGAAAGCTGCTTAAAAAGGTTGTAAATTAAATATGGTATTCAGATGTAGTGGACACTATTTATTCTTCTAAGTTTAGAAAAACTTTCGATAAGTTAAATAGTATTCTAAACTTAAAAACAAAAAAACGAATTCTGACATAATTCAGATAATCGGACGTCCAGATAATAAGGGTTCGGATAATCGGCGCTCTACTGTATATAGATATATGATTAGTACCTTTGTGTGAACTTTTGAACAATTCCTGTCAGCAGAAACTAAACTTTATACAAATAAAAGTGAAAACATAGAAGAAACAAATCTTACCCTGGAGTTTTCCATAGGCTACTAGAGAGCCACTAAATGTAATTCCACCAATAAATGTTCCCAAAAATAATGCAGTTTTGATTGCATTGGCAGCTGGATCTGTAGCAAAAGTTGGATAATCAACTATGTAGGTAGCAAGACATGTGAGAACAGCTGCCATTCCGACCAGGCTGTGGAAAGCAGCAACAAGCTGCGGAAGGTCAGTGATTTCTATTTTCTTGGCAATGTACAAGCCAAGGGCACCTCCTAAAATCAACACATGAAACAGTATAATATATAATAATAACAGAGCATTACAAACTTATAATAAATAAAACAATTTTTAACGATTTAACAATTATTTTAAGAAACATTTCTATACCATTTCAGTTTATCAAATTAAATTGCATCAAGCCACTGGATCAGATTAAAATAACACAAAACTAAAAAATATAGTTGAAACTTTATTTATAAAATTTATTCTTTAACACACTTATATATATAATATATATAAGTGTTATAATTAAATAAATAAAAAATATTACTTTTAAAAATCACTAACAATAACAATTTAATCGCTTTTGAATTCAAAGTAACATGGTTTCTTCATATGGATATTTATCGCACATGGTAATTTTGTAAATGCATTTCAGCAATATTTAATGAACAAATATAAAACTCTCGTTTTATAACATAACTAAATGTTAACTGGATAAGAGTAACATATATGGTACCTTAACAATATTCATTGTACTTTTTGATTTATGTCATCAGAACCAATCTGTTAATGAAACAGAGAAACATTCTCACAAATATGCCCATTCTCAAAAAACAGAATTCATTTAATTAAATGCTTTTACTTTTGTAGTTAACAGTTACAAGAACTTACATTTTAAATAAGTAATCAACGTATGGAAATAGTATGAAACAAAAATTAAGAACGAAATTTAATTTAAAAACAATAAGTCAAAATGGAAAAGCACTAAAAAGCAGCTAAAACCAAAAATGGCTAAATCAAAGATAATAATAAAAATGTGAGAATTTAAATACAAGCAAAACGAAATCTAAAGATATTAAAAGAAAGAAAGTGGTGTGTCCCTTGATGAAATGCTTTTTTTGCTAACATGCATATCTTTCAGGGATGTGATTGACAAAAACACAAAAAAGAGGAGGTTTATAACTGTAGCATTAAGCGTACAAAAGAAAAAATGATATGAATTCAATAGCCAATCTGATAATGATTACATTATTATCTATTCAAATAAAAATAAATAAATGGTAATTATTTTCTTAAATAAAATCTTGATTAAAATAATTTTTTTTTAATAATTTAGATAACTGAGTAATTTTATGCATATGCATAAGCACAATTTTATGTATCACATCATTTTAAAAAACATTTCTTTAATGGTCAAAGGACCTTTATGGACTTTCTCATCAGTTCTTTGTTTTTTCGATGGTCTTTTATTAACATGACTGATCTGTAGACTGCGTTTTGCAGACTTTTGATCATCAGTGTTGATAGGACAAGAAAGTTCATTTCTCACACAATTTTTAGAGGCCTTAGATTAAGAATCGCGATGTTGGATTTCAAAATCACGTGAATAAGAATCGCGATGCTTGATTTTAAAATCGCGTGAAAAAGAATCGCGATGCCGGATTTTAAAATCGCGTGAAAAAGAATCGCGATGCCGGATTTTAAAATCGCGATGTTAATGCAGCAAAATATTGACCTAGGAGACAAGGACAGCGTCTGTATTGGCACTCTTTTCGAGCATATCAGTTGGAGGTCTTAATCTTTTCTTGCAAATCTTTTCTCAATGTTCAAAATGAATTTTATTTTTGGTATGTCACATTTCACAATAAAATTGGTCATATTCATAAATTTGATGAGTGACTGTTCATGAGGTTTCAATCTTATTACAGAAAAAAAATCTTCATAATGCAATAACAGGGTGCGAAGCCAGATTTTTCAACAAAAATAAGCACCTTTTAAGTACTTTTTAAGCACTCAAAAAATATTTTCACTTCCCCCCCCCAAAAAAAAATCATAATTAGGATCTGTGCAGTAATAAAATTGTTTTCCCCTATAGTNATGAATTTTCTATTTAACAAACTTTTCTTTGAGAACCACTTTCCCTATTTCGTAGAATATTTCAGAACTTGTTAACACATTTTATGGGGGAAATGACCTGGAATTGATTTTCGAAGCCACTTCAATTTTAGAAAAAGCAGTAAAATCCCTTTCCTTTTTTGTTTGCATATCAAACAAAAAACTCAGACAAAATTAACGGGTCTTATCAGTAACCAATTAACTTAAGAATGCATGTTGTAATGTATGTTGGAAATTACTTTGCAATTATAATTTTATACAGCAAATAAATGCAGCTATAATTTTATACATAAATTCAGCTTTTTTTAGTTGAAAATGTTATAGCATGGTTGTGTAACACTGGATAATGTTTTGCTCTATTCTTGCTTTCCAAGCAGATTTCTTTTATGGCTAAGATTTATAAAATAAATAGTAGATTGATTGATTGAATGTAGGGTTTAGTGGCACAAGATCCAAATGAGGACATGCTGTGCCAAACAGTACGGTAAAATAAATAAATAGTAGATACTAATTTACAAGATAAAGGTGTATGGATTGCTATTTTAATTATGTCTAGTGTTTATGAATTTAAAACCTGTTTTGTGTCGTTTAAGTATTTCAAAAGGTGATTTTCTATTTAACGAATTTTCCATATAACGAACTTATTGTCGGGATTTAGCGACTTCATTAAATAGAGGTCGGACTGTATATATATTACAATAAAAAATAATTAAAGTAGTTCTATGAGAATAACTTAATTTATTTAAAATTGTACAGAAAAAACTAAAGTCAATGACTGACCTCCACCCATACAAGCTGCAATTTGAATAGCGAATTCTGGAGGCACATTCATAACGCCAAGAGTAGCTGCTAAGCCAGTAGATACCCCTACCATACCCAGAGCATTTCCAAGCCTGGAAGTTTTTTGAGAAGCCAAACCAGCTAAGGCCCCAACGCAGCATAATGAGGATCCCAGGTAGGCCATTTGATGAACTTCAGGATAACCAGCTGCAGCTAATGCAGCATAACCGCCAATAAAAGCGGTACCTATGAAATAAAAGCAAATTAAAGTTATTAATCATATACAGGTGATCACATAACTGAAAGAGTTATTGTTCTAATGGTTAGGGATGTAACGAATAGTGATTTCAGCCGAATATCGAACATTCAGCCATTTTCTCATAGAAGAATTTAGTCATTATTAAAAAATAATCAAAACTTAGCTGTATTATTGGCATAGGGTAAAGAAGAAAAAAACTGTAATAGAAATGCTAAAGATAATAAGGAAAAAAAACTGACTTACAGTTATTAAAAAAAAAATGAAGTTATAAGTTTGAAAAAAAAAAGGAAAACAATATCCCCTTAATTTTTAAAACAAAACTTTAATGCTAAAAATAAAATTTTCCAGAAAAATATTACCCATAAAACATTAAAAAAAAAAATTCCATCAGAAACGCATTTTAAAAATGCAGCGCTATCATAAAAACACCTATAAAAAAACAATGATTAAAAAAGCTTTTTAAAATGCTATCATAATAATAACACTGATAAAAAGAAAAGTTTAAAAACAAAAGAGAAACAAAAAAGTATTGTTCTTTGTTCTCAAAAAATAACTTTAAAGTGGAAGCTACAGCTTTCTATGATACCAGTTATCTGTCTTACTGTACAATAAAGTGACCATAATAGAATAGAGTCTATTAAAAAGCTCCGTTAACATGCTCCACTATAAGTAAAACAGAAAAAGAAGTTAAATGAAAAAAAAGGCTCAAAAATTTTTAAAATCAAAGTGTTGAAAATACAATGAAACTGATTTGTCTGAATATAATTTTAAAAAAAAGAAAAAATCAGCATTAGAAATCTCATAGTTCAGTATAAAGTAATCTAGTTTCAATTCTTCAAATCTTGCTTTTCCATGCATCTTTTAGAAAATAAATTGACAAGTTTTAGAGCTTAAACAAGTTTTTTGAAACGTCAAGATAGAAAAATAATAAGTTTTTAATTATTAAGTGTCCAGAAAATGCAGAAAAACTAACAGAACAAGGAGTCCAATGGTCAGGAGGGCACCAAAGGGCTGCAGAACTTCTGAAGAAAGATAAATCTCCTAAAGAGGAGAAAGAAAAGTGAAAAAAATCATAAAAATAATACCATACCTGGAATAGCATATAAATAGTTAAATTCAGGAGGATCAGTAGGTCTTCGAAACATATCAAGCATTCTCTTAGTTACAAGAAACCCTCCACAAATATTGATGGAAGAAATAAAAGCGGCTGCTGCTCCAAGGGTTTGGGGAATGGTGTGGGGGAGAACACCTCCACCCATCAACAGAAGACCCCCAACAGCTGTAATTCCTGATACAGCATTAGTTACAGACATCAATGGTGAATGAAGAGCAGGTGTAACACCCCAAACTGTGTGGTAACCTAAAATATTGAATTAACAAATAAGGTTATATATATATATATACACGCATTGTAGTAAATTTGTACAGAATTAATTAATGTAAATACAGATGGGAACCGATTATCCGGAACGGTCGGGACCATCGCTATTCCGGATAACTGATTTTTCCGGTTTTCTGAATCGCTACAAAAAGTCGTTTTTTTAATTGTTAAACCCAACTAAAAAAAATAATAAAAAATTGGAAATAATCTTAAAAATAAGAAAAAACAATGAAGTAATACACTAATGATTATTTCCAAAATGATGGTAAGGTAAACCTCTCTAAAAAAAGAAAGAAAAATCGTAAAATCTTACAATGAAAAGAAAAAAAAATTTTAAAAATGGCGAGAAAATTTATCGAATTTTGTTCTGGTTTTTTGGATTTCCGGATAACGGGTTCTGTACTGTAATACATACTAACTAATTTTACACATGTTTCAATTTAAAGATACATTTTTAGCTATTAATGGAAGTATCAGGGGTGATTGTGAGCCCAACTCAAAAATCCTGAAAATTTCTTGAATAAAATCATTAATGACGCATTTAAAAAAAATGAATGTCTTTATGAATTTAAATCATTGATATTGTCACAAAATGAAATTCTAAATAAATAATACGCAGTATAATTTAAATTAATAATTTTGTATAAGTTTACCTTTATCTCTAATCACATTTATTCTAGCAGAAAAAATATTTACAAATGAAAGAGATACCAAGTATAAATTCTAGTTCTAATATTTTTAAATAAAATATACAAGAATTTTTATAAATAAATATGGTCGATAATTTCTTGAAACTTCTGGACCTAGGAGTTCCGAAAATTTCTGGGTCGCGGTTAGCGAAAAATCCGGAATTTTTCCAGAGCACAATCATCTCTGAAGTATAAAATCCCTCAGTTCACTATTTCAGTTCCACGACGATAAACTTCCAACTAGTTGGGAACTTGTCATGGAGTTCAAAATGAGAATGACTTTAAACTTTTATTTTCCTATAAACATGAAAATATCAATTATACCACATTTTTCACAAAAATTATAGAAATCTTTACATATTTGCCAAGGAATTAACTTTTAAATTCCTTCTAAAATTTCAGAATTCCTCAGCCACCAAGGGCACTATTTATGAAAGTTTGCCTCCAAATAATTAAATAATGATATATATTTAAACAATATATGCTAACCAACTAGTCCAGAGAGACCGAATATTGACATCATGGTAGTGAAAGCTGGGTTTGGTGAAACCATTCCAAATCCTAGCAAAGTTGATAAACCTGGAAAATATGAAAATAAACATCTGTTACTTCTTAAATAATAAGTGTAAAAAAAATCACACAATGAAATTTATGAATTAAGAAATTTTTGTGTCACTAATTAAGAAATTAAAGCATCACATTTTAACACAAAACCAATGAATCATAAAATTATTAGTTGATTGATCCAATTGAATAATTATCGTAAGTTCAGAGAGATTCAATCCAAAATTTATGGCGCAATTTTGAAATTCAGTGCAGAGACTAATTATTATCAGTTTAGTAATATTTCAATAAAAAAAAACTAAATCAACAGTTTAATTCAAAACAAAATGAGAGGACATACCATTTAAATCATATGACTTTTAGTCATTTAATCAAATCAAATGTTAATCAAATGAAGTACTGAAGTTTATCCCAACATTAAAAGCTTATTTTGGAAATTATTAAAATAAAAGTGATTTTACTAATTAATTAATCTCTTAAATCAGTAGTAGAATCTTACAATTTATTTAGGAAAAAAATATTCAGAGAACAGGTCACTTGAATCATAATACAATAATCATTTAAGTGATGAAATATATAATTAAAAAGCTTGCAGCATAACAAAATTTTAAAAAATGATTTATGTACAACTTTTATAAAAAAGTTATATAGCAAATTGATTTTTCAAAAAATCCTCAATAATGAATACATTCATAAATTTAATATCTCAATTTAAAAATCAGAAAAAAATCTCATAATTAAAATCAGTGGACATACCACTCGCATTACTCTATTATTAGTTGTTCTATTGAAATATAATTATGAAGTCATGAAGTTAATCTTAATTTTCAGAGGTTGTATCTAATTTGGTTTCAGAAATATATACCTAACAATAATTTTAAAACTTACGACTTCAGTAAATATGACATTATTCATATAAGATAAGAACTATTAAATAAGTCTCATCATAACAAAAAGCTTTATTAATATTATAAAGACAATTCATTACCAGATGTATAGAGAAGAGAATCTTTTAACGTTGCATTAAAGTAATTTGGTTCTGGTGGAACAATTTTAGCAGGAGCAGCTGGTTTTGCAGCAGGTGCTGCAACTTCCTTCGGTGGTGGAGGAGGCCATAATAAACTACCATTTTGTAAAATAATAGAGCCTCTAACAACTTCATCTTCCAAATCTATATTAAAGTGATCTTTGTTTCCTAAAATATAAGAAAATGAAATTTAAAATAACACAACAAGAGAGGAAGAAGTGTTTAAGAAAGAATTAGTTATTAAAATTAAAAAGGCAATAGATTAATATTATTACAATTCAAATACTAAGTATACAATTATTCAGTAATACAATTCTAACACTGATGATATAATAGTTCTGCTACAAAAATAAATTCAGAGAAACAGAACATGTATACAACTAAAAAAGACTATTTTTGAAAAAAAGAGTTCACGACAAGCTTGATTAATTTAATTTTCATTCGATTAAGTTAAAATTTTAACAGTGAGCGTAAAATTGATGTAACTTCTATTATGTTTAACTTTTTTTTTAAAATATTTTATTTTAATAAAACAGCACCTTCTTCCACTCTATTGGTTAAACCAATTTTCTATCATTATTGCACCACATTTGTCTCATAACTTTCGCCTGTCCACTTTTGTAACTTTATTTATGCTGTATTGATTTATACAGACTTATGTATTTTGAATATAATGCAATAATCATATGGTGTTAAGTAAATCATTTGGGTAAGTGCATCAAAGATATGTTACAAACCATTTAAAGCACCGAGTTTATGGGTACATAGATATAATAAATAAGCACTGAAATTAATAACAGTAGAGCTTTTATTTACAAGTTTCAAACATTTCATGCTTTGAGCAAAAATTTTAATACATCTTACTTATTTAAATCTTTTTGATTGAATTACAAACTTTATAATATACATATATGGGTCATTCTCACAAAAACAGTCATTTTCATGTCCCCAGTATATTTTATGTTTGTTTTACAGCTTACGAAGAAAAAAAATTCAGGGAAAGTGTCCGTCAGAATGCAAACTAACAAAAGAATAAAAATAAAATTATCAATTTTTATTTTTTATTTATTTTAGGTAATTAAAATATACCAATATGTCATTCCCTCACTTGTCCCCACTGCTGATTTAAAAAAGGAAAAATTTTTTTTCTGAAATACAAATTTTTTTTTTTACAAATTCGTGTTTTTTATTTCAGAATACTGAAATATAGAATTTAGAAAATCAATTTTAAATTGAATTTCTGATAAAAATATTAACACAGCACTATTTTAAACTTTGTCCCCAGTGTTTCGCGTCNAAACTTATCATTAACAGCAAAAATGATGTCATTTTTTTTCAAGCTAAAAACAATTTTATCAAGAGCAAAAGGTTTCAACCTTAGTTGTATTTATAAAAACAGCAATTTAAAAAAATATTTATAATAAAAATATTTAACCGTAGTTTAAAAACTAGATTGACTTCTCTTTTTCCCCGATTTGATAAGTACAGTAAAGTTCACATAATAATCAAAATTATCCTGTTTACTTAATTTGTTAAAATCAAATTATGTTTCCTAATTTTTGTTTAGGAAAATTACAAAAAAACAAATGAAGATTTTAACATAAAGGTGCTTGCTTCTTATTTATAAAAATATAATATGAGAATTTATCATTCTTAAATATCTAAAATTGTTAATTACTGTGTTCATTTGAAAGCCAAACTTCTTACAAAACTTTTAAGGTTGTAAGCAACATACTAAATATCTGCACACATGCTAAATAAGATATGTATTTGAATTATGATATGAGTTTGAAGATAGCAGGTCCTGCAGTAGACTGATCGTAAAGACACAGTTCCCCAGTAGAACACTGAAGTCAAGCATCACTGGCTGTGGTCCAGGGTTGGGGTTTTGGACGTCCTTAACTGGTTTTGGACAGGACACATGGGTTTTACTGTCTTAAACTGTCCAAAACCTTGAACATTTTTAAAAGGTAAAAATTTTATATGTATAACCATTGTACACATAATAATTACATATATTAATAAATATTTGACACTTTTACCTTTTTAATTTAAATTATTGAAGGAAAATAATATAATGTAATATAATAGGGAAAGATTAATAACTTTTGAAGCTGCACAATTCACCTAATAACAAAAGTGAATATCTTTAAGCTTTTAATAGTGATAAATTATGTTTTTGCATAAAGATAAATAATGCAATATTAAAAATAATAATGAACGTTTTTAATAAAACAAAAACTTCTCTTCATTTTGTTTCTAGTTCAAAAATTAACCTTTTATTTTTCACATTATTTTTTTAAAATTGTGACATAATTAGAACAAAAGGGTCTTGGAGAATTTGAACAAAGGGGTTTTGGACAGTTTAAGACAAGACGGTTTAAACCGTGGATTAATCCATTGTCCTAAACCTTGCCAACTCTGCATGCGGTCAGTAAGCGGGCGCGTGACCACCTTGATCTGCTCGTTAAACTGTTTAAGCATAAAGCGCTCAGCTTCGCGCAGGTCGTCAGGCTACCAAAGCATGGGAGTCTTCCTCTCTGCAGAGGATCAAAATTGTGATGGCATGTTTTCAGATCACCCTGAGGAATGTTTACCAGACTGCTTGTAATAGCCCCTTGTGCAGCTCTAGTGTGATATAAATAAAGTACCTCCCTACCTTGAACATAGCATAAGATTATCACAAAAAATAATGTTAAAGCAATAAGAGAAAATTGGTTCAAAATAAAAATTTTACTCTTGATATGAGTTTGGGAGCAGGTTTTCCAGGAATTAAAGCTGTAGTGATTAGCACATCTATTTCTTTGCATTGGGCTGCAAATAAGGCCATTTCAGCTTCAATGAATTCCTTTGACATCACCTTCGCATAACCACCAACACCTTCTCCAGATTCCTAGAGAAATAGAATAACATTCAACACATCAATACCCCCTTTTAATTTAGAAATCATAACATACGTTCCCACCTTATCAAGCTTATCTAATTGTTATTTAATATTAGGAATAAAATAAAAACTGTCACAAAAGAATTAAAACAATGTAACTTTAACTCTATTTCATTTTTGAAAACCAATACTTACAACTGACAACTGAGATTTAGACAAGAAATAATTATAATTTTTTTTTTTATAAGTAGTATTATTCAAATAAAAATAACTTTCGAAGCTATTACTTCTTTATAAAAGTTAAAAGAACTTAAAATTACTTTTAGCACAAAAATCTAACAACATAAATAGCATCCCTAATTATAACGCAAGCAAATTAATTTTTATGCACTCAATTGATTTTGCAATGGTTTAATAGTTTTGAAATGCTTGGTTGTGTTTCTTCGAAGCAATATTGCTGCAGAACAGTGTGCAGCACCATTGCTTTATCTGTGTATAATCTGTGTTGAGCACAATCATAGTTTATGCTTTAAAAATTTCTTAAAACAAAATGAGGTTCTGAAACTTTTATTTTGAAAATTAATTTTTTTCTTTATGTTGGAGCATTCTAGAGTATATATCAATCTTGAACTGATAGAGAGAATGTATACAAGTTGCATTGAAAAGTTTGCTCGAATGGTGCTACACATGAATAACTGAGCTGTTAGGGAAACTGCACAACAGCTGATGCAATGAGAAACATGGCAACCAGTACCCCCCAACATTCAAATCAAGAAAGTTAAGCGCAAGGGTCAACTGTAACCAACTTAACATATTCAGTGTGAGAAGGTGAGTCACTGTAAAATGGAACATAAGGTTTCGTTTTAAATTAACCAAAATGTCAAATGAGACGCAAAATGATAGTGGAAGCAATGAAAGGGTGATTTTAAGAGACAGAAAGGAAGTTTATGACTTTGATCTGATCCAACAATGTGATAATTATGATTTGATTAATAATAAAAGGAACCTTTACTGTTTCCAACAATGGGTGTCAAAAAAACGTTGTAGTTAATGGAAATTACTTTTAATGACAGGGGCCAGGATAGTCTTAGTGGTAGGGCGTTGAGCCCATGTCCAAGAGGTTGTAAGTTTGATGTCCGCTAGCTGAAGACTCCCTGTGTAAAATGGTGATTGATGCAAGCTAAATCTGTCAGGTCACAAAGACCTCCTTGTTCCCATAACAAATCATATTTCTAGGATTACTGAATTGGAGATTGATCGTTCTCTGGTTCAGGTCAAAATTACGATCTGTGGATGAATGAACAGATGCATGAATGGGTCCACCTATGTATGATTTGTGACATGTGGGTGCCTGAAGTCGTATTTTTGGCCATAGATGGCGCCACTATAGAAATGCAACCTCTGCCTTAAATTCACTCGATTTCACCAAGCAGGCCTGCTGATACTGGCAAGTGGGCATTACAAGCAACAGCGCAACTTTTAATGACAACTCTTCAAAATAAACCTTGTATATATTCTTTTAAATACATTTTAAAAGACATACCTTTATATTAACTTCTAAAAATTCTGCGCCAAAAGATTCCACTTGCTCTTTAACAGCGGCACGCGTGTCGAATGCTCTTACGATTGCACCCATGTTTTTAGCAGTACCTATAGCAGATAATCCAGCAACACCTCCTCCAATAATAAGAACTTTTGCAGGAGGCACCTTACCTGCTGCTGTGATCTGACCTACAAGGGAAAAAAATTTAAATGAAAGATTCTTCATGAGAAGATTTTTGTTGACTTTCTCTTTGACCAATTGCATGAAACAATTATTTCTCACTAAAACTGTCTTTTGAGAAAAAAATGTTGCAATTGGTAAAAAGCCATAAATTTTTATAGAAATCTTTACTTAAAATTTGAAGCAAAGTCTCCTAGTAAATAACACTAACAGCAGCAAAATTCACTTTAAAAAAAACTCAATGCAAAAACTTTGCAATTCGGAAATAAATTTTTTATATTACTAAAAATTTTGTTTAAAATTAAAAAAGACCATTTAAGATGGCTTAAATCACAAAATTTTTTCTATTAGATTTTAAAAATGCAAAAATAAGTACCAGTGAAAAACCTTCCAAAATTATTGGCAGCTTCAACAACCGCCTTATAACCAGCTATATTGGCCATTGAACTGAGGGCATCAAATACTTGTGCTCTACTGATTCTTGGAATACAATCCATTGCAAATGCAGTCATTTGGTGATTTCCCAAAGCTTTCAAAAGATCTTGATTTTGTCCAGGGTAGAGGAAGCTGATAAGGGTGCCAGATTTTCTGAATTTACCAACTTCAGCGATAGTCGGACCCCTCACTTTCAATACAATATCAGATTGAAAAGCGGCAGCAGTATCAGAAATTTTTGCACCAACTGCTTCAAAGTCTTGGTTACTGAATTTGGCTTCAGCACCAGCATCTTTTTCTACGTTCACCTACAAAATAAGAAAATATTTAATATTTATTATAATGGAAATTATATTCAAGGAATCTGCTACATTTTAGATTTTCAAATTCATGACCCATGTCAAACAAAATAAGAAAATATTTAATATTTATTATAATGGAAATTATATTCAAGGAATCTGCTACATTTTAGATTTTCAAATTCATGACCCATGACAAATTCCAAGAACATTTCATGACTTAACAAATTTACTATTTTCTCCCGACAAAAAAAAACAACAATAAATTTAAAAAGCATTATAATAACATTAACTGAAATGATATGTATAACCAAAACAGTTATAATCTGCATCTTCATATTCATAGATTTCAAATCTAAAAAACAGAGAAAAAAAGAGTTGAAACAATAAAATAGCTGGAAAAATACAAAAGCAAATAATTATTTTCCCTTTTTTTTCCTGCAGAATTATAATCTGAAGACATTTTTCTTGTTCTCATTTTGGAATTAAAAAAATTTCGCCAATGACTCACCTTCCTCAGCTAGAATTTTAAATTGATAAAATAAAGAAAATAAATAATAAAAATTCTGAAATCACAGAAGTTTAAATGATAATTCACTCTAGAAATGATGTTTTTTCTTTCACTTTTTGAAAGAATACCATAATTTTTAAAGAACATGATAAAAACATTGATATTTTAATAAAACATGACCGTGAGTGGGGATATTGTTACAAATTCAGATATTCGGAACACCATGAAATTAGGGAGAGGGGTAAAATCCATTTTGAAAATTCGGTGACCTATTTCCATGATTTTTTGGTGACCTAAATCCATGACTTTCCATGATTTTTTTTTAAAAAATAGTTAAAATCATGACAAATTTTGTTCAATACCGAAATTCATGACTTTCCATGATTTTACAACGGCAATGAAAACTACAAATTATTATGATAACCATTTTCGAATAAATTTTAAAATTAACTATGTTTACTTTGAAAATTAAATAAGTATTTCTTTCAGAAATTATTTTTCGTAAACTGTTTACATTATTAAAAAAATTAATTGAAAATGAAATATACAAAAAAAATCACATTATCTAGATACATAGATGCACATTCATTTCTAAATTTCAATACATTTCCAATTACATACCCTCTAACATTTATGGTTTTTGTGAAATAATATTCACAAATGAAATGAACTACTGAAGAAATTGTATAGAATGATTATTAAAGTTTTAGTACATATAAGTATATAATTTTAAATATATGATTTTTTAAATATGTCTATTTATTTTTTATTATATTTTTTGCCAATGTATTATTTTACAGCTTACTTTGCCCATATATTATTTTTAAAAAAAAAGTTATGATATTCTAATTAATTATTCTAATAGTAAATTTTTCATATACGAGTTTAAAATTTTTATTTTATAACCGTCGTTGAACAGTCTATCCAATTTAAAGGATTACGGGTAATGTTTGACTGTGGATAAATGCCATCAAAAAGACCTCCACGAAGGAAAATTTCTCCCAATATTTGATCCAGGAGTTCCCTTGCCTTCGTGGAGGTCTTTTTGATGGCATTAATCCGCATTTGTGTTACATGGAGAGGAAAACCTTACACGGTTAGTCTGGCGCCACGTCGACTGTAACCCCATGATAGTATACGCTGAGGATAATTCAAGTCAGCACTGTGGTCGGTGCGAGCCGGGTGCAGAATATTTGTATCAACCAGCTATCCTTGGGATCGAACCTGGGTCACCTCATAGAGAGGCGAGCGCTTCATTCCCTGAGCCATCACGGCTCAAAAACATTATTTTATTAAGATTAGTCTCTTATTTTTTGGGTCATAAGTACATATTCATATTTTTATGCACTTACGATATAACAAACACCAAGTAAGGCCAGGATAGCCTGGTTGGTAAGGCACTGAGCTCATGTCCAAGAGTTTGTGGGTTCGATCCCAGGCCGGCCAAAGACCCCCCGTGTAGTAAATGGTGACTGATGCACGTTAAATCAGTCGAGTTGCAAAGTCCTCATGTTCCCATAACAAATTAATATCCCTGGAGGTACTGATCCAGGAGTTTCCTTCTCTTCTGGAATGGTTCAAAATTACAAGGCTACGGAGTTCAACATTAGTAGACGTAAACTCAAAATTGGGTTGGCTGTTCAACGCCAGATATAAATAATAAAATAATAACACCAAGTAATGCCCCTATTCGTTTGAACAATTAGGGTGATTATATAGATTGTCAGCTAAAAAAATGCATCATAAAATAAATTCTTTTCAGTTTCAAAAAATTATAATTATAAAATAAAATTTTAAATAATTGCCACATCAAATTACAAGTCTATTTAATTTTAAATAAAAAATTTTTTTTACAAAATTATGTGAAATAAAAGAATGGTTAATTATAATTTAAATTTACCTTAAAGCCTTTCTTAATTAAAGTCGCAGCAGCTGCCGGAGAAAGAGCAACTCTCCTTTCGTTTTTCCATACTTCTTTTGGAACACCAACACTCAGCTTTGAATATGGTATACCCTTGATTTCTTCAGTCTTAACTGGTGGCTTTTGCTTGGCTTGACATTGTAACACAGAACTCTTATTTAAACCTCTCACAGATAAAACCCATGAGCCTTTCTGGATTGCAAGCAAACTAGCTTGATTCAGAGATGTACATGTCTTTAATAGGAAATACATCTTGGCAAGCTGAGAAAATAAATATGAAAAAATAAAGAAAACATATGAGTAAGGCAATACTAAGAATAAAACAATCAGCACATTTTTATAGAATTAAAGAAGAGAAATACAATTTCAGATAACTGCAATTTTGCAGACTAAAATGATGAATTTTTTCTTCTTTTTTTTTAATGTAGCTTTCTAAATAAAAGAAAATGGCATTTCAAAGTAGAATAATTAAAAAAAAAAAACAATTTTATAGAAAAACTACAGTTTAATTAAACAGGGTGCATAGCCAGATTTTTCAACAAAAAAAAGCACCTTTTAAATTTTTTTTAAGCACTAAAAAAATATTTTTAATCTCCTTCCAAAAAGAAGAAGAAAAAAAATTTGAATCTGTGCAGCAATAATTTTTTTTTTATTGTTTAAAGTTCTTAATTTATAAACATAAAATCAATAAAATTCAAAAAAAAATTTAAAAAACTTTACATAATCATGATAAAATAACTAGTTTCTGATGAATATTGCAGAGGAAATAGTGAAAACTATGCATTTTTCGAAATTTAGGTGGACAAATCAACAAGGCAAAAAAAAAATCCCTTTAAGAAAAAAATAGAAAATAAAGCACCTTTTACAAACCCCGAATAAAAAAAGCACCTTTAAGGGCTTTTAAGAAGTAAATCATCAACAATAAGCACTTTTTAAAACCGCTATGCACCCTGTTAAAAATAAATCTTAAAAAATAGCAATTTAGGAAATATGTAAATGAAGAAAATAACAATTTTGTAAAAAAATAATAATTAATTGTTCCACTTGAAATTTTTTATCTCACTAGAAAATTAACCAATGTTTTTTTTTTATGATATAAATCACTTATTTTCTCCCATTCATGATTTTTATTTTGAAAATATCAGTCAGTAATTTTTTTTAATAATAATTTTTAATAAAACCTTGAAGGGTGGATCGATGCACCCCAAAGGTAGGGTAGATTAGTCCTTCATAAGGAGTATCAAAACAATATTTAAGGATAAATGTTATAAAAACAATAATTAAATTACATTCCTTAGCATTAAAAATCTAAAATCCATTTTCAAAAATTTAAAGATTAATAAAATAGGTTTATTTTTCAAATATAAAAAAATAAAAGATTCTTAGTGCACATATTTATTTATAGAATTTCATCAATAACAAATTTTTGGTACATATACTAATTGAATTTTTATATAATGAAACAAGATATAATTGTTTAAAATAATTTATAGAAAATTACAAATTATGAAAAGAATATTAAATAATAAGTTTGCAATAAAAAGTCTAATATTTCCTGATCAGGTTTAGTAACAAATAAGAATTATACTTTCTTTTATGGATTATTATTAATAAATAAATTTGATACATATAAATATATTTTGATTACAACTGTGCACAAATTTAATTCCCTTTAAGACATGCAAATATAATTTCAAAATCATATGCCTGTAAAAATTTTGTTTCTAATGTTATATCTCAATATGCAAATTATTTACATATTTTACTTTCGGCATCCGCAGTAACACAATTTCAAATAATTTTACTGTGGAAAAAAGGAAAACAATTTGCATAATTAGAGTAACATGGTTGGAAATCATCTCTCATTTATTATGTATATTATTTGCATGCCTTCATTTTGCCATCCACAAAAAAAAACATGATTTCAAATCATGTTACAGGAAGAAAAAAATGTAATAATTTACATAATGAGAGCATAAATATAAACAAAATTATACTGCTGTAAAAAAAGAATTATTATGTTGTTAGATTATCTAACATAATTTCATTGGGTTTAGCGACAAAAATTTTTTTTGTTGAAGCAATTGATTAAATATTCTTACCATAAAAAGAACGAATTTATGGTTGATTTAATCAATTACCATTAAATAAAATAGCTTGTTTTTAAAAAGTAGCAACTTTATCATGCATTATTTGCATGTTTTCATTTCGTCATCCACAAAATAAAAACATGATTTCAAATAATATTACTGGAAAAAATTTAATAATTTACATAATGAGAGTATAAATATAAACAAAATTATACTGTGCTGAAAGAATATTATGCTATTAAATTATCTAACAAAATTTCCTTGGGTTTAGGGACAAAAAAATATTTTGTTTATGCAATTGGTAATACATTTTTTCCATAAAAGTACAAATTTATGGGTGATTTAATCAATTACCATTAAATAAAATAGTTTGTTTTTAAAAAGTAGCAACTTCAATAGAGATCGAATATTCACAACGATCAGTAACAAATCACTTTTTAATATCAATCCTTCGTTTCATTTCTCCAAAATTGACAGCTTTGTCTTTTAAAGAATTTTGAGAATTGGAACTGCATTGCTGCAAAATCATGATTTATATTAACGCTATGTTCCATAATTAAATTATATTACAACTTTTGAAACTGTAAGGATTTTAAGTTAAAAAGTCACATATAGCTCATTAGAATCAAATAACTGTCTTGTTACCAACCGTAAATATTTATTACAGATTACATTCAACAAACTGAATTCTATGCACAATTTTCTTTCTCGATATTCATTGGAAGATAAACTTACCAATTTACAAATGGGGAGATAAAAAGAGTACTAAATCAAACATAACTTCTGATAACTACTTATTAAGAAATTTTGTTTTAACGTGTTCACAGTATCTACCGGCAAATTCAGAAAATAAAACAGCCACGCTTACGCTGTGATCGTGGTCTTTTTTGGTGTTTCAAAAAATTTGCTTATAGTAAATTATGGCTACCCTACCTCACAAATTCGAAGGTTTGCTGTACTGTTTATAGGTTTACTGCATTTGCACAGTGAAGAAATTCATTGCCAAATCATGCAGTCTTTTGGCTACTAAAAGAAGAAAACTCTATCTATTCAACTTATAAGTGAACGACCGAGGATGTTGTTTACTAGCAGCTGGTCTACTCTTCTCGCTTGTGATATAGATTTTTTCCATGGTTGCGCACAAGGGAAGGGAGAACCTACACTTGCACCGCTGAAAATCCAATTAAACAAAATTAATATTTTGTTTTTCTTATTTTGATTAATTAAAAATCATACGCATTATTATAGTTCATATACTGAGTGCCCAAATTCATCATATTTAATAAATCATTAAATTTAATGCTATAACTAATATAATTTATTACTATTTTGAAGCAAAAAAAGTACTACAGAAATGATATAAAGTACTGCAGGAAAAAAAATTATTTGATTCATAGTTTATTCTTTTGTGTTTGCACAATATTTAATTTAAATAACACATAATTTTTATTATTAATTTTTTGTGTCACAAGTTTAAATATTGTTATGCATTTACATTTTTGTTAAACTTGTTGAAGACCAATTAACGCACAAAGCCTAAATTCAATTATTGAAATTGACTGTAAAACGTCCACTATAAAATTATTAAAAAATTAATAAATAAAAAATACATAACCGTACGCGAATTATGAAATGTATTGACTGTTTTTTCTGGTTGTGTTTCTCTGAGAAAGTTTCTGTGTGCACTCTTGAATCTTTAATTATTTCATCCATAATTCATTATTAATACAGAAGAATAAAATATTGTTAAAATCGTGATAGTGAAAAATTTATCCCAATTTCATTAGAGAACGAATTACACTAACACTGGCTACAATAAATTGTGGATTTAGTTTATGTTAAGCATTGTTCTTAGAATGTATTGAAATCGCTAAATAATTAACTAAAAATTAAATGTTAATGAAGAATATTAGTGCTGAGCAATATCGGAATAATGTTATCGCAATGATTTTTAGCAGATATTTTTCCATGTAACCAAATTTAACTATTTTTAGATTAATCAACTTTTACGTTAACGAAATGCAATTTTTCATCACTCACTATAAGCAGTGCTAATGGAAGGCGTTTTCTCGCCCCTGGCGATACTAAAAACGGCGCCCTTTAACTGAAACAAAAACAAATAACAGCATGAAAAAGACGAATAACAATTAACGATTATAGACTTAGAAAAGAAAAACATTAGTTTAATTAAAGAGAATATCACGTCACTATATGAGGATATCAAGTACTCTAGAATAAATATCTATTATAAGTAATATTTTTAATGAGCACAATCTTTTATGATGTGCACACTTCTAAGCATAAACATTATTTATTTATTTATTTATTTATTTTTTTTGTGTGTGCTTTAGTAGAATCAAACAGTTTAATACACTCTTCAAAATCAATTGTTTTTGCTGTTTCATTTTCGATAGAAATTGTTTAAGTATTGTCTTTTGTATCATTATAGATCTTAAATTATGTCTTTATAGCTCTGAATTTGCTAAAATAACCATTTGCTATAGATAGTGAGATTGTTAATAAATCTTTTAAGCTTATCCCCAAGTTTGGAAAAATATTTTTTAACTGTTCTTATGAACTATTATCACCATCTTCATAGTTAGCCAGACAGCCCAATGTGGGCTATGCCTTCCTCTGAAGATTTTTCCCTATTGAATTCCGATTTATCTTTCTAATGTCCAATTCTTTCAATTATTTTTATTATTGAACTATCATTAAGAAATGATAATATAACATATTTGTACTTGTTTAAATAATGCTTTAAAGGTATTTTCCATTCAATATGCATCATTTTGTCAAAAATGAAAAATTGTTCATAGACTGCCGTAACACAATTTATAAGTTAATAAAAAAAAATTATAAACTTATTTTCTGATTTATTTATTCTCTAAAGAGGCTTTCAATGATTCGTCAATAAACAAATTCACTGCTATTTATTATTGACTCATTATTAATGCAAAGTTCACTGATCTACTTGTAATAAAATGTTTTTGAACTATCTTTAAAATAACCATATAAAATAAGCTAAAAATTGCCTCGTATGAAATACTACAGTAGCAAAGGAACGGACAGTCGACGCAGTAATAGGAAAATTTTAAATGATTATTGCTACCAAGTGAGTTTTGGATAAGATTAGTAATAGGAATCTCAATCCAGAGATTAGAATAGGTTCATAAAACTTTATATAAAAATAAATTGATAAAAACCTACGTGCAATGCTAACAACAACAATAGTAAACGTTTCGATAAATCAGATGAATTAAGAAGTTATCGATCCCGCTATTAGCAAATATTTGTAGAGAAGAAGAAAAAGAGGTCTTACTTTAGTTTCTCAGAAAATCCTTTAATAACTATATAAAATAAATATCAAAGAACAAAATGTGTAAAATATTTTTAAAATGAATCGATGTTTATATGTTTACATAAAAATTACTAAGATCTTGGTAACTATCTCATCTTTACTAATTAACCCTACCGTCTTGTTTCTAAATTTCCACCTCAAAATATCTGCTGAAATTTGGGTGAAAAACGTAAATTAGAACTATATTTTGAGGCGAAATAGAAGTATTTTGTACATAAGGTATTAAGGCAATTAACTATTATTAATAAAATATTAATTCATATTATTATTAGCAAAATAATAATTAATTTTATTATTAATAAAGTATTAATTAATATTATTAATAATAAAATAGTAGTTAATATATTCATATTATATTAAGAGATCATTTGATACACAGGTTCACATGTACTGTGCGCAAAAAATTTAACATACCTTTTAATAAACATACCTTTTTATTGATAGGTTATTATGATTATGATTTCCGACTCCCAAAATTTAGGGGGTAAAACTATAAAGAAAATTAATCTTAGAATAAGTAATTAAAAAATAAAAATCTGTAGACACATTTTTCAAATAAAAAATATTTTACTTTATAACCGTCGTTGAACAGCCGAACCAATTTTTGGGTTCACAACTACTAATGTTCAACTCCGTAACCTTGTAATTTTGAACCCAATCCGGAAGACGAGGAAACTCCTGGATCAAGTATTGGGAAATATTTGCCTTCGTGGAGGACTTTCTGATGGAACTAACACTCGTTTGCGTTACATGGAGAGGAAGACCACGAGAACCTCCCACGGTTAGCCTGACGGCAAGGGGACTTTAACCCATGATCCGTCTACCTATGAGGATCTTTCACGTCAGCACTGTGGTCGGTGCAAGCCAGATGCGGAATTCGTATTGACCAGCCATCGCCGAGATCGAACCCGGTTCACCTCATTGAAAGGCGAACGCTCTCTCCCCTGAGGCATCCTGGCTCAAATAATCAAATAAACAGTATTTTAAAAAGGAGGAAATCAATAATTTAAAGAACATTAAATCAGGGTCTCATTCTGCACCCATTTTACCTGGAGCTCAATCCGCCCGCCTTGCTATAATATCGTTTTCGATAATTATTGCTATCGAGAACTCTCGCGATAATATTGTATTAGATATTTTTATTGACAAAGCTGATCACGAAATTTTCGCTGTTGGTAATTTTCGTATAGATGCAATCTATATTGTAAGACATGATATTCGCGATAAATCGTGAAAATACTTTTTAAAATAGTATTACTGTGACGCATAAATAATATCGATATTTCACGATATACATATCTTCTTGTACGAGTACATATTAAGCGGAACAAAAATTAGCACTTTCATTCGATATTGTATTACTGTAAGAAGCTATAACCAATATCGTACGATTTCGGAATAACAAAAAAGAGAGGAAAAGAAATACAAGGAAAAAAAAAAGAGGTTAAAACTAGTAGCCAACTTTTATGGGCTGATTATTAATCATCACCCTTGATATCTTAGGGATAATCAAATTCGTATACACGATAGAGGTTGCAAAAAAAAAAAAAAGAAGTTAATAAAATAAAATAAAAGTTAAGAAGATGAAACGAATCACTATAGAAACAAGCAGGATGAATCAAAATTAGCTTGATTGCCTGGGATAACTTGGATGTGCTCTTGGATATCTCTCTGTTTTCTTCACCTAACAAACAGGTTTTTATTATTTTTCAGGCAAGCTTTTCTCTGAAGTGATTCCACATATGTGTTGTTTTTGTTTTTTTCTTCGATAAAATATTTTTTGATAAAAATATTTTTTTATTTTTTGGCATGGTTTTTAAAAGCATACATTCAGGGAGAACGATTTGTACATGAAATAGTGGTCGTACTGTTTTAAAATTAATTAGGGTAAATATATCAACCTTTAGGCACATTGTTAGAAATTTCTCGGGAAAAAATGGTTAAATAACAGTTTATTGAATGGTTATTTCACCATATTTAATCAAAAGAGGCAAATAACCATAATAAAACGGTAGTTA